CCTCAGCCTCCCAGAGCGCTGAGGTCATAGCCACGTGCCGCTGGCCCCACAGCCCAGCTCGTCCACCGAGGTGCTGTGGGGTGCACGTTAGGGGCTACCTCGGCGAGGGAAGCTGGTGGGTCGACAGGTGCCAGGGAGCAGACCCTCCTGACATCTCTGCTGCTTTGGCTGGCTCAGTTTCTTTTCTTTCCTTTGGTTATTTATCTTCCCGGTGAGGAGGCCTGAAGCTGCCAGCTGGCCCGGGTCTGTCACTCTAGCGCTGGGGAGGCTGAGGCAGGAAGATCCCTGCGAGTGTGAGATTAGTTAGCCTGGACTACATAGTGAGATCCTGTCTCAAAAACAAGACAAAACAGTCAAAATAAACCCATTTCATCTCTACTGAACACAGATGGAATTTTTCTTGTCACTGTGCCCCTGCAGAATGACAAATATGTCCACAGCTCCAACACGGTATCGGACGTGCTAAGTTATCTAGAAATAATGCGTGGCCTACAGGAGCGTGTGCCTCGGTTCTGCACAAACACTACATTTTTCTTTCCTTGTTTTGTTTTGGTTTGGTTTTTCTCTTTGAGACAGGGTTGCGTGATGGAGTCCCAGCTGGGTTTGAACTCAAGATTCTCCTGCCTCAGCCTCCCAAGTGGTGAGACTGCACGTGTGTGCTTGTGAATTCATTTTTATGCCTAGAACCTCGTCACTGCTGCCTCTGGGGTGGGAGTGAGGATTCCTGCCACAGACTCAGGGCTCTAAGAAAACCTGACACCACCTTCCCACATCGCCTCAAAGAAGCCCAGCGAGAAGAGAAGGCGGCCGGCTAGGAAAATTCCCAGGCTGGGCGGGACTGTTTTCCATAACCCCAGGAGCTGGCTAGAGTCCAGGTCAGGGCTGGGTGCTTTGTTTCCCTAAGTTATTTCTCATTTGCTTGGTCCAAGATGGGGCCCCGACTCCCAGCAGGGGTCCCTCCCCCCAGCCCAGCGTGGAGGGGGGGGCAGGCGGGGAGCCACCAGGAACACAGCACCAGGCTGGGGACAGAGCAGAACTCACCGCGGTCCCAGCCCTGATGGCCTTTTAAAAACCATTCCAGTCCCTGCTTTTTTTTTTCTTTTTCTTTTTCTTTTCTTCTTCGTTTTAGTTTTTTGAGACAGAGTCTCACTGGGTAGCCCGAGCTGGCCTCAAACTCGTGTTGATCCTCCTGCCTCAGCCTCCCGAGTACACGTGTGCCTGGCCGGACGAGTATTCCACTGTCTGTCAGGTACAGCTCAAGCCACTCCCTGTGTTTGGAGATGACATCTGCCAGCCACCAGTATCGCTGCTTTCTTGGTGGTGGAGGGAGCTCAATTTGTAGGTGAAAAGCCTGGGTTCACAGGCTTATTATAAAAGGAAAAAAATTTTTTTGAGTGACTTTCTTGTCCTAAAGCTGCAGCTTTTCTTAAAAGTACAATTTTAAAGTTTAGATTTCTAGGGGCTGGGGATTTAGCTGAGTGGCATAAGCACCTGCCTTGCAAGCAGGCGGTCGTGAGTTCGATCCCCGGTACTGATTAAAAATATAAATAAATAAAGTTTAGATTTCTTCCAGGTGTGGAAGCACATAGCTGTCACTCCAGCACTCGGGAGGCTGAGGCAGGAGGATCACCATGAGTTCCAGGCCAGCCTGGGCTGCAGAGTGAGCCCTGAGCTCTGTACTGAACGGGTCTGAGGTGCAGTCAATGCAGTGACAGCAGCTGACCAAGCACAGAGAAGGGAAGGGCCAGCGAGGGACGGGGAGCTGGAGGAGCCCAACTGCCCTCTCTCTCCTCCCCTGGGCTTTCAGTTTGCTTTACTCATAGAAGGAAAACTTTTATTTTGCAACACTGAGGACTGAACCCAGGGGTGCCCTGCCCCTGAGCCGCACCCCCAGCACTCTTCACTCTTTGAGAGAAAATGTCTCTGGGTTGCCCAGGCTGGCCTGCACACGAAGCCTTCCCGCCTCAGCCTCACAAATAACTAGCATGACAGGCACACGCCCGCGCTGCTTCCAGTGAAAATATGTTTTTTGGTTTTTTTTTTTTTTACGGAAACAAGAGTGTCACACATTATTGTCTTTCTGACACAGGGCCACTGGTCTTTGGGTAATTTTTTTCTGATGGTGGAACAAAATGCTTCAAACTTTGGACTTCCCTTTCTGGCCCAGGATTCCAAGCATTTGTTCAAAGTGCACAGGTCCCTTTAAGGAAGGGGTGACATTTAACTTCGAGCCAGGGTCTCTCTGTGGAATCCAAGCTGGCTGTGAAGTCATTCTGCAGCCCAGCGCAACCTCGAATTCATGGAGATCCTCCTGCCTCAGCCTCCAAATGCTGGAATGACAGGCGAGCTATTGGCTGACCACTCCCGGCTCTTTCTATTCTCCCTACCTGCCTGCCTGCCTGTCTGTCTGTCTACCTGTCTGTCTGTCTACCTGTCTATCTATCTACCTATCTATCATCTGTTATAGGAAACCGCTGTACCTCAGAGCTCCACCCCTAGCCTTAGAAATCAAGATCAAGATGATGGGTGTTTTTGTCACTGCATGATCCCAGTGCTATGCAGCGTGAGTGTTGGGGCTGGGCCTGCGGCTCAGTAGTGGGGCGCTGGCCTAACACGTGCAAGGCCCTGGGTTCCATCCCCAGCCCCCCAGGAAGGTAATAGTGACCCACTCACGCCTGCTTCCCTAGCGATGGAGCGGCCAGCGACCTCGTTCGCTGTGCGAGCAGCGCCCCCTAGAGCTCAGCAGGGGGACAGCGGCAGACTCAACACTGCGCCCGTTCCTGGTTGGATCTGGCATAATTTCCACTCGAAATTCGCAAACAACTCCGTGCTTTTTATTTGAATTACTAGGAATTCAACAGCAGTGCTGACGTCAAGGGCCAAGCATTCTATGCTGAAGGGAAAATTAGACCTTCTTATTTCTGCTGGTTAGAGACAATTTTTCAGAAATTGACCCCAAAAATTGATGGAAAAATACAGATATCCCAGTGGCAAATGCCTGTAACCCCAGAACGCTGGGAGACTGAGGTGGGAGGATCTCAAATTCAAGCTCAACCTGAGCAATTAGGCTCGAATCTGGGGTCCCGAAATGAAACCCGAGATCCTCTTGCCTCAGCCTCCCACAGTGCTGGGGTTACAGGCATGCACCATCGACCGCAAGTTTATCCGGTTCTTTTTTGAAGGATATTTAGGTTATTTCCAAACATTCACCGACTCAGATGAGGCTTAAGAGTTAATGTTGGGGCTGGAGGTTTAGCTCAGCGGCATAAGCGCCTGCCTTGCAAGCAGACAGTCGTGAGTTCGATCCCCGGTACCAATAAAAAGAGTTAATGTTGGCAGAACATATTAAACATGTATATTAAAAAGTCAGATTGTAATCATTTTATCTCAGCGCAATGCCGTCTTTTCATTCACATAGTTTTACATATTGTTTATTTATAGTTTTTGTAGTAATACTGGCTGAGTTCAAACAGAATCGGTAGACTTTGCAAAGTCCAAAATATTTATATCCTGGCACTTTTCAGAAAAGTTTACCAACTCCGGCCAATATGACTTTGAATGAATCTGCAGCAGAAATTCCTAGAAAGAGAAACCTTTGCCTACCAGCTTTAAAAGGTCCTATTTGCTGGTTGGTTGCCATAGTCCTAGGAATCATCGGAGTTACTCAGGAGGCTGAGGCAGGAGAATTTCTTGAAGCTAAGAATTTTAGTCAGCTCCTGTAAATGCTAGCTACTCAGAAGGCAGAAGCCGAAAGACTAAAGGTTCCAGCCCAGTCTCTTAATGAGAGCCAATCTCAAGATCAATAAATGTCTGGTGTGGTGCCACGTGCTGTGACCCTAGCACTCTGGACGCTGCGGCAGGAGGAGCACCAGGCGTTGCCAGGCAGCCTGAGCTGTGTGGTATCCAAGACTACACAGTGCAGGTGGCGGTGCATGTCTGCAGTCTCAGCACTTGGGAAGCTGAGGCAGGAGGATCACTTAGAGTCTGAGACCAGCCTGAACTACATAGTGAGCTCGCAAAACAGGAAATTCTAATGAGACCCATGAGCTAAGAAACAGAAGTCCTTCAAGGACTGTCTCCCTCACCCACTACACTGATGGCTCAGGTCACGCCTGCACTCTTATTAGGACCCCTCTCTCCCTGGCCAGTCCCCCAGCCCTACAGGATCTGCACCCCGAGGCCCTCTGCGCCATGAAGCTCCCGGCTGAGGGCTTTTGTTTGTTCGTTTGTTTGGAATTTTTAGACAGGGTCTCGCTATGGAGCCCAGGCAGGCCTTGAACTCAAGGCGAGCCTCCTGCCTCGGCCTCCCGAATGCTGGGATGACCCACGTGGCCCTGTGATGCCCAGGCGGGGCCTGCCTGCTGCTTGTCTGTTTGGGCAGCCGCCAGCCTCCAGCCGCTCTGGGCACTTGCCTGGTTTCTGAGTTCCTCTGATGACTGCGCAGTCTGGCTCTGCTCCCTGAGCGGGTGGCGGGGAGCGCTGCCTGTGTTGCAAGCAGCGGCTCTGGGGTCCCGGGCACAGTCGGATGCATGTGGCCTCTGGGACCGGCTCGCGGGAGTGTCCGGTGGATTCAGGCAAGGCTGCGCTTCCGCTCTCGGCCGCCAGGGGGCGGGCGAGGCTGGGATCTGAACTGAGGCTTTGCATCGAAGCGCGGGACTTGGGCGGAGGGGAGGTGCCGGAGCCTTAGGGGGCGGGGCTTCCAAGGGGCGGTCCATCCAGAGGCGGGACTACTGGGGGCGTGGCCTACTGAGAGTAGGCCATTGAAAGGCCGCGAGGGTGAGGGGCGTGGCCTATAGCTTGGCCGTAAAAGGGAGGGGCGTGGCTACGGTTTAGGGTTCCCTGGTCGTGTCCCTGCCCGCCCTGCCGCCCGCCTTGGCTGTCCTCTGTTGCCCCGGCTCACCAGGCTTCACCCCTGTCCCCACGCTCCTTTGCACCGCACGCCCCACTTCCCGATCTTCCCCTGTACGCTCCTGCTCTCCAGCCTCGGCTGCACCCCGTTGGCCCCAGATTTCACACCCCGCATTTGTACCCTGCATTTTCCCATGCGCCTTTGCGCCCCCATTTTGGAGCCCGCAGTTCCTGGGCTCAGAGTCTTGTTTTTTATTTATTTTTGTACCAGGACCTTGAGCTTGCCGGGCAGGTGCTGTGCCGCTGAGCTCCATCCCCCTCACAGGGTCCTTGTTTTGAAGGAGACCACGTTTTGTTTTGTTTTGTTTTGTTTTGTTTGCTTTTGGGGACGGGGTCTCTGCTACGCAGTGCAGGCTGACCTTGAACTCACTGTGTAGCCCAGGCTGGCCTGGCCTCACGGGGATCCTCCCGCCTCAGCCTCCCCGTGCTGGGCTGACGGGCCTGCGCCACCACATGCCTTTCCTCTGTCCCCAGCGTGGCCTGCCTGGAGGACGGAGAGGCAACAGGGACCGGGTGGGACCCCCGTCCTGTCCTGCTGTCCGTCACATCAGATTGTGATGCGACAGAAGGCTGTGGCTGAGTCAGGGGGGTCTCCGGGAGGCCCTTGGCGGTGAGCAGGCAGTCAGCGGGGCACAGCCCGGGGCACAGGGCGGGCGGCAGGGAAGATGCTGGCACGGCCGCCGCCCGCCTGGCATGGCTGAGCCGCACACACCCTACGCCTCCCTGCGGACGCTGCTCGCGGGCCTCCAAGGCCTGGTGGCTGTAAGTGTGTCACGCTGCTGCCGGAAGCCAGAAATAAACTGGTCCAGATCGGCTCGGGATTCGGGGCCCCGGAGGGCGGCGATGTAGGGCAGGCCGGCCGTGAGCCAGGGAACTTGGGCAGGGACACCCGGCGCTGGGACCCTGGTCACCGGAGAGCAGGGCTGGGAGTCCAGGGCCGCAGAAACCAAGGCCTGTGGCGGGCCGCACAGCGGTGATGTTTAAAAATTAATCCCTCCGTGCGTCCTTCAGTCTTTCCTTTCTTTTTCCTTTTTATTTGTGCTGGGATGGCTGCACCACTGAGCTGCACCCCAGCCCTGTCTTGTCTTGATTTCTACTCTTTGCAGAAACATTTTGCAAAAATATTTTTCACAGTATAATTCCAAATATGTTCACTTCAGAATAATAGACCCGTGGCGTGGCATTACACGCCTGCCATGCCTGCACTCAGGAGGCCGAGGCAGGAGGATCACAACCCAAGCCCAGCCTGGGCAACTTAGCAAGAGTTTGGCTCAAAATGTGTCTCAGTGCTGAGGATTCCCCATTTTTAAATTTTAGTCTTTTAAAATTTTTAGATAGGCAGGGGATATAGCTCAGCGGCGTAAGTGCCTGCCTGGCAAGCATAAGGTCCTGAGTTCAATTCCAAGTACCAAAAATAAATACTAAACTTTTAGGTAGGGTCTCATTCATTTGCCCGGCTGTCCTTGAGCTTTCAGATCACCTGCCTCAGCCTCCGGGGCAGCTAGGGTCACACCTGAGCACCCCTGCACCTGATGGAAGTTTGTGGCTTTATTGATTGGTTGGTTGGTTGGCTGACTGAGACAGGGTCTCGCTGATCCTGAACTCACTATGTGGACCAGGCTGGCTTTAAACTTGCAACAGTCCTCCTGCCTCAGCCTCCCAAGTGCTGGGATTACAGGTGTGAGCCACCTCGCCCAAGTCCTGGGAGAGGTTTTCATTTGTTGGTGTTTGGTGGTGGTTTTTGTTTTTTGCTGTAGCTGTTAGTGAGACAGAATCTTACTATGTGGACCAGGCTGACCTTGAACTCGTGGTATCCTCCTGCCTCAGCCTCCCGAGCTGGGATGCCAGGCACCTGCCGCCACACCTGAGTGAGAGTTCTTCTATATGGTCCATTTTTTTCTTCTCTTTTTTTTCAAATACATTTTATTCAAGGATAAAGAAAAGAAGGGAAAAACTACAACAACATTTCAAAACACGTCAATCGGGGACAAGAATGGTCCGTGCATGGCTGGCTCACCTCCATGTTTTTTCTTCTGATCCTGTTCTAAAGGCATCTGGCGTGATCCTCATCGGCCTGGGTATTGGCGTCAGCTATGGAGAGGCCACCCTGACCAGGGTCATGGGTCCAGCGTCCACGCAGCACCTGCACCTCGGCCACCTATACCTGAGCTTGGGCTGCACCCTGCTGCTGCTGGCCCTGGTCGGGTGGTGCAGTGCGAAGCAAGCCAGCCGGGGAGGCCTCTTGTTCGTGAGTCAGCTCCCCGCCCGGCCCCCAAACTGCCCCCACCGCCTCCAGACCCCTCGCTGCGCGACCCCCAGACTCCTGCCCCGGGCTTCCTCTTTGGTCTTCCCGGTGTCTCACTTCGTGGGAACAGATGCACCCGCCTTGCTTTGGTTGGTTTGCAGTCAGAGTCTCACTATGCAACGCAGGCTGACCCTGAGCTCACTATGGAGTGCAGGCTGGCCTCCATTTGTGGCGATCCTCCTGCCTCAGCCTCCTGCGTGCTGGGATCACAGGCGTGCGGCATCACGCCTGGCCTAACACATGCACTCTGTGAAAAATTTCTAAATTCATGTTTGTAGATCATAAGGATCGCATGCATTGGGGGACACCACACATTTTATTTTTTCCTTCTCCTTCTCCTGTCGGTTCACCCCTCCACCTCTAAATTTTCTCCCTGTTTTCAAAAAACAAAACAAAACAAAATACCTATCTTTTCTATTTTTTTATTTTGCTCTTTAAATTATCTATACTTTAGACCCAGGTGTGCTGGTAATCCCAGCACTTGGGAGGCTGAGGCAGGAGGACGGAGCACTAGAAATTCAAGGCCTTCCTGGGGTACATAGAGAGTTGAAGATCAACCTGAACTACATAGGCATTCTTCGGCTCAAAAAGAAAAAAAAAAAAAACCAAAGTAAATAAACAAATAAAACATCAAACACCTCCTATAAGAAAGAGTACATGATACTGAAGCTTGCCTGTTTGCTTTATTTCACTCAACATTATGGTCTCAAGGTGAAGAAGCCATTTTCCTACAGATGTCCCCAGTGCATCCTTTTTCATGGCAGAGTAATATTCCCGTATGCATGAATACCACACTTTCCTGTACCTGCTCCTCTGCTGATGGATGTGTAGGCTGCTTCCAAATTTTAGCCATTAGGATTGTGCTGCTATAAACAGGGGTTGCTGCGGTATGATGCCTTTAACTCCTCCGGGAAGATGCCTGGAGGGGGAATAGCTGGGTTGAATGGAATTCCTCGAGTTAGTTTCTTGAGGCTGATTTCCACAGTAGTTGGGCCGGTTCACACCCCCAGCAGCAGTGGAGGGGCTCGTTCCTCCCGCAGCCCCGCCAGGGCTTGTTATTGCTTGATTGATGATGGTCAGTCCTTCTGGGGGCGGTTAATTTGCAAATGTATGCTTTCCCCTTACGATGCCCGTGTTTTCAGTCCCTGCCTTCCCCGAGCTCTTAGATCACCGTCTCCTAGGTGGAGGTCTTGTTTCTCACTTCGGTCTCGGTAGCCTCTGGCAGTCGTGCCTCTGTGCGGTGTGAGGTAGGGATTTTGGATGTGCTGTCCTCCCCCTGGCTGGGTGACAAACTGTCCCTGGACTCAGGGCCCCACCAGGCTTTCCCTGTCACACCAGGGATTCCCTTGTGCCCGAGTCTGTCCTGGACACCTGCTCTGGCCCTCTGGCCCTGTGTGTGTCCTTTGCTGGCACAGCACTGTTGGAATCACCGCTCGTGTACAGAAGAGCACGTGAAAATCCCACAGGGACACGAGCGTGCCGTGTGCACAGCCGCACAGCTACTGACTGCTGAGTCTTCAAGAATGGCTTGTACGTCCACTGGCGGGGGACAGATGCGGAAAATGTGGGGTCTCTACACCACTCTGCCACAAAGAAGGCACATCAGAGCCGTCTGTAGGAAAACGGATGCGTCTTGGGGCCATGATGTTAAGACAGATAAACCAGACACACAGCTTAACTTATATCACAGAATCGCTCTTATGTGAGAAACCTAAAGGAGTAATAATTGAAAGGTGGACAGGGATGTAGCTCAGCGGCATAGCGCCCGCCTGGCCAGCAAGAGGTCCTGAGTTTGATTCCTGGCATAAAAAAACTTTAAAGAGCAAAATGCAAGAGAGGTAACGGGGATGGGGGGGCAGGTGAACGCAGGATTGGGGCTCTGTCGTCAGTGGTCACCTTCCCACGCTGATGCGATCAGCATGGGCTACAAACATTGAGACTTTTCAAAAAAGCTGCTGGGTGTGGCTGCGCAGGCCTGGAGGCCCAGGGCTCAGGAGGCCGAGGCAGGAGGATCGCTGTGAGCTCGAGGTCAACACGATGTGACCGAAACTGTAAGGTGAAACGGTTTGATGGTTTGATCTTACCATGAAAAGGAGGAGCTTAAGGACCAACTTTAGGAAAACAAACTTCCCAGCAGGATCCTGAAGATAGTATGCAGGGTTCCTTTGAAGCTTCTAAAATAGGGGTCCAGCCCCAGCTCCCCCGGGGGCCCCATGCCAGCACCCTTGACCTGTTCTTGTGCCTTGGAAGCCACGAGGGTGGTGTCAAACCCAGCAGCCTCCCCTATGCCTAAGCCATTCGGGGTGGGAGGACGGGAACCCAGCCAGCCCTCATGTCCCTGTGTCTCTTGCAGTACCTCGTCATCTTGGTTATCATTTTCGTGGTGCAGATCACGGTGGCCTCAGTGGTCCTGACTCTCTTCCCGCTGGTAAGTCTGGGGTGGCTGCCCAGGACCCGCTGGTAAGTCTGGGGTGGCTGCCCAGCGACGTGGGAGGGAATGAGAGCAGGGCGTGGCGGAGCACGCTGTCATCCCGGCACTCGGGAGGCTGAGGCAGGAGGATCTCAAGTTCAAGTCCAGCCTGGGCTGCTTGGAGAGACCCTGTGTCAGAATAAAATTAAAAGGGTGTGGGGGGGCGGGTTCAGTGTTCCCAGGGTTCAGCCCCCTGTCTGAGAAGAAAAAGAGTGAGTGTGGTCCCGGGGACCCCTGCTGCTCTGTCTGGGGGGGAGGGGAGGGGGAGGGGGAGGGGAGGGGGGAGGGGGAGGGGAGGGGGGAGGGGGAGGGGAGGGGGGAGGGGGAGGGGCCATGCAGAACGGTGCCAGCAGTGTCAGGGAGGAGCACAAGGGTGAAGACATCCTGGCTTGAGTCACATCAGTTTCTCTCTGGGGACACAGAACACAGGAAATCACCGGCATGAAGTGGAGGAGGTTCTTGGCTGGGAGAACGAGGTGGGAGGTTGAGAGCTCTCCTGAGTCGGTGGCTTTTGAAGATGGGACTGTTTCACCTCTTAAAAACGAAACCCAAACAAAACACTGTTTAAAGCCTTTCTTTAGAGGCCAGGACTGAGCTCGGTATCACAGCACCTGCCTGGCAGGCGTGAGGTCCTGAGGTCGGTTCCCAGGAACAAGAAAAAAATCAAGTATTAAAGGCAGGCAGGGCGGTGCACGCCTGTCATCCCGGCACTCGGGAGGCTGAGGCAGGAGGATCGCTGTGAGTCGGAGGCCAGCCGGGCTGCATAGCCAGACCCCGAGTCAAACAACCAAACGAAAACAAAAATGAAATTAGCCCCCCTCCCACCGTGTACACGGAGAGGGGCTCCAGTTCTTTAACTGGGTTACAGACAAACGCCAAGCAGAGCCGGCCGTGGGCGGCTTGAAAGGCAGATGATTCAATTTGTTAGTGAGGGGCACAGTCAGACCCTGCTTGGTGGCGGAGTGCACTGTGTCCTCTCCCGGTGGGTGACGCAGAAGCCTGAATGTGTCTCCAGCTTTTCAAAGTTTTATTTGGGGGGGCAGTACTGGCGATTGAAACCAGAGCCTTCACGCAGAGCTGCACCCCAGCCCTTTCTCCTTTTGGGACGGGGTCTCCCTAGGTCACTCGGACCCGGGCTGGGCTCTAACATGCCATCTGCCTGCCTCAGCCTCCCACTGGGCCGGGACGGTGGGAGGTGGAATGTGCCCTTTTGTAACTTCCAGCCAAGGCTGGGGGTTGGAAAAGTTTGGGGAGCACCCAGGGGAGCCCCCTCCCTCTGTCTCCCCCGCCCTGGGACCCTGTGGGTGTTTGGGTGCTAACGGCTTCCAGTCTCATTGGGAAGGTTCGAGATTTGGCCCTGGAGCACAACGTGGTCACCCTGCGGAAAAATTACAGGGGCTACAAGCAGCCAGACGACTTCTCGGCACAGTGGAACTCGGTCATGGAGAGGGTGAGCTTTGCTTTAAAACACTGCGCCAAAATGGCCCTCACACGCAATTACCCTTGTAACCACCTGGGAGTGCACAGCTCTGCGACATTAAACGGTCACAGTCGTGCAGCCGCACCGTCACCTCCCCACCGCCTTCTCTTTTGAGACAGGGTCCCGCCGTGGCGCCCAGGCTGGCCTTGAACTTGTGGCGATCCTCCTGCCTCAGCCTCCCAGGTGCTGGGCTATGCACTCACCGCGCCCCCCCCCCAGGAGCTCTGTGGCCCTGAGGCGGCAGCTCCCCACGCGGCACCACCCTCCTCCAGCCCTGGCTGAGGCCCTGAGCCCTGCCGGTGCAGCCTCTGCAATGCAGGCCTCCGTGGCTGGCCCATCCCAGGGGGCAGCACAGCCTCGGGACACGTCCTGTGCCAAAGGCAGTCAGAATTCCCGTCCTGTCCGAGGCCCCGTCCCAGCCCGAGTCTAGACTCATCCACTCAGGCACCAGGGGCGTCTGGGGTGCTTCCTCCCTCGGCTCTTGCGAACAACACCAGACACACAGGCATGCAGGCGTCTTTTCTGAGGCCCTGGGTCCCATCCCCAACACTACAAAAATAAATTCAGTGCAGTGGTGCAAACCTGTAATCCCAGCACTCTGGGAGGCTGAGGCAGGAGGATCACTGTAAATTCAAGGCCAGCCTGAACTGCATAGTGAAACACTATGTCACAAAGATATATATATTTTTTTCAAAGAATATATATATTTATTTATTTTTATTTTATTTTTTTTTATCGGTACCAGGGATTGAACTCACGACCGCCTGCTTGCAAGGCAGATGCTTATGCTGCTGAGCTAAATCCCCAGCCCCTATATATATTTTTTCAGGTATAGTTGTTCATCCCTATAATCCTAGCTTTTCAGGAGGCTGAGACGGGAGGACTGCAAGTCCTAAGCCAGGCTAGGCAGTTTAGTGAGAACCTGCCTTAAATAAAAAACCTGGGAATGTAGCACAGAGCAGAGAACCCTGGATTTGATCCTCAGTACCAGGAAAAAACTTGCATTGCTAAAACATGTAAACACTCAGGTGAGCCTTGAAAAACTGGAGCCCACAGGCTTGATTGGTATAAGATTGCTATAAATGTGTGATTTGCAGGACAAGAGACACTCTCCGTGAGGAAGGAGAAAGTGAGATGCAATAAAAAGAGGTGATTTAAAAGATTCAGAGATGATTCAAAGAATTCAGGAGGAGCCAGGCACGGTGGTGCACTCTGGGAGGCTGAGATGGGAGGATTGCAAATTCAAGTCCACCCTGGACAATTGAGGAAGACCCTGTCTCTAAATGAGTGAAAGAATAAATAAATAAATAAAGCGCTGGGGCCGTAGCACAGTGTGAAGTCTCTGGGTTCCATCCTCGGTTATGCAAAAACAAAGGAAAAGAAAAAAAAATAACTGCATTCAGCCTGGTTGATTGCAGCCTCCTGAGTGCTGATTCCTGCCTCAGCCTCCTGACTGCTTCTGGGAAGACAAGCCTGTGGCTAATTTCAAGAACGGGGTCAGGGCAGGCCTTTCTGAAGAGGACCTTGGAGCAGAGACTCGAGCTAGGGAAGGGAGTGGGCCAGGCAGATATGAAAGGAAGACCATATCCAACAGCAGAAGCAGGTTGTGCAAAGGCCCTGAGGCTTGTGCTTGCTAAGTGTCTCAGCAGAACAGTGAGGCCTCCAATGTAGCTGGAGCTGGGAGAACATAGGGAAGTATTTTAGGGAGGCCAAGGCAGGGGAGGTAGGTGCCAGGCAGATTGAGCAGGCTTATGGGTCACAGTGGGGAGCTCGATTTTTCTTTTAAGTAGCTTGGGAGCCATGGGAGGTTCAATATTTTTGTGTTTTTATTTTGTTTCTTTGAGATAAGATCTCACAATAAAGTTCAGGCTGGCCTTGAACTCACTGTGTAGTCTAGACTGGCCTCAAATTCACAGCGATCCTCCTGCCTCAGCCTCCTGAGCGCTGCTGGGAAGACAGGCGTGCACCACCAAGGCCGGCCATCAGATGGCGCTTGAAGGCATTTAGCCCAGTAGCCTGGCGATCATGATGTCTATTTTAATTTGTATTTTGCTATTTCTGTTCCTGTTATTTTCTTTTGAAAAGCTGCTCTCAATGTTTGCTCTTTCTGCAGCTAAAGTGCTGCGGGGTGAACAACTACACGGATTTTCCCGGCTCTTCCTTCTCGGTGGTGACCGGCCACGCCTACCCCCGGGGCTGCTGTAAATCTCCGGGCATCGCTGTCTGTGACGGGCGCAATGTGTCCTCCAGCGTCATCCACCAGGAGGTAACGGGAGGCTTTGTTCTGCGTGACCTTGACAGACCCTAAGTGCTGGTGATTGTTCTAAAAAATTCCTCACTTTAGGGACCTCAGCAAAGGGGCCTGGGGAAGACAGAAATCAGCTCGCGTTCAGCTCTTTTGCTAGTGTGTCCTCTTGAGAACGTGAGTGAGCTTTCTGTTACTGTGACACATATCTGAGGTCATCCACTTAAAAAGAGAGAAGCTTTCTTTTGGCTGACTGTTTCAGAGGTTTCAGCCCATAGTTGCTTGGCAGGCAGGAGGCTGAGGCAGGAGGATCGCTGCGAGGGTGAGGCCAGCCTGGGCTGCGTAGTGGGACTCTGGCTCCAAACAAACAAAATGATACAATTAAAAGCCAAACTACATTCACATCTGTAGTATGGGCGACGCCCTTCTGGATGACAAGCGTGCGCCATGCAGCCAGGCTCATGGGTCTCATTTCTAGCTGAGGCAGTAGAGGTCCAGAGAGGCGGGGTGGCTTCTCCCGGGTCACACAGGTTGCTTGGACGGGGTGCTCAGTGTGGTCGTGAAGCTCGCATTCTGGTGGGCAGGGGGGCCCCCCGGATACGGTGGGGGTCCTTGGCCCTGAGCGGCCCCTGCCCGCCTCTCTGTCTACAGGGCTGCTTCCCCAAGCTCCTGAAAATCACCAAGACACAGAGCTACGTCCTGAGCTGGATCTCCCTGGGGACGGCGGCAATGCAGGTGAGACACAGCAGCCTCTCTGGGCCGCTGGCCGCGGTTTCATTCCAAAAACCCTGCAGAGCTGGACGTGGCCATGTGCGCCTGTGATCCCAGTACTCGGGGAGGCTGAGGCAGGGCAAGCCCCAGTTGGAGCCCATCCTGGGCAATTTAGAGACTCGGAGAGAGCCTGTGCCAAAATAACCCTAATCCTAAGAAATGGAGTGAGTTTGTGTGGCCATAATAGGGCAAAGGAGGGTGGAGAGATTCAGGCTAGGTGGAAACACAGTGTGTGTATGTGAGGAAAGTTAATTTGGAGCTGTGCACGGTGATGACGCAGGCCCGTAATCCCCACCCGGGAGGCTGAGGCAGGAGGACTGCGAGGTTCAGCTCAGCCTGGGCAGGTTAGTGATTTACGAGGACCCAGTTTCAAAAACAAAACAAAACAAACAAACAGACTGTGGGTGTAATGCCTTACACAGGCCCCATATTAACTGAAATTAGATTGCTAAATTTAAAATATGAATTGTAATCCCGGATAACACCATTTCCCTTGTAATACCATTTCCCTTCCTTTCTTCCTTTCTTTTTTCTTTCCGAGACGGGATCACGAGGTGGTCCAGGATGGCCTTGAACCTGCAATGACCCTCCTGCCTCCTACCTCAGCCTCCAGAGTAGTAGAATTGCAGGTTTTCACCGCCATGCCTGGCTAAGTAATTCTTAAGATATGGTAAAATAAGGGAAAGGAAATGTCACAGAAGGAAATATAAAAGAGGGCTCTGAAGAAAGAACAGGACAGTGACAGAAACACATGTCCTACTCCATCAGCAATTACATTAAATGTAAAGAGGCTAAACACTGTGGTCGAAAGACAGAGACCAGAAGATGCATCGGAAAACATGGAGGAACACCGTGAGACCACGGAGGCGGTCTAGGAGGAGCACACGTTAGATTCAAAGACACAGATTGGAATGTAGGGCTGAGAATATAGCTCAGTGGCACGGCACTTGCCCCCGGAGAGTGCAAGGTCGTGAATTCAATCCCCAGCACCAAAAATAAATAGAAATACAAAAGGATGGGGAAAGACACACCATATCAACAGTGGCCTGCGAGGACAGTGGTCCCTAAACTGATAGTAGCCCAAAAACTAGAGACAAAGATGGAAACATGATAAACACATCAATCCATCAGGAAGTCAAAGCCACTGTAAATGTGTAATATATGCCTATAAAAGTTAAGTGTAAACAAGCCAAGTGTGTTGGTGTATGCCTGTAATTTCAGGGCTCGGGGGACTGAGGCAGGAAGATTGCAGCAAATTCGAGGCCAGCTTAGACTACATAGTGAGTTCGAGGACAGCCTGGACTGCATAGCGAGACCGTGCCACAAACAAGATAAACACAACCCAAAATTGTAAAATGTAAAGACACCGCAGGGCGCGGTGGCTCACGCCTGTAATCCCACACTCGGGAGGCTGAGGCAGGAGGATTGTTGTGAGTTCGAGACCAGCCTGGGCTACAGAGTGAGCTCAAGGCCAGCCTGAGCTGCACAGCAAGACCCTGTCTCAAAAAGACAAAAAAAAAAAAAAAAAAAAAAAAAAAAAAAGTAAAGACATCTAAGTATATATGTTAAAACTCCAAAATAAGGGGAAAATACAAAATAAATGAGGAAAAACTTACGGAACTGTAGGGAGGATAGACAATCTGAAGATAATTGTCAGGGAGTTTAATACCTCATTCTCAATAATAGAACAACTAAGCAGACCATCAACAAGAAACCAAGAGGTCCATTTTCCCACCGCTGCGGGTATGGAAAGAGGAGGAGCACAGGGGAGGAGGTGTGAAGAACCATCCCAATCTCTTTTTCCCATCAGCCCTTGTCTTCTATTACTGATTCCTATTGGTCAAGCCTTACAGGAAGTCAGAGGGCCTAGGTTCCTATTGGTCAAACATAATAGGAATTAGATGAGCAGAGGATTCTGGGAAATGTCCTCAGGGTTCAGGGGCATTCCTACTGATCAAACCTTACGTCAGAGAGCCTGGGCTTCCTATTGGTCAAACATAACAGGAACGAGGTTGGCAGAGGATTCTGGGAAATATTCGCGAGGCTCAGGCAGTTGGAGTAAAGTCTGATTCCACTTCCATGGCCTCTAACAATGGCTAAGTCTGCTTCCTCTCCCCTTTCAGTTGCCGGGGGTTCTTGTCGCCTTACTGCTGTTTGTCAAACTGGGCTGACCTGCAGGCTTTGGAAGGGTGAGACACAGGTGCCAACCTGACTGCTGCAGATTGGATCTCACTTCTATTTCTCTGTGGCACTTACTGTGTCTGGGAGGGGGATTGGTAATAATAATCAAAATAAAGATCAAGAACCACCTGTCCACCCTGTCTCCTTTCTCTGGTTTTATTTCTGACACCAGCTGGCAATAGCTGCAGCTCAAATTGTTACTATAATGAAAAGCCCGAATGTGGAAATGTGTAAAGGTTCATTTAGTTTAGCTTGGGACCATGAAAGTCAAACAGCATGGCTTCTGTTGTGAGAGCTCCTGGCACCTAATGACCTATGGCGCTGTAACACAGGAGCCGAGGGCAGAAGAGACAGGTCAGATGGTGTGGGCGGGGTCAATGTTGGCCCCTCCCACTTGTCCCCGCCTTTTAAGGGTCCTTCCCGCCCCTCCCCCACTTCCAGTCTGGTGACTGAGGTTTTCATGCAACAACCTCCGGGTACAAACCACATCCAAACTATAGCAGATCTGCCTCCTCTCACAACTTTCCTGGGTTTTTGTTTTTTTGGTTTGTTTGTATTTTGGTATCAGGGATCAAACTCACGACCTTGCATTTGCCAAGCAGGCACTTACACCACTAAGGTAAATCCCCAGCCCAGCTTTTCTGTTTTGTAATGTGGGAAAATCTACAATGTTCACAGAAGCCAAGAGACACTATCCAAAGGAGCTGCCAAAGACAAATCATTCAGAATCAACATTTTGGCTATCTTGTTTTTCCACGGACAAAATATTTCTTTTATTATTATCTCTAATTAACAAATCATAAGTGCATATATTTATGAGATGAAATAATACAGTGAATGATTAATTTTTGTTTCCATTTTAAAGAGAATAAAACAAAGTGAAAAGAAACCAATCAGAACAATATTGGATTTCAAAAACAAGACAGTAACAAATCACCAATACTGGGGCTGGGATTTAGCTCAGTGGCATAAGCACCTGCCTTGCAAGCGCGTGGTCGTGAGTTCAATCAACAGTACCACACATTGTTACCCTCCAAGCAGTTGCTCAGATGACCAGACTCAGGGATACAAAGTCAATCAGACAGCACAAGCACTGAAGGGTTTCTTTACTTCAGTTGCTAGCACTGAAAACATTTCAGTGTGTGGCTTCTAACTTCTTCTGTGTCGGTGTCTCCTGGGCTTGTTCTGGGTGGGCTGGAGGTCTGCTCCATGGTCTTGACAGTTTCCTGGGTTCCTCCAAATCAGCTGAGTGCTGAATCCTGAGTGCTTCCTGCGCTGGCTTCCCGGCCTGTGGTGCAGGGGATCGGGCCGGGCCCCTGGGTCCCTCTGATTTGAGGTTCCTGGGATGACAGACAGGTGCAGAGCCCAGGCTCAGCAGTGCTTCCTGATGGCTGCAGGGCCTTGGAGTGTGGTCTGTTGTTTTTTAACTGGAATTATTCTTTTTTTTGGTACCAGGTATTAAACTCATGACCTTGTGCTTGCTGGCCAAGTGATTATGCCCCTGAGCTAAACTCCTAGCCCCATCTTTGTTTTTTTAAAACAGGGTCTTACCGTGTAGTTCAGATTGGCCTTGAACTCCCTGTGTAGCCCAGGCTGGCCCTGAACTCACTGCATCCTCCTGCATCAGCCTCCTGAGTGCTGGGATTATAGGCGTGTGCCTCCATGCCTGGCTCCCCTGTCCCTCTGACTGGGGCACGCCTCACTGGAACCCCTCATGCTCTGCTCGAGTCTGATCCTGTAGCGTCAGTAGAGTGCAGATCTGTCTACCTGGAGGGTGACCGGATGGGTTCACGGCTCACTGCAATGTCAGGAGGTGAGGCCCGTTTGGACGTGGTCACCACGGTATAACCTGAAAAATACATTCCCCCCCCCCCCCGGCTGCCGTGGCTTGAACCCCGTTTCTCCCTCAGAGCCAGCCCACCGTGGCTGGACACCATGAGCCATGATAAGTGCCCTCCTTTGAGTCGTGGCCATCAGGTACTTTGTGTCAGTGGCAGGAAGTGTCTGAGACACAGGAGGTGGAACCCAGTGAGGCCAGGGCCCTACACCTGAGCTGTCCGGCCAGCCGCCTTCTGTCTGTTTGGACAGTGCTGTGACCTGCCAGGGGGCCAGCTGGGCCACATAACGGCCTGGCCCAATCACTTTCTTTGTTAAAAGCTGCAGAATGAGCCGGGCATGGCGGCTCATGCCTGTAATCCAGCACATGGGAGGCTGAGGCAGGAGAATTGCCTGGTGTTTGAGGCCAACTTGGGCTGTAAGTGAGTTCAAGGCCGGCCTGAACTGCATAGTGAGCCCCTGTCTCCAAAAAAGCAAATAAGTATTTTTATTAACTAATTAAAACCACAGGGCCCCACCCTCGTGACCTCCTCCAATCCTGCTCGCTCCCCAAAGCCCCACCTCTGAATACTATTATTGGAGGGATGAGGTCTTGGGGACCCCTCCATCCTGTGGCCAGCACTTGTCTGCCCCCGCCCGGGTTGCCATGGGCTTCTCTCTCTGTGCAGCTGGGTAAAATGCTGGCCTACCTCAGGGCTTCTGCAGTGAGAAAACTCTCCTCGCGGGGCCTGGTTTGTGATAAAGGACTTTCTCAGGGACCATAAATGGGCGGGAGGCCTGAGGCAAAGTAGGGGACCTTAAGGCACGTGTCCTTTCCGGGCCACCATCCTCCAGCAGCTGGATAAGTTCACTAACTCACAAGCGCTGAGCTTGGTTTTCTTTGTTGTGTTTTGTTTGTTGGCAGTAGCAGAGTTTGAACTCAGGGCCTTCGCACTGAGTCCCTTCCTCAGCCGTGTATGCTTAAACATTTACTTTGAGACAGGATCTCTCTTTAAATCACTGAATTTCCCAGGCTGGGCTTAACCTTGTGATCCTCCTGCCTCAACTTACCAGAGTGCTGGGTGACAGCTGTGTCTCTATGGCTGTCGTCTCGTAGGGCTTTTATGGAGGTCTCGTTGCTTGGACATAATTCATTCACTGGCCACCACAGATCAATGTACTGCCTGGTCCCTCTGTCCATCCAAGAAGTGACAGAGGAGGCGGGATGGGCTAAAAAGGACACCTCTCAATCTGCCTGCTGGCAGCTCCATCTGAGCTCTCAGAAGCGAGCCCCATCTGGGCCCCAGTATGCAGTCACCTTGCTGACATACAGAGACTTCTCACCTGAAACCCCAGGGCTTTCAGAGTTGCATGGCAGGAACCTGTGGGGGAAAGCCAGATATTTATTCTTAGATTTTTTGACTAACAAATATTTTTTTTGCCTTTTTGAGACAGGATATCGCCATGCTGTCAGGCTGGCTTTGAGCTTGGTCTTGAACTTGCAATGATCCTCCTGCCTCAGCCTCCTGAATTCTGGGATTCTAGGCATGTGACAACCATGCTCGGCTATAAATAAATTTTTTTTTGACAGGATAGCCAGGAGTAGCTGTTATCAGAGTTACTCAGGAGGCTGATGCAGGAGCGCTGCAAGTTCAAGACCAACCAGGGCGACCTAGTGAGATCCTGCTTCGAGATAAAAAATAAGCCGGGCTGGGGCTGTAGCTCAGTGGTGGTGCATGCGCTTCGCTCGCTGAAGGCTCTGGGTCCAGTCTTTGGCAGAAAGAAAGATAGAATGAAAAAGAAAGAAAGAAAAAAGAAAAGGAAAGGGAGGAGAGTGAGAAAGGGGCGAGGCGTTACAGCACACACCTGCCATCCGGCCGGGGGAGGCTGAGGAAGGAGGGTCGCCTGCGAGTTCGAGACCAGCCCAGGCCACAGCGGGGCTAAGGCCTGCCTGGACTGCAGAGCCAGCCCCTGTCTCAAAAAATCAAAACCAAACTCAAGAAAGAAAGAAAACAAGGCACAAAGGTACCAAGCACTAGTTCTTTTTTAGGGAACATTGATTTATTTTTAAAGTTTCTACTTACTGAATTTGGACTGATGACTTTTTTAGGCCATTTTTGGCCTGATGACCAGTTAGAATGGTTAAACTGTGCAAGTGTATTTCTGGCTGCTTCTGTTTAAGATTTACAAAGCTTCCAGTTGGGCCAGCAGCTCCCTGGAGGTCACTGCCACCAAATGCAGCATCCTGTCACCAAATCTTGTGGATAAGACATTTATCTTTGCATTGCAAAAGCCCATGTAGAAATTAGCTCCACTTTTGACTTTTTAATTTATAAAACTCCACTACAAAGACATCCAAATAATTTTTTAACTTTAACTTTTTATCGGTGCCAGGGATCGAACTCACGACCACCTGCTTGCAAGGCAGGTGCTTATGCCGCCTGAGCTAAATCAAATAATTTTTTAAACAAGTCCACAAAAATACTCTTTTTAAATAATCAAACACTTTTATGAGAATAAAGATCCTAGCCGGGCGTGATGGCATATGCCTGTCTTCCCAGAACTTGGGAGGCTGAGGCAGGAGGATCATTGTGAGTTTGAGACCAGCCTGGGCTACAAAGTGAGCTCAAAGCCAGCCTGAATGGCATAGTGAGACCCTGTCTCAAAAAGACCAAAAAAAAAAAAAAAAAAAAAAAAAGAAGAAGAAGAAGAAGAAAAAAAAGAATAAAGATCCTTCAAAAATGTGCCTTGCTGAGTGGTGCCAAAATTGGTCCTGGTTAAAGTCTGAATCCCTGAGCACCATCTATCCCTGGCCTGGCCAAAGCTGTCAGATGAGACTCGGGACTCTTTGCTTTCTGATAAAGACAATTCCTGCTGAGCAGTAGGAGAAAGATGAGCCCGATGACGTGCTGCAGCAGCTTGAGTTGAAGTTTCTGAAGTTATTCTTGTGAGAATCTTTCATGATGAAGTGTAGCCGCCATCTCGCCACTCTCTGAGGTAGGAACTTCTCCTAGGCACTGGTTCTGTACTAGGGATCAGCGAGAAGGGGCCTGGCACAGAAACCTGGCAGAGGAGGGGAGGAACAGTGTGAACACCTGGAATAAACTGCCAGGCTGCAAACGGCTGGTGCAAAGGCCCTGCGGCACAGGGCCTGGTGTTTGAATACCAGGGAACAGAGCAATGTGGTGGGATGCAGGCGAGATGGGGAGGGAGTGGAGAGCAGGGCGAAGGCTGTGCATCAGCATGTGGGCCGCCTTCTCTATGCGCAGGGGGCCATGGAAGGTTCTGACCTGGGGCCAGGTGTGTGTGACTCACGTGCCTGCTTTGTGCAAGAGAAATCTTCTTACCAGGATTATCTAGAGAGACGCCCTCCCTGCCCCCCACCAGGGGGCTCAGCTCTTTGTGCTGTCTAGGATTAAACCAAGGCCTCACACAGCTTGCGAGGTTGCCTCACACTGTGGATCCTCCTGCCTCGGCCTCCTGAGTAAGTGAGAAGAGGTGTGCAGCGCCGAGCGAGGTCCAGCTCGGGGCGGCCTCAGCTTCCCTGTCCTGGACGCCGCCCTTCCCCTCCAGGACACGAAACGACTGCCCTTTGGCGTGATGCTTTATTCTTTCTCAGTGGAAGGGAATGCCCGTTCCCAGCCCGACAGGAAGGGACGCCAATGCAGAGCTCCCGGAGGGGAAGGGGCGGGGAGGCCGGGCACGAGCGGCGGGGCCCCCCTTCCAGACCCGGCCTGCAGTTTGTCGTTTACATGCTGTTTGAAGTACAGGAAGCAGCGCTCCGCGGAGCAGAGGCAGGAGCGAAGGGAAGGCGGGACCGAGACCAGGAAAGAAAACAGGAGCCACGTCCCGGCTTTCCCACGGCACTGCGCACGCGCGGGCTGCTGGGGCGGCGCTAGGGCGCATGCGCAGGGCCGGGACCACCGCCCCCAGCCCCCGCCCCGCCCCCACGCATGGCCTGGAAATTTGTGTCCCTAAACTCTGCAAAGGTCCCTCCCGTGCCGTGGTCTCCGAGGAGGGCACCCGTTCAGGTCCCAGTGACCGGCATGGGTGAGATCTCTCCCCCTGTCTAATCTCACCATGAAAAAAAATCTGCCTTATTTTTTTAAAAGAAACATGCAAAAATTATTTTTGTCACATTATTTTCGGTTTGAGAGAAGCCCCAAAGCAGATGCCTCTTGAAACTCAACTCTTGAATTTTTTTTTTTTTTTTTTTGGTTTTTAAGACTGGCCTCGAGGTACAGCCCAGGCTGACCTTGAACTCAGTGACCCTCCTGCCTCAGCTTCCCCAGTGCTAGGATAACAAGCGTGTACCACCACATCCGGCAGTCATTCAATTTCTTGTTCAAAAATATCCTCCATTATATAAAGCTCTAGAGGCAGCCCCTGGTGTGGGGTACATGGAGTGATCTAAAAATAAACCTAAATGAACCTAAATGGGTTGCTACTGTGACACTACCCCGGGGAGGAGTCCCTGCCATGCCGCCGGGGAGCTGGGGACACAAGCTTTCTCCTCAGGCCATCCACACAGCGCCGGTCCTGTTCTGGGGTTCCAGTTGGCACGGGGGGGAAGGGTGTCCCCAGCAGTTAGGACCCCCAACTTCGGGGACTCCTTGACACTGGTCACAGCCTGCCCCATTAACTGGACAGCCTGGCACTCCAAAAAACCCAAGCTTCAGACCCCTCCTGTGGCTCCTCCTGACGCCCCGCAGAACCCCTCCTAAGGGACTTCTCTGCAAGCGTGAAAGTCACATCCCTGAACCCATGGATGCCAGAGCTCAGGAACAGATACTGAGCCTCTGAATTGAAGAAGCCAGAGCCCTGACATCAGAAAGTCACAGGCAACCCTGCGTGGTGGCATTCACCCAGAATCCCAGCTACTTGGGAGGCTGAGGCAGGAGGACTGCAAATTTGAGGCCCGGCCTAAAAACCTGACGAGACCTTGTGTCAAAATTAGAAAGGAGCTGCAATGGGGCTCAGTGGGAAGAGGGCCAGCAGGCCAGCTTCGTTAGGGTGAGGCCCTGGTCCCAGCCCCCCGCACCGCAGAGAAGGAAGGGAAGGGAAGGGAGGAAGAAAGGGAGGGGGGCCCAGGTTGTGGAAATGTTGCCCAAGTCCCTTGTCGGCAGGATGTGAGATTTAGAAAGATCTTACTTAAAATACAGCCAGCCAGATGGAGCCCGGGCTGGTGGGAGGCTCTGGACTCAGCTCCGAGGTTAACACCAGGCAGAGAGAAATCCCTAAGGTGTGGCCCAAGCCAAATTCCAGAACTCAATCCAGGACCGGCCCCTTGACATGAGTAACGTGGGCGCCAGAGGGAACCCTGAAGGCACTTTTGGAGTCCCTGATGCCAGGGGCCGCTGGACTTCTGAACTCTCAGCAGTCCTCCTGCCTCAGCCTCCTGCGTGCTGGGATGACAGGCACGTACCACCGCACCCAGCTCCTTGTCCCTTCTGTATTAGGAAAACGGGCCTTACTATTCAACCTGTCAGCCAGAGAGAGAGGCCTGTGGCGCCCCAAATTGTGATTTCATCTTAGAGCCTTTTCAGTTAGGGGCTCACAGGGCAGGCTCAAGGCTAAGGTGGGGGACCTGAGGAAGAGGGGCTGCCTCTGCCTCCCCCTGGAGAACCTGCATCATGACACCTTCCCTGGACTCTACACACCAGGCAATGCCCTGCACAGAATGCCCCCAGAAAATTCTAACAAAAGGCACGATGGAGGTCTCTTCCTCAGGCATGGCGGGACATGCTGCCGACAGTCACCCAGCTAAAAGGCCTCAGAAAGCAGCGAGCTTGTGCATGAGGACATCCCCAGCTGCTGCCGCCTGCGGTGCTGAGTTGAGCCTCTGGGGTTGTGGATGGAGGTGACACAGAGAGGGAGTGAGCCATGCTGGGGTGGGGAGGAGGAGACAGGCGTGAAGAAGGGGCCCTGAGCTTGGGAACAGCCCTTATGGCTCGGGCGTGGGTCACAGTCCCTGAGGAGGCAGATGAGGCAGGCGAGGGCCGAGGGCCCCCCTAGCAGCCACAGCCACTGGGCTGGGGCGGCACGGGGTCCCCCAGGACGGGGGCTTTCCCGTTGCTTCCAGGGCTGGCACTGGGTTCCAAAGACTCATTCATCTTCTCACAGATGATGTCCACCAGGCGCTCAAACACCTGCTTCACGTTGATGTTCTCCTTGGCGCTGGCCTCGAAGAACTCGAACCCTGGAGGGAGGCAAGGTAGGGAAACCCCTGAGTGCCCTGGGCCGGGACCCGGGCTGTGGTATCCCTCGCCAGCCTGGCCCTTTATACTGCTGTGCAACCTGGGCTGAGCGTCTTAGCCTCTCTGAGCATCAGTCTGCTCATCTGTAAAATGGGAACAACCATGTCTCTGTGGCAGCCCTGGAGGGTCCTGGAGGACCCAAAGAATTTCTGTCACGGGGAATGGCCACAGGTGTCCAGGTAGCAGTTGGTAGCCAGCTGTAGCAGCACCAGCCTGAGGTTCCAGCTCCTCAGGAGGCTGAAGCAGGAGAACTCCTACAGCCCAGGTGTTCAAGTCTTGCCTGGGCAACACAGCAAGAGCTCATCTCAAAAATAAAAGAATGAAAAATAAAAGGAAAAAGGAATGAGTTGATTGTAGCTCAAAGATCAGCAAATTTCCTCTGTAAATAGCCAGAAGAGGTTTCATTGTGGGGAACCCAGGTCCCGCAGCCCAGGTTGCGCACTCACTCACCGAGGTCATCAGCGAGCCTCCGGCCATCCTCGGCAGGGACAACCCGCTCGTCCTCTAGGTCACACTTGTTCCCCACCAGGATGACTTGGGCATTGTCCCAGGAGTAGGTTTTGATCTGAGTGGCCCTGTGGAGTTGGAGGTCATGAGCGGGAGGGCAATGGGTCGGAAGGTCAGGGGTCAGGGGTCAGGGGTCAGGCGGACTCACCAGTCCTGCACGGCGGTGAAGGACTCCTGGTTGGCGATGTCGTACACTAGCAGGAAGCCCATGGCCCCGCGGTAGTAGGCCGTGGTGATGGTCCGGTAGCGCTCCTGGCCCGCCGTGTCCTGGCAAGTGGCAAGGAGCGGCTGTCAGGGCTGGGGTCCCTGTGCCCTCCCGGGGGGCCCACCCGCCGCCCTGACCCCTGGCCCACCCAGATCTGCAGCTTGATCCTCTTGTCGTGGCGGTACACGGTCTTGACCTTGAAGTCGATGCCCACGGTGCTGACGAAGGCGGGCGTGAAGGAGTCGTCGGCGTAGCGGAAGAGGAAGGACGTCTTGCCCACGCTGCTGTTCCCGATCAGCAGCAGCTTGAACATGTAGTCGAAGTTCTGGTCGGCGGCGTCCCGAGAGCCCGCCGCGGGGTCTCCGGCTGATGCCATGCTGGCAGGGGCCTCGTGGAGCTGGGCAAGACGGGAGCCCTGCGGGGGGCGGGGAGAATCGAGCACGGCTAAGAGCCCCCAGTGGACCCAGCTGGCCTGGGTTCCAACCAGCAGAGCCAAAGAGCCCTGGCTGCATATCCTCTTTTGGAAAATGGGATGGCTGTCATCAACTCGACCTGAAAAAGCACATGGTGGGGAGCCTTACATGCCTTTCTTTAGTCACTCAACAAACACGTACTGAGTGCAATTCTGTGCCAGGCTCTGTTTACCGCAGTGACATGGCAAGGAGTAAGACAGGGCAAAACCCGCCCCAGGAATAGTCATGAGCCCTCTAGTGGGAGGTTATTAATTCATTTAATGAGCATAAAACAGTGCCAGACATGTATTTGACCATATATGCAATTCCTGTTTAATCTTTACACAAACAGAGGTCTCTTTCTCTTTCTTTGGTTTTGAAACTGGGTCTAGGCTGGCCTTGAACTCACTATATAGCCCAGAACTCACAGCTATCCTCCTGCCTCAGCCTCCCCAGTGCTGGGATTACAGGCTGCACCACCACACCCTGCTTCTGCAGTGAGCCCAGAGCCCTGGCAAAGGGTTCCTATACAGGGCCCAGGGTGGTGTGTGTGTGTGTGGGGGGGGGACAGGTGCCTCCAGCGGCCACCAAGGAAGTCTGCAGAGCCCGAGTGGACTTTGCCCCAGGGTGAGCAGCTGGTGCAGCCCAGGTGTGAGCCCAGGGGGACTCTGCCAGCTGCGTGGAGCACCCAGGTCTGGGTGTTGACTTTGCAGGTGCCTGCCCTGCCCCCAGCCCAGCCCAGTTTAACCCTTCCTGGAATCCCCCAGGGCTGGGCCACTGCTGGTCAAGGCTTGGGTTTAACTACCTGCTAGCTGCCCACAAGTGGTCGCCTGTGGTTTCTGCTTATCAAAGGGGCCAGGCGGGACCCAGGGAGGCCAGAGCCTTGGATCCAAGCAAAGGGTCGCAGCCACCTGGTCACCTCCAAGCCCACACCTCCACGGCAGCTCCCACTCCTGGTCCTGTCTCCAGGCTGCCGCCTCGACCCTCATTCCCTCCGCAGGCCTCAGTTTCCCCAGCCTGGGCAGCACAGGAAGGCCGCAGATGGCCTGCACACTCACAGAGGAAACCCAGGCAAAACTATTTCTCAACCGCCTGTGAGCCTTTTTTTTTTTTTTCCATTTTAACCGAGGACCCAATGGGCCCCACCCGTGTTCCGGGAGAACGGGTTTGAGGAGGGGCAGCGCTGACGCCCTATGGGCAGGGCCACCAGGCTGGGGTCCCCGCCCCACCCCAAGCTGCCACCTCTGCGGATCACCGCAGTCCCTTTCCCGTCTCTCTGCCGACCCTCTTCAGGCAGGCCAGGGTGCCAGGTCCCCGCGGGCTCGATCCTCCCCGTTCACTGTTTTGGGGAGCCCCAGCCGGTGCAGGGGCGCTCAGCCGCCACCCCCATCACCATATGGTCCAGCGTGGGCCCCCAGCTGGGCGCCCGCCCCGCCGCGCCCCACTCCCGCGGCCCACGGAGCCCAGCCGGGTGCGGCCGAGGAAGGGCGTCGCGCGGACCCCTCTGCTCCCCGGACCGCCCTCCCGCACCCCGATTTCCTTCCCCAGCCCCCCTCCGCGTGGACGGACCTGCCGGAAAGCGCAGGCGCGGAGCGAGGTGCGCCCCCGCCGAGGGGTCACACGGCGACAGGGCGCTGCTCGCGGGGACCCAGCTCCGAACCTGACGCCTGGGCCGCGACCCCCGCCCGCAGCCGCCGCCGCCGCCGCCGCCTCCTGCAGCCTCCCGGATCCCGCGCGGGCTCCGCCCAGGCGGAGGGGCGGGGCCATGTGGTGGGCGTGCCCAGGGGCGGGGCTTGTCGCTAACGGTGGGAGGGGCGGGGAGCTGTCTCCGAGGTCCAGAGCTATCCGTACCCTAGCAGCAAAAACTCCCATTTCCCTTTCTTACCCTTCTTCCTTTCTTTTTTTGCGGTGCTTGGGATGAAACTCAGGGTCTCCAAGGAGCTGCGTCTCCAGCAAGAGCTCCTATTACTGTATACGTCTGGCGGTTAAGAGCCTGGATTCCAGCTGGGCCGTGGTAGTGCAAGCTTATAATGTACCTTGGGAGGCTGAGGAAGGAGGATCGCCACAAATTCGAGGCCAAACTGAGCCTATGTCTCATTTGAAAATAAAAAAGGCCCAGATTCTGGAGCCCGTTTTGAATCCTAGATCTATCGCCTCCTAGTCTCATGACTGTGGACAGGTTATCTCAGCACTCTGAACCTCGGTTTCTTTATCTGTCCTAAAGCAGCAGCTCCCCATCCCAGTGCCATGCCTGGCTCTAAAGTGGGCGGGACACCTTTGCTCAGCACTCTTAACGGCTCTTAATGAAAACTTTCACAGATGAGGAAACAGGCTGGGGGGGGACAAGTCCTTGCCTGGAGGGACACGGTAAGATATGGGGGGCGGGGAGCGGTGGTGCAAGCCTGTGACCCCAGCTGTGGGGAAGTTGAGGCAGGAGAATCACTAGGAGTTCAAAAACAGCTTGGGCTACAAACTGAGTTCAAAGCCAGCCTGAGTTACATAGTGAACATTTTTTAAAAAGGGGATGGGAGCCATGCACAGTGGCACACCCCTCTAATCCCAGCATTCAGGAGGCTGAGGCAGGGGCACTGTTCCAAGTTCAAGCCCAGCCCAGGCTACAAAGTGAGCTCAAGGCCAGCCTTAACTGCATAGTGAGACCCCGTCTCAAAAAGACAAAATACAATAAAATAAAAAAAGGGTTTGAGGCTGTAGCTCAATGTTAAGGTCCTGGGTTCATCCATGGTACTGTAAAATAATAAAAATTAAAAGAATAACCTGGCATCCAGGCCATGCTGAAGTACCAACATTTTCTTCAAGCCAGCAGGGGTGATCCTGCAGTCAAAGGAGTCGGGGCTTAGCTGGCATTTGGATCCCAGCAACACCACTCTAAGCAGCTTCTCTGTGGCCCCACTGCCTCGTGGGAACAGCAACTGACTCCACCAGCTGATGCACAGATAAAACAAGCTGGGGTGCATTAGCTAGGGAGAGCCAGACATGCTTGGTAACAAGCACCCCCAGCCTCTGTGCTATCTAGTAGCCAAGGTGCGGCTTGCAGAAAGGTGAAGGGACTGTGCAGACAGTGCTGTCCACATGCCACTTTTGGTCACTGGTCAAAAAGAATTGTCAGTGGGGTAGAAAATGATTGTTGAGGGGGCTGAGCAAGAAGCAGCATGCCCGCCTTCCTGGTAAGCGGCCCATGTTGCAAGTGTGCAGCGGGCGAGCCAGGAAGAGAACAATGTCTCCCGTGAGCCTACCGGCACGGGGGAACACAACCAGAGTTAATAGCAACCAAGACACGGAAAGCAATAAATGCTTGTATTGGTGAGGTGATCATGCTGACCTGGGGCCAAGGTCTGATCATCTCTTGGGAGGATGACAGTATGCAACATGGTAAATATGGGGGATTTCCTTCCATCTTCTCTTTGAAGGCCAATATTGTTTTCACTGTTCTGGTTTGTTCTGATGAATTGTTTTGCTCTATTGAATATGCTGTTTTAATATTTTATAGTGTTCTCTATTTGGTTTGGTTTTGCTATACCTGATTGAATGGACAACTCCTGTGAAGATAAGGAGATCTATTATGGGACCTATTGCTGTTATCCCGGGAGCCTGCTGTGATGTTCTGTACCAATTTCACTGCACTGTCTCCACTGGCTTTGTTCTGTCTTGTTTTTTGTTGCATTTTGCTACCTTCAAAAAAAGAAAGGAAGAAAGAAAATGATTGTCCCTTAGGGCTGAGAACCAGCTCTGGCTGCAGTGACACATGGTGGGACCCGGATAGTGGCCCACAACTGGGATCCCAGCTGTTCAGAAAGCTGAGGCAGGAGGATTCTGAGCTCAAGGCCAACTCGTACAACTTAGTGATATCCACCTAAAAACATTAAAAAAATAAGTTGAGTGTGTGCACCCCTGTAATCCCAGGACTCAGGAGCCTGAGGTAGGAGGATCACCAGAGGATCACCAGCCTTGATGGCAGAGGGAGGCCTTGTCCCAAAATAAAGGCTAGGGTAGAGCTAAGTTGTAGAGCACTGGCCAGCACATAACAGGCCCTACATTTAATCCCCAGTACCGCAATAAGAAAATCAAAGAGCTGGACCTAATGTATGCACTCTAGAGGCTGAGGCAGGATTACCATGAGCTCAAAGCCAGCCTGTACTACATAGCAAGAGCCTCTCTCCAAAAATAATAACAACAATAACAATAATTATGATAGAAAGGTAACAGTACACAGCCTTGCACTGGTTGACGCCATGCCTGGCATACAGAAGGTGCTCAATAAATGAGCACAATTAGAGAGGCTTAGGAGCTGCAATCACTAACACATCATGATGCACACAAATGGGAAACCGAGGCACTCAACACTACACAGGCACATCCCATCCCGCTTCCCAGGCAGGGAAAACGACAGCAGCTGTTTCCAAGGAACCATTTATTGACGTGCAGGACCCACGTTAGAGGCTGCGGAGACCCAGGGCCAGGCCGGCGAGGCACAGCCCATTGCTTATGACGCAGCCCAGGTTGCAGAGCGAGGACAGGCCGTGGGAGCGGAGGAAGTTCTTGCGCAGGGCACTGTACTTGGGGTCCTGGTCTCGCAGCTGGCGGTAGGGGTCCGGGCCCTGCAGGGTGCCCGGCACCTCCCCGCCCAGGCCATGGTCCCTCTCCACCCTCTGCAGGGCCCACATGGTGGCGGTGGTTCGAGGCTCCAGCCAGCGCGCGTTGATGGCAGCCAACACGAGGCTCAGGAGCAGGAGGCAGCACTGCGGGGTGTGAAGGGGAATTCAGGCCAGCCTTAACTCACTGGGTAGCCCTGGCTGGCCTCGAACCTCCTGCCTCAGCTCCTCGAGTGCTGAGATGACAGGCGTGAGCTACCACACTCGGCTGGTGACTGTTCCTGAAACTATCAGACCCTACTGCCCACATCTGAGGAGCTCAGGGGGGACAGGGAGAGCAAGGCAGAGAAATCCTAGACACAGACAGGGTCCCTTGCCTCGTGGGTGGGGATAGAGAATCCTAAATTCCCAGTTGAGCTGGTTTTTAAACAATGAGCTGGGGTCAAAGCCCTGGCATAGCTGAGTCACTGCAGCCTGGCACCAGACCCAGCTACCGGAAGGAGAGGGACCAGCAGCCAATGTAGAGATACGGGGGATAGACAGGGCTTCTGGGGATAGCTGTGCAGGCTGTGCACTGCTCAAGAATATCCAGTGCCCGGCTTTGTCTCCACAGGAAGAGGGACGCTCTGTTTTGTTTTGTTTTTAAATTGCAAAGATATCACCTCTGATGCTCAGTGGGGTCTTGGAAACAAGTCTGTGGGGAGAGTGGCTCTGCAGTTCGCATACCTGGCTGGCCTCCCAGAATGTAAACTGAACCCAGGCACGTTGGGAAGCTGCGGTGCAGAGGTTGACAAAGGCGCAGGCCACGGAGATGTGGAAGTACAAAGGGAAGAGTTTGCTTTGCACCTGACCGAAGGTGTGCCGGGGAAGGTTTCGGAAGAGAAGGAAGCCTGTGACACAGGGGACCACACAGCCATTAGGACAGGTCCAGGTTCCCCTCCCATTTCTTTCCCCACCCTGGGCGGCCAGGTCAAGGGTCCCTACCTGAGGCGAAGGTCACCCACATTTGCATGCCCCAGGCACCCGACAGGACCAGCAGGTGGACCACCTTCACCAAGCCTCCTGGGTCTCCGCTTTCGTCCATGCTGTGTCCTGGGGGAGGGACCAGGCGATCTCAGCTCTACCTTTGCACTGTGAGGTGGCTCAGTCCAGGGACAGGGTCACGACCGATCCCGCAGAGAACCAGGAAAAGCGGCCCAGGGCTGGGGGTGGAAGACGCTCCCTGGCTCCAACCCACCAAGTGTCAGCTCTCAAGATCTAGGGCCCTGTTGACTTCAAAATCCAAGCCACCTCTGAGCCCCCCAATTTCCGCCCCCGCAGGTCGATTTTGCAGCCCTAGCGGTCTTCAGAGACCACTCACCCCAGTTATCACTAAATATCGCCCCAGGGATCTAGTTCTAACGCCGAGACCTCACCCCTCACAACAGGACCCACGAAGACCCCACAACTCCCTCCAATCACGGGAAATCCTAAATCTCATCCCTAGGACTCTGAGTCCTTGTTGGAAACTCGGAACTCAGTCTAGAGCACCGAGACCCGGTGACTAGAGCAGCTGCTGGGACCAGATCTCAAGCGGTAGACCGGCTGAGTCCCGTACCTCACTCCCGCGGTCGCGAATGGACCGCGACCCTCCCGGAGGCCTCTAGCCTTAAATCCGCCCAAACCAACAGGTCGGCCCCCACTGGAGGCAGAAACCAATCAGATAGCGTGTTTGCCACCTTTTGTCCCGCCCTCCTACATACTGACTAATAGGATAGCAGAAACTAGACTGAAATCCCGCCTCCTCGTCAAGGTTTTATCCAATTAAACAGCCGCTACCAAGGCACCAATGAAGTCTTCAGCTACCAACAAGGGGTGGGGCTAAGATGTCGGCCACACCCCTCTCTGTGACTGCCTTTCGGCGAGTTTGCGTTTTTTTAAAGCGATGGCATCCCAACGAGATCAAATTTCAGCGTCACGGCTGGAGACTGGCTTCGCGGTCCCTCATGGGAGAGTATAAAGAGGTGATATGTGGTAGGTGGGAGTGGAAGGGGGTCGGAAGCATGGCGGGCGCAGGGGTCACGCCGCGGGGGCGGGGCTTAACCTGATGACTCCGCCTCCTCACGAAAGAATTCTCCCGGGAGAGGCGGCAGAAGAATCCATGACCGGGAACCGAGCCGGAGAGAGACAGGATACAGGTTTGGGGACTGGCTGCAGTTGACTTGACGCCCCAAGACTCTTCTTTCTTTTTTCCCTCCAAGCCCCTAAGGGCTCCCATGGTGCTCAGATCATTTGCGTGACATTCAAGAACAAACACTTGCTGGGCATGGTGGCGCACACCTATAATCCTAGCTCTCCGGAGGCTGAGGCAGGAGGATAGCTAGGAGTTTGAGGCCAGCCTGAACCACACAGCGAGACCCTATCTCAAAGAAAAGAAAGCTTTTGCAGATTTCAAAACCCTGAATAGGGCTTTGAAGGGTGCATAAGAGCCTTCCAGGGAGACAGAGCCAGGGGGAGGACACCAGGAGGCCCAACAATGGCAACAGAAAATTCTAGAAAGTTTGGAAGACCAAGTGAGTATGATCCAGTGCAAGGATCCCTTCACCTGCAAGCTTTCTTGGCAGAGCTGCCCTGAGACAGGGTGTTGCTAAGTTGCTCAAACTTTTGGCCTCCCAGAGTTCTGCAAGAGCCTCATTTCTTTCTGTGGAATCTCCTGGGTCCTTCTCTCTGCCCAGCTCAACCAGGGGGGCTGGGGTCATCCTTCATCCAACCTCAGCTCCTGTGACAATGGGGAACCCGTGCGTGCAAGGAGCAGGGAGAATCTGGGGTTCTGGGCCACGGCGGGCTGGTCTCAGAGTGGCTCCATCCGCCCTCTTTGCAGCGACCCCCTTTTGGCCGGCCTGCCCCGGGACCCTTACTACTCGCTGCCCTGTCGCCCCTGCCCTCCCTCGCCCTCCACCGCCGATCACAGGACCAGTGACAAGTATTGGGGTTCGCTGCGGGCCGCCCCGGGGGTGGGGGTGGGGCTGGGCGTGCGCCTCACTCTGGGCGGCCCCTCACCCCTGGAGTCTCCCTCAGATAAGGCTTTGGACTTCACGACTCACTGGTCCAGGAGCCCAGAGCCGGACTGCGAGGCAGCCACGTGCTCCGAGCACGGTGTGAGCAGCCGGGACTGGAAGTCGGAGTGGGGCCCAGGGCCGCAGGCGCACGTGGCTGCCCCCTTTGCCAAGCCCGAGCTGAAGAAGGAGGCCCGTCAGGACCGCGACATCCTGAAGTGGGACTGCGACCTCGCCAAGGTCACCCGCCTAGGACCCTTCATCACCAAAGGGTTCGGGGAGGGGCAGCGGGGCCGGGCAACTGTCCACCCCAATGTCGCGGTGCGTCTTTAGCACCTAGAACCGCGCTCTTCGGGCTCCCCAGAGTGGAAGGAACCGCGAATGTGTGACCCTTATTTTGTTCTTCACGCCTGTCATCCCAGCACTCGGGAGGCTGAGGCAGGAGGATCGTTGCAAGTTTGAGACCAGCCTGGGCTGCAAAGTGAGCTCAAGGCCGGCCTGAACCACATAGCGAGACCTTGTCTCAAAAAGACAAAAAAAAAAAAAAAAAATGTTTTGTTCTAAGACAGGGTCTCACTCTGTAGCCCAGGCTGGCCTTGAGCTTGCAGTGATCCTCCTGCCTCAGCCTTCTGAGTGCCGAGACCACAGGCCTGTGCCATCACGCCCAGCTTCAGTGCTCCTGTCCGTGATGCTCTCTGGTGTGGCGTGGCTTTGTGTGTGAGTGGCTGGGCTTGTGTCTGAGGTGTCTGTGGTTGTCTGGGTGAGTGTGCCTGGCTGTGTGTTTGTGGCCGAGGCTCCCGATTTCGGCCATTGTGGGCCCAGTGCCATAAGCACCCCGAGTGGACAGGATGTTGTTAGCCCCTAAAGCAAGAGCAGGGCTGGCACTTCCCATCTGGGGCCACCCGCAGGCCCCCAAACGTGGGGTGTGGGTGGCAGCCCCCTTGTGAGCATGCACAGGTCTCCAGGCATTGGGGGGGCGTGAAGCCCGGAAGCAGCTTTGCGCGGACCATGTTTTGAGCCTTGTGGAACTCAAGAGACCAGCTTTGGTCCCAGCCGCTGGTCTGGGGTGAGGTGAGCATCGCAGGGGCAAATTTCCCCTCCCTGGTGTCCTCTCTCCCTAGAAACCATCTGACACCAGCTGTCCCACAATCAAAGGTAAGGAGAGCCCAGGGTTGCAGGGACTGCGGCTCACTGCTGCCTCCACCCCCACCCCAGCCACCATCCCTGCCCAGGCTTCCTGGACGACAGCCCCTGGTCACCTCTGACCTCTGCTGACCTCCGCCCTGGGTCACTGGATCTCTGTCCTCAGTCAAGTGCACAACGATAAGTCCCGAGTCACAGAAACTCCTGCGGTGTGAATTGGAGTCGCTCAAGAGCCAGCTGCAGGCGCAGACCAAGGTGAATCGCCGCACTGTGCCCCCGCAGCCCGCAGCCTGCTCCCCGCGTCCCCCAGCCCAGGCCTGACCTCTTGCACGCAGGCCTTCGAGTTCCTGAACCACTCGGTGACCATGCTGGAGAAGGAGAGCTGTCTGCAGCAGATCAAGATCCAGCAGCTGGAAGGTGAGCTGTGCTCCGGAGGCCCAGGCCAGGCTGCTTCGAAGGGGCCCTTCTGGGCCAGGCAGGGACACAGGGAGCCTAGGTTTCTGGCCAAGGGCGGACTGGGAGCTGACACTGCCAGGCTCGTCCGTTTCTAGCCAGGCTAAGCGTTGGGGGAGGCTGAGGTTTAGGTCAAGGTCAGGCCAAGCCGAGTTCAAAGCTGCTTAGGGAGCAAGCGTGGTGATGCACACCTGTGGTTGCAGCACCCGAGGCTGAGGCAGGAGGATCTCCTCGATCCGAGACCAGCTGGCCTACGCACGTAGCGAGTCTCTTTCTCAGAAGAATAATGCAGAGTGACCCAGGCTTCCATCAGGGTCCCCCTCCTTTGTCTGCAGAGGTGCTGAACCCCATGGCCCGCCAGGGAGACAAGGAGGGACACAAATGGGACACAGAGCAAAGTCGGCAGGAACTGTACGGGGCCCTGGCCCAGGGCCTCCGGGGACTGCAGCGGACCCTCCGTGACAGCGAGGAGCTGCAGCGGTCTCGGACCACCCACTGCCTGCAGCTGCTGGCCAATGAGATCCGGGACAGGTGTGCGTTGGCGGGAGGCCGAGGGGGGACGGGAGAGGGATGTGGGGAGACCCGGTGAGGGCAGTGGGGGCCACGGCAGGCATGGGGGACAACAGGAAGGCAGGAGGGGGGTGGGGGACAGGAGGCTGGGACAGAAGGCCAGGCAGAGCGCAGGCTGGGGTGGCCGGGAAGGAGGCCAGGGAAGCAGGAGGCTGGGGGTGCGGGGGGGGGGGTGCTGGGGGCCCCCCGGCGAGGACAGGGCTGGGGGTGGGCACAGAGGCAGGAGGGGGAGTGGGCAGGCAGATGGGAAGGGACAGAGCGGGCGATGGTTAGACAGATGGGGACATCGGAGGCGCACGGGGAGGGGCTGTCAAACCCGCCTGTCCCTCAGCAAGAAGTTCCTGTGGGAGGAGCTGGAGCTGGTCCGGGAGGAGGTGACCTTCATCTACCAGAAGCTCCGTGAGTGCGGGACCCCACGACCTACAGGGGGCGCTTTCCTACCGCTCCTGACCCTGAGTCCCATCCCCCCACAGAGGCGCAGGAGAAGGAGATCGCAGAGAACCTCTCCAACATCCAGAAGGTGCAGAGGACGCAGATGAAGTGTCGCAAGGTAGGCGGCGAACTCGGGGCGCTGGGGTCAGGGGGATGCTGCAGGAAGTGGGGGGATGAGAATTTCAGACTGGAGGCCGGTTCAGCTGTCAGCTCTGCCTTTACTGCTTTGTGACCAAGGGCCAATCACATCGCCTCTCCGGGCCTCCATGTGTTCCTCTGTATAATGGGTACAATAGTGGTTCTCCTGCTCGGGTAGCTTGCTTACAAGCGGCCTGGAGCTAAACGCTCCATCCAGTGGTCTCTTTTTACCTCATCCTTACGGTGTCTGATTTCTCCTCCTGCGGGGCCCCAGGTCCTGACGAAGATGAAGCAGCAGCAGGGCTATGACCCATGTTCTGGTCCCGATGACGAAGAGGTACTGCCAGGAAACAAAGGCTGGAAGGATGACCTCCAGAAAGAGCTGAGTGACATATGGTGATGCCCGACCCCAGCCTGACCCCTGACCTCTGACCTCTGACCCCCAACCCCCATCTCATGTGCTTCTCTCCCAGCTCCAACTTCCGGAACATGGACCGCCCTTTCCTCCCAGGACTAGACCCCCGTGGCCCCCGGTCTCAGCCCTGCTCCTGTCATCACTGTGGGCAGTCAGGGTCCCCTGGGTGGCCCCATCTCTGTCTCCCCACAGGTCCGCGGTCCATGGGCTGCAGAATTCCATTGATGGCCTCGTCATGTCCTCGGAGGCCCCCCACAGGGTCTCCGGCCTCAGGGGTGAGAGACTGAGTGTCAGCTTCACTTAAAAGGGACTTGGTGCTGAGCTTCTGTTTAGGGGGGCGGGTCCCACATTTCTGGTCACGTCCAGTAATGTCCTGGGGTTACCAGAAGGGGTCCTGAAGGGTTCATCCAGAGGTCACTCAAGGTCACGTGGGGGGCCCTTGGGTCTTTTTAAAGAGTGGGCGCTGCAGGGCTGGTGGTACAAGCCTGTAATTCCAGCCACTGGGAGGCCGAGGCAGCAGGATCACCGCTAGTTCTAGGCCAGCCCGTGCAACACAGTGAGCTCAAGGCCAGCCTGAACTACATAGCGAGACCCTTTCTCCAAAAAAAAAGAGTCAATAAAGGTGCACCGAGGTCACCATTTGGGGTCACTCTGGGTTGTATAAGGATACAGTGCATCGTGTGAATACTGTGCCTTAGTTTTTATTTTTTACTAGAACACGTCCACAGTGCACAGTGCGTGCCTTCCCGTGTAGGGCTGGTACCTGCACCCAACACATCTCAGTGCTTTTTTAACTTCATTCTTCCCTCCCTCCATCTCTCAGTCCCCTTCCCATTTAAGAAAGACCTCTCTTCATACTGCCTGTTACCTATCTATTATTTTGCTCTTTATCTTTGGGTTTCTCACAGCCGAGAAACCATGCAATGTTGAAACGCGAGGATCTGGTTTACTTCACTTGATATTACGATCTCAGGGTGCTGCCATCTTCCTGTGAATGACTCAAGTCCATCCTTCTTCAGGGCAGAGTAGTACTCCAGGGTGTGTGAATACCACACTCTTCATGCACTGGTCTGCTGATGATGGATGCATAGGCCACTCCCAAGATTTAGCCATTATGAATTCCACTGCTGAGCATGGGTATGCAGGGTTGTGGTGATATGATGTCTTGAACTTCTAGGCAGCACCCTAGAAGGAAATAGCCAGATTAAGTGGAATTTTTCATTTTAGTTTTCTGAGGCCTCTCCCACGGACTTCCATAGTAGTTGCACTGTGGTATAATCTTTTTTTTTTTTTTTTTTTTGGTCTTTTTGAGAGAGGGCCTCACTTTGTAGCCCAGGCTGCTCTGGAACTTGCAACGATCCTCCTGCCTCAGCCTCCCCAGTGCTGGGATTACAGGCGTGAGCCACCACGCCCGGCTCACTGTGGTATAATCTCGAGGGTCCCTGGGACCAGGTCAGAGCTTACTAAGGGGTCACATCCAGGGTTTCTGCATGAACACCCGGAATTGCACCTGTCTCTTCCACAGGAAACAGGGGACACCGGTGCCTGAGCCCTGGGCATCCTTCCTGGGAACCTGATTCCCACTGGGATCCGTCGCCTTTTGGCAAGAGCCACTCCTTCCCTTCCGGTGGGGACCCTCCCTACCCCCTGCTTCTCCTTCGGCTTCTGGCTGACCCGGTCTGGGCGAGGGGTGCACTGACCCACTTTCTCTCTCCACAGTTTGAGCGGCTGGAGTCTGCTCGCCCTGAAGACCCCTCAGAGCAAATAAACTAGCCAGATCCTCGTCGCCCGACTCCTGCCCCTGCTGCTTCCTGTGCAGGAACCCCACCCCCACCCCGTTATCCCCCGGGTCAGGGAAGGTCCAGAGATGGTGTGGGTCAGGTGGGGGGGGTTCGAGTCTCCGCTTCTGACGGACAAGGGGAAACGGACCCAGGGAGGGGAGGAGGGGGAGCTGGGCAAAGCTCCGAAACCCCGCCCTCCCCCAGATCCCTCCCGCCCCCATCCTGGGGTCCTCCTCCCCCTCCGTTCTCCCTTCCTGCAGAATCTATGCTAGCTCGCCCCATCTCCAAGGAGAGGCCCCGCCCTACATGCTAATTATGTCCCTAGTCCCCGCCCTACTTGCCTATGCAAATGAGGCGCCCGGAGGCCCCGCCCCTCCCAGCTCGGAGTCTGCGCGGTGTGGCCGGCCCGGCCGATCGGCTGGGCTGCTCGATCGTGTCCCTGTCCCCGTGTCCGCCGACTGGACCACTCGTCCGTCGGTCCTGCCACGCCAGGTTGTCTAGGCGGAGCGGGCTCTGGCAGCGGCAGAGACAGCCGAGACGGGGGTGAGGGAGAGGGCCTTGGGGCGCCCCCCTCCCCACCCCGGGGGCGTCCTCCTGCCCCTCGATCTGCCTGTCCAGGTGGGGAGCTCGGCTCCCGTGATCGTGTCTTCTCGGGTGCAGCGCGAGGAGGGGGAGGGGAGGCGGCGAGCTGGGGCGGCGGATGGGGCTGGGGGAGGGGCGCTCGCAGGGGGACCCTGTCCCCAGGAGCAGAGCCACCGCGGGTGACGGTGGGTGGCTGTGGCCGTGCGGCTGTCACTGTGTGGTTGTGTAACTGAGGTCCGGTGGCTGTCTTCGTTTGGCTTCGGGTGTGTCCACGAGCGGGTGGCTGTCTCCCGTGGCTGTCGCTGGGTGGGTGTCGGCCTGCTTGCGTGCGTGTGCCGTTGCAGGGTGTAGCTTTCTTTGGGGTGGCCGTGTGGTGGTCCTGACGGCTGTGTGCATGTCACTGTCATTGTGTTACTGCTGTTGTGTGCTCATTCTGATGGCGATTGTTCCCGCAAGCTGGCGTGTGCGCCTTTCTCGTGCATCTGTGTGTGTGTGTGTGTGTGTGTGAGACACTGCATGTATGTGCCCTTGATTAACCATGTGGCTGTGACTGCGTGGCGCCAGGTGTCTCTGGTGACCCTCAGGAGGGTGGTGGGTAATGGACTGTTAACGTGTGTGGCTGTCACCCAGTGCCCGGGACTGGGGGTGTGACTCTGTGACCGGCTTGGTGACTCCTATCCTGTGAGGGGACTGACACATCTCAAGTGTGTCGCAGTCTGCAGTCCCTGGCAGGGTCAGGGTTGGGGCTGTTTTGAGCAGGGTCCCTCTGACTGTGTTGGGGGGGGGACAGGGGTGACCCGTGTGAGGGTCCATGTCAGGCCATGTGCACTGTACTTGGCATGCATGTGTGTGACTGTGGTGATGCATGTCATGGATGTTGGGGACCTGTGTGAATGAGCTGGCCTTTCTTGTGCCTGGTTGTCATTGTGATGGATACCGTGTCGCTGCGTGTGTGTGTGTGTATGTGTGTGTGTGTGTGTGTGATGTCCAGGATAAAAGCTCCGGCTGGGTCACACGCTGGCATTCCCAGCTGGGTGGCTCTGGGTCTCTAGGACCTTTGGTGACCCTAACCCTATGTGTCACACTGCAGAGTGACCTGTGGATGGAACACCGGGCGCAGAGTGCCTACTGTCACCTGCCTGGGCCTCAGCTTCCCCACCTGCACCATGGAGGTGACCGTCCCTGCCCTGCTGGCTGCCAGCAGCGGCCGTGAGTCTGTGGTGGTGGGGGCGGCCTGTAGGAAGCCCTAGGTGCTTTCACAGGTGAGATCCAGGGGGGAATGGGGGTCAGGAGCTGTGACTGTGTTGCCTTCAAGTGCTGGGCCCCAGGTTGGACTGGGGGGGAGGGATGGAGGGTTAGGAGGAGAGGGAAGGGGCAGCTGGGAGGAGGGCGGCCCGCACCAGATGCCAAGCCCCAGAGGACAGAGGAGGCCCCAGTGGGGAAGTGGGGGGGTCTCCGTACAGCTGCTGGGACCTCTTGTGAAGGCCGAGGGGGAGTGGTCCTTCTAAACGCCTGGGTCACAATCTCTTTGCAGGCTGTGGAGGGAGGGGCCACAGGAGTATCTCTGGAGCCCAGAGGAGGCTGGGCAGGTGGTGTTGGGGGTGCCCTCTGCACAGGGGCCACGGGGCAGGCCCTGGGTTGCAGAGGTGTGGCCGCAGGGCTCAGGGATGGGGCTGGGGTCCCCACAGTCCACCTGGAGCGCCCACCCCTCCTTGCCTTTGCAGGCCCAGCCATGGCGGGAGGGAGACCTCACCTGAAGAGGAGCTTCTCCATCATCCCCTGCTTCGTCTTTGTAGAGGTGAGGACCTCAGGACCCTTTCCAGAGGGGACACATCTGTCTTCTCATGAGAAGTAGCTTAGGCTCTGAAGGGTCCTCTCGGCCTCATCCATCCAAACTGCAGGATTCTGGGCACCTGAGCCTCAGTTTCTTCATCCATAAAATGGGTGCAACTTCAGTCCTCTCTTCTAGAAACATTAGGAAAGAAAAATGGCTGCATTCAAGGAAGGAGCTCAGGACACTCTGCCCACAGAAGGGCACCTGCAGTATTGGTCATACTTCAGTTATTTCTGCCCTCTGGATTTTATATCCGTCCGTCTATCTGTCTCTGTTCTCTGCCTGGGCCCTGTGATCTTTCTCCCCCTTCTTCCAATCATTCCCTTCCCTCCCATTCTCTCCCTCTCCGTCCCCTCTTTCCCTGCTTTCCTTCCCCCCATCTCCATCTCTTCCGAGGCCTGCACTTCCCTTCCTCTCTCTCTCCCCTTTCTTCCTCCTCTTTGTCTTGGTCTCTGTCCAGCTTTTGTTTGTTTGTTTTTGATACGGGTCTTGCCATAATGCCCAGGCTGGTCTTGAACTCACGGCGATCCCCTTGCCTCAGCCCTCCCAGTGCTGGCGTGACGGGCGTGTATCGCCACGCCCAGCTGGTCGGTCCCTGGTGTCCAGGGTCTGCCTCTCCCCCTCTGCCTCTGCGTCTCTGTGTCCTTGCCTTCCACACCTCTGATCTCTCTCTCCCTGTCTGCCTCTTCCTGCCCTGGCTGTGCAGTCTGTACTGCTGGGCATCGTGGTCCTGCTTGCTTACCGCCTGGAGTTCACGGACACCTTCCCAGTGCACACGCAGGGCTTCTTCTGCTATGACAGCACCTATGCCAAGCCCTACCCGGGGCCCGAGGCCACCAGCCGGGCGCCTCCCGCCCTCATCTATGCCCTGGTCACTGCGGGGCCCACCCTCACGGTGAGACTTGGGGGTCACCTCCCGGGAGGCAGGAAGGCCTGTGGGGCTGGTGGCGATCTGGGCTTGAAGGCCAGGAAGTCCCCACCTTGGTGTCATCCACAGATCCTGCTGGGGGAGTTGGGCCGGGCCTTCTTCCCCACGCCACCCTCAGCCAGCCCCATCCTCGGGGAGAGCACCATCATCTCAGGGGCCTGCTGCCGCTTCAGCCCCCCGCTACGGAGGCTGGTCCGCTTCCTGGGTGAGTGAGGCCAGGGCAGGCCCTGTGGTGGCAGGAGGGGTACAGGTGCAGAAGTGGGGGATTCAGGGAGCAGAGAGAGTCTTGGGCTCAGGTCTGACATGGTAGAGATTCTGGGGACCTCGGTGGCATCTGCCCCATCTATGACGCTAACTGGAGGAAGAAGACCCCAAAATGAGGCCAGGACAGTCCGGGTGGAAAAGGAGGGACACACTGGTGGCCAAGCACCATGGTGCCACAGGGCAGGGAGATGAGACCGGCTGTCATGTTCAGTGACCCTCTTGTCACAGTTGGTCACAGCATGGGGAGCAAAATGTCACCAGGGCAATCCCAGGAAGTCCCAGACACAGACCTGGACTGTTGGGTTGGTTGGTGTTGAACCTCAGCTATAGTGGGGTTCCAAGGGAAGAAAACCCATTCCTGACATGGGGTGGGTAACCCCAGAGGGACAGAGGCTGGATGTACCAAAGTGAGGGCTTCAGGGATGGGAGACCCCAACTGCTATCATAGTGACCCCAAAGAAAGGGGCACCTTAGCCCAGCGATGATGGGGTCCCCGGTGTGCTTGTGGAGCCCTAAGGAGGCTCCAGGAGAGGGCTGGAGGTCCTCAGGGTGCTCAGAGTGACCTCCTCCGCACCCCACCAGGTGTGTACTCCTTTGGCCTCTTCACCACGACCATCTTCGCCAACGCGGGGCAGGTGGTGACCGGCAACCCCACGCCGCACTTCCTGTCCGTGTGTCGCCCCAACTACACAGCCCTGGGCTGCCCCCCGCCCTCTCCTGACCGGCCAGGGCCTGACCGCTTTGTCACGGACCAGGGCGCCTGCGCGGGGAGCCCCAGCCTGGTGGCCGCCGCACGCCGCGCTTTCCCCTGCAAGGACGCGGCCCTCTGCGCCTACGCGGTCACCTACACCGCGGTGAGCAGCCTGGAGAGGCTCCCCTCCTCCCTGAAGCCACCCCAGTGCTGTGACCCTGTCCTGGGGCGGGGCCTATGCATGGTCCCTGGACACGCCCCCAGCCTGACCACGCCCTCGAGGCTGAGTGTTGTTTGGGCCAGTGATCTCACTCGTTGGCGCCTAGCCACGCCCCTTGCCCCAGTTACACCCCGCCCAAGAGGTTGACTCCACCCCTTGGAGGGTTCAGGACTCTGCACGGGGCTCCGCCTCGTGAGGCCGCACCCCCTGAGTAGGGACCTACGGACAGGGCGGGTGTCCCTTGCTTTGCTTTGACTGTTTCTTTTTTTCTGGCCTCCGATGCTTCTAACCCTGCCAGTGGTCCCTTGGGGTTCGGAATGCCACCTTTCGGGGCTCCTGGACCTGCCCCTTTGGCCCTGACTCCTCCCCCTTGGTTCTGTGGCCACGCCCTAACCCAAGTAGCATCTTTCGCCACATCTTCGGGAGCACAGGCGCCCCAGACTCTGACCTGTCTCCTGGCCACGCCCCCAGCCAGAAAGGCAGTATCCCCACGGGATCGGGATGGGAACCCAAGCTCTGCCTGACCCTGACGAATGTGGCCCCCACAGATGTACGTGACCCTGGTGTTCCGCGTGAAGGGCTCCCGCCTGGTGAAGCCCTCCCTCTGCCTGGCCCTGCTGTGCCCCGCCTTCCTGGTGGGCGTGGTCCGCGTGGCCGAGTACCGCAACCACTGGTCAGATGTGCTGGCCGGCTTCCTGACCGGGGCGGCCATCGCCACCTTTCTGGTGAGTCACTGACCACCCAATTTTGCATGGGAGACCACCACGCCCCGTGTCCCTCCTAGCCCAAGGCAGGCTGCATGATATGGAAAGCACAGACCCCTATGGGCACCCAGGAGAGTACTTTAACCTGCCCCTGCCAGGGTGTTCCAATCCATGAAATGGGACAGTAATAGCACCGAGGTCAGGATGAGGCGTTCCCTCGGTGCCAAATTTAAGGGGTTGAGTGCCAGAACACTCAGTGATCAAGATAAATAATGCTTTAATGAAATACCTTGAAAATTAAATTCATGCTGGGTATGGTAGCTCATGTCTGTAATCCCAGGCACTTGGGAGGTTGAGGCAGGAGGATGAAAAGGTCAAATCTAGCCTGGGCAATTTGGTGAATTAGAAGAAAAAGAGAAGGGGGGATGTAGCTCAGTGTGAAGGCCCTGGGTTCTAGGACAAAGAAAGAAAGCTGAGCATGGTGGCATTGGCCTGTAATCCCAGCACTCAGGAGGCTGAGGCAGGAGCTTGCCACAAACTCCAAGCCAGTTTGGGCTACATAGTGAGTTCAGGGCCAGCCTGGACTACATATCGAGATGCCTATCTGGAAAAAATAATTTCACCTAAATAAAAACTATAAAGTCATGGTCACTAGGTGATGCATATATGTAATCCCAGCAAGTTCAAGGCTAGCCTGGACAATTTAGTGAGAACCTATCTCAATTTTTTTGTTTTGATTTTTTTTTTTTTTTGGTATCGGGGATCGAACTCACAACTTCACCCTTGCCAGGCGGGTGCTTATGCCACTAAGCTAAACCCCAGGCCCTGTTCGTGTTTTTTGAGACAAGGTCTCACTTGTAGTTCATACTTGCCCTAAACTCTCTATGTAGTCCAGGCTGGCCTGGAATTCACAGCAATCCTCCTGCCTCAGCCTGCTGAGTGCTGGGATTACAGGTGTGCAATACCATACCTGGTTTCCTATTTGTTTTTAAAAAATGAAAACAGGCTGGTGATGTAGTTCTGTCTTCAATCTCCATTATGGGGTAAGGGTTCATGCCAAACATCTACAAGGTACAAAATATCAAACTTGTTTTGTTTTGTTGAGACAGGGTCTTAATATCTGGTCCAGACTGGTCTAGAACTTTGTGATCCTTTTGCCTCAGCTTCCCAGGTGTTAGGATGACAGCCAGTGCTATCATGCCTAGCTAAAATATCAAAATATTTAAATGACCCTAAACCGGGCATGATAGTACACACCTGTCATCCCAGCATTGTGGGGCTGTGGCAGGAGGATCTCTGTGAGTTCAAGGCCAGCCTGAACTATATTGTGAAACTATCTCAAAAAAAAAGTCCAAACGAACCCCTCTCCCCTCCAAAAAATAAATGAGTTTGTGTTATAGCTGAAGAGTAGTGTTAGCCTAGTATGCCTGACACCTTGTACACTACAAAAACTCTAATGAAGACAAGTTGAAAGCTGACCTTGCACCACTCTGCCTAACTAGTCCCAGTCCTGTGGGGTAAATAGTAATGCTACCTGCCTCTTAGGTACAAAGAGTGCCTCTTAGTGTCATGTTACCTCTTTTTGAAAACCCGAGCCTCAGTTTCTTTATCTGGAAAATGGGCACGATACTCACATGACTCCTGTGTTCCTGGCCTTTGGCCTCAACACATCCCTCTCCCCCTGTCCAAGGTCACCTGTGTCGTGCACAATTTCCAGAGCCGGCCCCCCTCTGGCCGAAGGCTCTCTCCCTGGGAGGACCTGGGCCCAGCGCCCACCATGGAAAGCCCCCTCGAAAAGTTAAGTGTGCCCCAGGTAAGGGGGCTGGAGAGGGTGGCGGGTGGAGGGGGCCCAGGAGGCAGGAAGTGAGGCGAGAGGTGGGGATGTAGGGCCACTGGGGGAAAGGGGGCGCCCATCTGCGGACCGGGTCCTAGGCAGGGAACGGCCCGGGAGGACGAAGTGCGCCCTCTCCTGTCCCTCCGTCCCAAGGGACAGCGCTCAGCCACCAAACTCTCGTTGTCTGTTCCTCGGGCTCTCGGGTGTGCGCCCGCCTCACCTGGAAAGGCGGGGTCCGGGGGTCCTCTAGCCCCTTCCCTCTGCCTCTCTGTCTCAGGAACCCGAGGCCTGCAGGCCGCATTCGACACCGGCACGGCTCGCCCCATCCAGTGAGTGAGGGGAGGCGGGGGTGGGGGCTGTGGGGGAGGTAGCGGTGGGGGGCGGCGTGGAGATGCGGGGACCCGGAGGCCAGAGCGCTCCCGGGCGCCCCCTGCGGCCCGCTGTGGTCCTAACCCGCCCACCCGGACCTGCAGAGCCGCAGAGCTGCGCCCGCCGTGGCCACCTGATGCCCAGCTGCGTGTCCTCCAGGGCCCCGGCCCTGTGCTCGTCGCCCCGTGTGCCCCGCCCTCGGCTGCGGTCTGAGCCCACGCCCCTGCCCCTGCCCCTGCCCCTGCCCGCGCCCGCGCCCAGCCAGGGCCCCTCGCCCTCCTCCCCCGGGCCTGGGGGGCCGGGCGGGGGCGGGGGCGGGGGGCGCGGCCGGAAGCTGCTGCTGCCCACGCCCCTGCTGCGGGACCTGTACACCCTCAGCGGCCTCTACCCGTCCCCCTTCCACCGGGACAACTTCAGCCCCTACCTGTTCGCCAGCCGCGACCACCTGCTGTGAGCCCCCACCACCCCAGGGTCGGCCAGGCCCTCTGCCCCTGCCACGCGTGCGTGTGTGTGCGTGTGCCGTGTGAGTGCCAAGCCCGGCTCCCCCAAAGCAGCCAGGTCACAGATCAGGAGGTGGCTGGACGGAAACCGGGAACCCCTCCCTCTCCGGCCACCCATCCAGTACCTGTCTAGCGGGTGGGCCCGCGCCCCTAGGGTTGCCCTTTTAAGGGCTGAAACTTGACCCTATTGGTCACTGCCCAGCCAATGAGAGCCTCCGGTTCTCAGAATCCCCACCGCCAAGTTTATTCCAGCCAATCGGCGCCTCCCTCTCACTTCTTGACCTCCTCACACCAGTGGGCAACTCCAGCCGGGGCGGTCGGTGTCTCAACAGCGAATAGGAGGCCTTGGCTCTCAGAATTTCTAGAATGGGTGGGTATGATTCCATCAATGGGGGACCGCCCGAGTCTACGCGGAGGAGGGGTGGGGTCATCCTTTGTCCGCAGGTCCTCAGTCCTCAGACTCTCAGAGCCCAGGTAGGGGGGGGAGGCAGACTCCCCAGGGACCAGGTCCTAGGAGCCCCCCTTGCTGACCCCCGTGTGTCCCCTCTCATCCAGTCCTTGCCGGTTCCCTACTTAAGCAGGGCTTGCCCCAGTTGAGGTTTTGGGGTTCAGGGTGCTGTGTCTCCACTTGCCCGAGCCCGGGGCACTCCCCAAGGCCTTCTCTTTCTTATTAGGGCTGTGGGCAAGGACTCCTCCCCACCCGTCCCTGGTCACTTGCCCACCCTGCCTGGGCCTTAGGCAGACGTGCCATCTCGGGGGGCACGGGTAGAGCGGAGGGGCTCCCCTCCCCTGAGCAGCCAAAGGCAGTGTGCAGAAGACACGCTGTCCTCCCGTCCTGCCCACTCCCCATCTTTAACAAAGACCTGGCTTCTCATCTTTAATAAAAACCTGTTTGTAGCAGAAGTCTGGCTGCCTGCCTGCCTGCCTCCCCCGGGCGTGGGCCTCCGTGGCTGGGAGGCGCCGTGGGGGAGCTGGCGCGGTCTGTCTGAGGACGAAGCTGGGGAGGCAAAGCGGGCCACGGGAGTTGGGGGTTGGGGCCCACATCCTCCTCCGCCAGCCTTTCTTGGTCGGGGCTCTGCTGAAGCCCCTGAGACCCCAAATCCACAGCGAGGGACTCACATGCCTGCGTTTCCCGAGGGGCTGGGGTTCAGCTGGTGTTCAGAGGGCGGAAGGGACAGACTAAGGAAGACCCAGGGTCTCAACTGGCGAGGGATACCAAGGGGCACCGGAGACCCCCACGCTGAGCGCCTGGCCACAGGGGTGAGAAGAATGCTTGTGAGCTGGCCCAAGCCCCAGCTGCGGAGAGTTCTGCAGCCTGGGGGGGCGGGGGGGCAGGGAACTACAGACAGACGCCTCAGGGGCTTTAGACAGACCGTTTGGGACCCGTGTCCTCTAGGGACCAGAAAAGAGGGATCTACACCGTCATTCTTTCATTCAACAAACACTATATAAATACCTAGCATGTCCCAGGTTTCTTAAAATTCTGCAAGTTGGGAAGTCCGGGATCGAGGCATAGGCAGATTCGGTGTCTGGTGAGGACATGTTCCTCGTGGACAGCCATCTCTCTCTAATCAAACACAGTGGAAGGGCGCAGGAGCTCGCTGGGGCCTCGTTTATAAGGGCACTAATCCCATTCTAAAGGGCCCCACCCTCGGGACCTAATCACCTTCCGCAGATCTCCCCTCCCAGCTCCATCACCTGTGAGGTGAAGATTGTAGAAGTGAATTTTGCAGAGGGAGGGAAACAAATACTCAGTGCTCTGTACAGAGGTCACAGCTGTGACCAGACATAAATCCCTACCCACATTCGTTCACATTATTTTTTCAATAAAACTTTATTTAAAAACAAAACCAGTAGGGGTTTGTCTGAGCTCACAGTCAATAGCTGGCCAACCCCTGCTCTAGTGTATTTTTTGGTCCATTTTAGATACACGTACTGATAGCATTCATCACAGGGAATCTATACCTATACATGGTGTAATATCTTCCCTTCCACGCCCTTGCCTCTTTATTTAAATTTGCTTTATTTCCATTTTTCCTATTTACTTGTCACGCACTTTCCCCTCCCTGCTCCCCAGTTCCCTTCCCATTTGAACATTTTCTTCCTGTTTCTTAATATCTGTCACACACGTTGGCCCTTATATACACACAGTAAATTTTGTACACAGTGTGATACTTAAAGGTGTGTTTGTTTCATTTCACTTAAGAGGATGGTCTCAAGGTGCATCTCTTTAGCTAGAAATGTCTCCTTCCTTATAAAAAAATACATCTTGGGGCTGGGGGTTTAGCTCAGCGGCATAAGCACCTGCCTTGTAAGCAGGCAGTCATGAATTCGATCCCCAGTACCGATTAAAAAAAATACATCTTTATTGGTTCATCAGCTGATGGGCATTCCAGTTGTTTCTAACATTTAGCTGTTGTAACTATGCTGCTATAAACGGTGCACGTATATCACTGTGGCGATACTTTTAATTCATCAGGAAGACACCGAAGTGCCAGTCAACACTCCCACCAACAGTGAAGAGGGGTTCCCTTTCCCCACAACCTCGCCAGCACTGGTTGTTGGTTGATTTCTTCATACCAATCCATGTCTCTGGGATGAGATGGAATCTCAGCGTTTTAATTTGCATCTGTCAAGTGACCCGGGACGCTGAGCATTTTTTCATATATTTATTTGCCATATTTATTTCTCCAACCAAGAAGTGTTTGTTCATCTTCGACACCCACGTTTGGATTGGGCCTTTGAATTAGGGGGAGGGTCTGATTTTTTAAAGTTTTTAAAAATACATTCTAGATATTAGTCCTTGGCTGAGTAAGAGCTGGAAAATCTTCTACCCACACTGAGGATTTTCTGTTCATTCTGTGGGTGATTTCTTTTGCTGTGCAAAAGTTTTTAATAAGATGAGATCCCAGTTGTTGACTCCTTGTGATAACTGCTGGGAAACTAGTTTTGTTCAGAATCTTTGCCTACACCAACGCCGTCAACAGTTCCCCTTATTGTATCTTCCAGAAGATTTAGTTTTTGTTTAGCATTTAGATTTTTGATTCATTTTGATTTCACTTTAGTGCGTGGTGAAAAGATTTGGGTCCAGTATCAATCTCTGGCATGTGCAAAGCTAGTTCTTCCAGCACCATTTTTTTTTTCTTTTGTCTTTTTGAGACAGGGTCTCGCTGTGTAGCCCAGGCTGGTCTCGAACTCGCAGCGATCCTCCTGCCTCAGCCTCCCGAGTGCTAGATTACAGGCGTGAGCCACCACACCTGGCTCTGAACTGCTCTTTAATGCTTAGTAACCACAATCTTGTCTCTATATCTGAGATTCTGTGCTCACCCTGGCTCATTCAGCAGGTACTTTCAGTGAATTTTTAATACCCTGGATATGTTTGGACCTGTTTCATTGATTCCATCTTGCTGAAGTGCTAATTTTCTGTTTTCTTGTTTAATTTCTGGGTTCATGCTCGTAAACTGCTAATGGCAGGAGCTTTATTGCTAGGATTTTGAATCCCTAGGAAATGACTACTTGAGGTGTTTTCCAGGTGTAGTTGGCTCCTGGTTTTGAGTCTTTCAAAATCCTGTCTCCTCAGTTTACCGGGGATGAGAGCTTGCTGCCTATGTAGCTGGACGTGGTGACACAGGACTGTCATCCCAGCACTTGGGAGGCTGAGGCAGGAGGACTGCCATGAGTTCAAGGCCAGCCTGGGCTACATACTGAGTTCAGGCCGGCCTGAAATACACAGTGAGACCCTGTCTCTAAGGGAAAAAAAAAAAAACACTGAGTAGAACAATTCCATAACCTCGGTTTGGTTTTGTTTTTTATCGGTACCGGGGATTGAACTCACAACGGCCTGCTTGCATGGCAAGTGCTTATGTGGCTGAGCTAAATCCCCAGCCCAGCTAAATCCCCAGCCCATAACCTTGGGTAAAGTGGCACAACCAGCAATACCAACAGCATCAAATAGAGTCTAGCAAATGACAAGGTGTAGTGAGTGGCAATTTGCCACCCTGAGCTGTTTGAACTAGATTTGGGGCTAGACAGAAAAATCTAAAACCAACCAGAAAGGTGGATACAGCCAAGATGCCCTCACCACGGTGGTTTACTGTCGTGGGACGAAACTTAAAAGGGATTATGGGGGGAAACAGAGGCACAGAAGAGGGGAGAGAGTTAGATGTGTCCAGCCTGCAGCATCCCGCGTGCCTGCTGCTGGCCTGAAGCTGCTCCCCCTCATGTTGACACTGCAGCCCCGGATGGAGCAGGAAGTTGCTCTGAGGTCTGACCTTAGCTGGCCTCTTTTCAAGATGGCAACTGGACAATCGCCCTCTCCTGGGGGACCTCCGAACCCACACAACGCCCCGGCACTGCAGTCCGCTGCATTCCCAGGGAGGCCTGTGGGGCTGCCAGCAGTCGCCGAGTACCTGCAGGTTCCAGCTGCCCCCGGGCAGCGCAGCGAGGCAGGGCTCCTGCTGAGGTCTCTCTGTTCTCCCCTGGGCTTCGACGCTCCCTTCAGGACCTTGGGTGCCGGGGCCCCGCCTGCGAGCCTGGTTTCTTCTTCACTTCGTTATGGTCCAGGGTCTGGACATCGGAACTTGGAGAGGCTGTTTCTGTGCTGGTCGGTGCTCCATGGCGGTGCATGTCTGTCATCCCAGCGCTCAGGAGGCTGAGGCAGGAGGGTCACGGCGAGTTCCAGGCCAGCCTGGGGTGTACAGTGAGCTCAAGGCCAGCCTGAACGACGATGCAAGACTTTGTCTCAAAAAACAAATGACACAGGGGCTGAGGATATAGCTCAGCGGCATAAGCGCCTGCCTTGCAAGCAGGCAGTCGTGAGTTCGATCCCCGGTACCGATAAAAAGGAAAAAGACAAAAAAAAAAAAATGACACGCAATAAAGATAAACTATACACAGAGCCACACTCCCAAATGTTACGAAAACTTGAATACCAACACCGCCTGCGTACCTCTCTTAGGGTGAAACACGATCTGAACTGATGCAAGGTTAGTTACAGCTCATATTTATTTTGCTTGATGTGAATATTGTTTTTCATGCTGCAGACGCCACGCTCAGATTTGGGCGGTCCCCACCCGATGTCTGTAGGGGTGCCAGGTACGGCATGTTTCAGGGCTTTATTTGTTATTTTTGGTACTGGGCATCAGACTCATGACCGTGCACTTGCAAGGCAGGTACTGTGTCCCTGAGCTAAGCCCCTGGCCCATTATCGTTTGTGTATTTATGTGTCTTGGAGACAGGGTCTCACTGTGTAGTGGAGGCTGGTGTCACACTTGCTCATACACCCTGCACTGGCCTTGAACTCCTGGTGATCCTCCTGCCTCAGCCTCCCAAGTGCTGAAATCACAGGCACGTGCCACGCTACGTGGCTGTAAGATGTGTTTCACACACACTGTTTTTGGTTTTATTTATTTATGTATTTTTCTTTCTTTGTACCAGGAATCGGACTTAGGACCTTGAGCTTGCCAGGCAGGCGCGGTGCCTCTGAGCTGCATCCCCAGCCCCTGTGTGTTATACCCTATCACCTTTCAAAACTGAAAAATTCTGAGTTCTAAACTGTAGAGATCAAGAATTTACGTAAGGGATTAGGGCCTCTCCTAAGCGAGACGCTGGTTTGTGAGCAGTGAAAGACTCACCAGCAAAGGAGGCCTGAAGGCCGTGGGGTGTGGACACGGGTGAGGCTTTCAAGGGGGCGCCGGGGAAGCTCCCCACGAGACGTGAGAGGTGAGAAGGAACAAGGGGAGGGAGGGAACAGGAAAGCGTCTGGGGACAGCCACACGGATGCCCTGAGTCAGGGCATTTCCTTGTCTGCTGTGTGCGGGGAGCAGCCCAGAGGTCTGTGTGTCTGCAACAGAATGAGCCGGAAGGAGACGTGGAGAAAAAGCAGGAGGGGTCACGGAGGTCCCGGGGGTGAGACAAGGCGGAAGGGACCTCTTGAATTTAAAGCTGCCTCTGCTTGGGTCAGGAAAAAAGCAGACTTCAGCACCATGGTCAGAGCGTACCGCTGTCCGCGGTGCTGCTTTAAAACACACACAACAGGGCCCGGGACACGGCGCAGAGCCAAAGCGCCTGCCTGGCAAGCACAAGGTGCTGAGTTCGATTCCCGACGCAAATAAAATAAAATGAAACACGGATGACAAAGAGCACATAAACTAGGGCCTGGCATGGGTATCTTAGGCGGAAATACAAAAATAAAAATACATAGAAACCTATTTGACATCTCAACATAAACTCACCAGGCATGATACGATGGTAATGCCTGTAATTCCAGTGCTCAGGAGGCTGAGGCAGGGGGACTGCCGTGAGTTTGAGGTCAGGCTGGGAAATATCATGAGCTCAGGGCAAGATCCTGTATCAGGGCAAGAACTTTTATCAAGAAAAAAATCAAAAACAAATCATAAATTCAAGTTGAGCAAAACAGAGTTCTGGTTTAGAAGTCAGAACACACTCATCCCCTACGCAAACCCTTCTTACGGATTTCCATGGTACCCAAAGCAGAGGCCAGCTGTCTCCCTGGGCTCCAATGGCCTTGGTGCTGAGGGTGTGTCCACCTGGGTGTATTCCTTGCCTGGTCCAAGTGTTTTCTCAAATGTCACCTTTCCAGTGAAGAAGCTAACGCTGACCACCCCATGCGAAGCTGCGAACCCTAGCCGCAGAATTAGATATGCCAGCCATCCATCCTACGGAAGGCTCTTAGGAAGTGATCATTTTTTTTTTTATCGGTATCGGGGATCAAACTCACGACCGCCTGCTTGCAAGGCAGGTGCTTATGCCTCGGAGCTAAATCCCCAGCCCAAGAAGTGATCATTTTCTCTCCTGCTTATTAGGGTTAAATTTTCTCCCCCCGCCACTAGGATGTCGGCTTCACTAGAAGACTTAGTTGTTTGTTCGCTGGTAGGTCTTCAGTGCCTAGAACAACTTCGGATACACAGTGGGTGCTCAAACAATGCTTTGGGGCTGGAGGGGTAGCTCGGGAGCACGGCACGTGCTCAGAACGTGCGAAGCCCTGGGTTGGCAAAACCCCTCACATTGCGGAATCAAATACTGAAAAAATCAAATACAAAACAGTTGTCAAAGGAACGAACCTCTCGAGCATGCGCCAATCTTACAAGGAGAGGCGCGGGCGCACCCTGCCTACACTTTCCACTGCCCTGCTCTCACCCCTGGCCTGGCCCTGCTGACAGCAGCTACAATTTCTTAAGGACTCACAGCACTGGGGATGGATCCCAGGACCTCAGGGATGGAAGCCAGGCCTTTCTTGCTGAGCTCCGTACTGAGCCCGTATGCATGTGTGTAAATGTGAGCATGTATGTATTTTGAGACAGGGTCTTCCTAAATTACTACGTTCCCCAGGCTGGGGGCAAATTAGTCCTCCTGCCTCAGCTTCCCAGAATGCTGGGATTGTCGGTGTGTGCTGCCACCACACCCAGCTGAGCCTCTCTGTCTAAAGCACCTTCCGTAAAGACATGAAGTCAGAATTCCAAGAAGCAGAGGAAGAATTATCTTCTAGGGCCACGCCCCAGGTCGGCATCACCCCTGAATGGCCTCACTCAGCCTACAGTGTTGGGCACCTACAGGACGGCAGGTGCTGTGTGCCAGGAGCCAGGGAGACGTTGGGGAACAAAGCAGACAAAGACTTTATTCCCACACAGCCCTGTTCCACAGGGGAGGCACGCCCCATGTTGTCACTGATATTGAAAGAGAAATACAGGTAAGTAGCTGGGGAATGCAGGCTGCACTGGACGCTGGGGTTCACACCTGGGGACCCAGCTATGCGGCAGGCAGAACTGCTTGAGCCCTGGAGTTCAGCGCCAGCCTAGCAACAGGGTGAGACTGTGTGTTGCAAAAACAAAACACCCACACCAATGAAACGGTGTGCAACTCTGGACACGTGGTCAGGGATCGTCTCTGAGTAGGTGGTGCTCCACCAGAGACTTAGGGGGGGTTTAAAAATGAACCAAAGGTAATCCAGGTGTGGTGTGCATGCTTGTAATCCCAGCACTAGGGAGGCTAAGGCAAATTCAAGACCAGTTTGGGCTCCAAAGTGAGCTCCAGGCCAGCATGAACTGCACAGCAAGACCCTGGCTCAAACAGACAAAAGAAAAAAATTAACCAAAGGATTATCTGTGACCTGCCTGCTCTTGGCAAGGAAATGGCAAATGCAAAGGTCCTGTGGTGGGGCTGGGTTGGACACGGTCCTGTGCACATAGTTTTGTGCTGTGGGTCACTCCTCAGTGCTTGTGCACTTACAGAGTTGAATGCAATATTGGGGATCTGTGGGGTGAGATGTGTTTGACAGTGTGGTATGACTGTCTCACAGCGTGACTGTGTAGCTGCAGGCTCAGTCATGTCCCAGTGTGTTCTAGTGTGTGGTCGTGCAAAGAGTAATGTACAACTGAGTGTGCAGAGGGTGCTTTGTGTCAGGGTAGGGTGGAGCTGCCAGTATGTGGATGTGGGAATCTGGGAAATGGAACTTATAGAGCGATGCCACGACTTTGTGTGTGTGTGTGTGTGTGTGCAGGGACGCCCAGCTGTGTGAGTGGGTGTACTGGAGGATGTTGTTGAACGGTTTGCTGGTCCCGGAGGCAGAGAGAAAACCCAGGAAATCACAATTGCACCCTACCCGTGGGTCGCCAGGCAACGGCACCGCTTGGAAGTTACCCGGAGACAAGGTTGCCCTGGCAACGCAGGCCTGAGTGGCAGCTCAGGGGCGACGTCTGGGTGAGGACACCCAGGTAGCGATGGTGATTACTCACCTTGTTTCTCCCTTTCTTGCAGCTTCCCATCAACACTTCCTTCCTCCCTTGACTGATTTAATGAGAATGTGTTTTAGAAACTTCAGCGCTCGCTATTCTGAGCCCTGGGGAGACAGAAACAAACAAGGCAGACAAGGTGCACATTGTATTCGGCTCTCCGTCTCCCAGGCCCTCTTTTCCTCTCCTGATTCTTCTTTGGTTTTTTCTCCTCTGCTTAACACAAGCCATACTCAAGAAGACCGCAGGCCACCAGCCCTGGTAGCGCTTGCTTGTAATCCCAGCACCCAGGAGGCTGCGGAGCAGGATTGCCAGGAGTTCAAGGCCAGCCCGGACTACATAGCAAAGCCCTGTCTCAAAAACCAGACCAAACAAACACCACTAGCCCCTACCCCAGAGAGGAAGAGGAGGCGTTTTACTCTTCATACGTGTATACCTAAGCCTGTGGCCCCAAACACTGAGCGATATTCGGATGTATAACGCTCATTCACCTCACAAATGTCTTTGGGTGACACCGGCAACTCCTCACACAAACATGCCCATCACAACACTCTGCTCAGCTATCATGGCCGGCAAACCGGGACTAGGAGACTTTACTGAGTCCGTGATTTGGGCTTACTCCCTCCAACTCTCAACCCTTATATTTGTTCGACTAATTGACAAAAAAAAAAAAAAAAAGGTATCATATTGCGTCCACCAGCACAACTCCTCCAAGGAAGCCCTTCGCTCTCTCCACCAGCCATCTCTGCAGGATCCGATTGGTTTTTTTTTAACTATTCATCGGGGGAGGAGCTGGTGAGCTCTAATTTTGATGGACAGTTCCACTGACCAATAGGGGAGTGGATCCCACTGTAACCAATGAGGCCCCATCTTGGGCGGGACTAAGGCTGGGAACTCGCCACCGATTGGACAGAGGTACGCGACGAATGGCGGAGGTGCTGAGGCGAGTGCTAAACCGAGGCAGCGCGGCTGGGATTGCGGAGAATACGGCTGAGTCTGGACCGCCTTTGTTGCTGCTCGGTGCTCCAGGTTCTGGAAAAACAGCGCTGCTATTTGCCGCGGCCCTGGAAGCAGCAGGAGAGGGTCGAGGGCCTGTCCTATTCCTGACCCGGAGGCCTCTTCAAAGCCTGCCCCGTGGTACTGCACGAACACTGGAGCCTTGGCGGCTGCAGGTATAACAATGGGGGTGGGATTAGAAGTATACCAGCCAGTGGAGAGGCAGATTGGCGTTTGAGTGACAGATAGATAGGCGAATGGCGGAGATAGTGGGCGGGCAAGTTTGAACAGCGTTAAGAAGTGGAGGGTGGAATACGCGAGGGATGGGACCGTGCGAAATTTAACTAGGATTGACTGAAGGACTGTCCAATCACGGGTCGGCGTTAGGTAGCGGCGATGCACAAGGGGCGGATTCAGGGTTAAGAAGAAGAAATACAGGGTATCAGTGGAACCACATAGTCCTGGTCGCGCAGGGTTTTGGTGGACAGGTTGTCCTATTTAGAGAGAGGGGGGAGAAAAAAGATCGCACCTCATTCAACACGCCATGGTGGAAAGTGCTGGAAAAACAGGCGGGAGTGGAATATTTAATGCTTTGAGCCGCTTTTTCATCCTGGAGTCAGCTAGGTGTGAAGTCAACCTAGTCCCGGAAAGTACGCAAAGAAGCAGGGCTCGAGCCGGTTCGGTGGCCAGGTCTGCAATCCCAGTACTCAGGGAGGCCGAGGCAGGACAGTTACAAATTCAAGGGCGGCCGGGGCAACTTAGTGACTTGGCAAAACCCTGACTCGAAAAAATAAACATGGTCAGGGCAGCTCAGCAGGAAGGCCGGGTTCCGGCCCCAGCGTCAGTGGTGATGGTGAACAGAAGCAGAGCGTGGAGACTCTGGCTCCTGCGCTGAATCTGGCTTTTTCTTTGTTTCTGAATCTTCTAGAAGATTCGCTTCCAGTATCCGCCCTCAACGCAAGAGCTGCTCCAGGTCCTGTGCTCTGCCCATGAGAGCACGGGCCCGGTGCCCTCCCTTCTGCTGCTCGATGGCTTGGAGGAGTACCTAGCAGAAGATCCGGCGGGCCAGGACACGACCTACCTGGCCGCCTTGCTGCTGGATACGGCTGCCTACTTCCGCCAGCGAGCTGGCCCCAGCCGGCAGTGCGGGCTCATAGTGACCCTGCAGACCCAGGAGGAGGCAGATGGCGGGGAGGCCCTGCAGAGGGCGCTGCTCCAACGTTACTTTCCGGCGCAGTGCTGGCTGCAGGCCGATGAAGCCAGCCCGGGAGCGCAGGGCTTCCGAGTGGGCCTGGAGTCAGGCGGGCCGCGCCCCAGGGCAGAGTGGCTTGTGACTTTCAGACCCGATGGAGAGATGACCATCACCTCGAGGCCTAATCAGACAAGGGAGCCCAGCCTCGACAAGAGTTCGAGCTCCAGGGGTCAGCTCTGAGCTTTGCAAGGTGACAACCTCTCCCTGCCTCAGTTTACCCCGGGACAGGTGCAGAAGCAAGACCTACATAAGGCAGAGTGTTTTTCTCCTTAAAAGCTCGAATTATATGGCTTGGAGGTGTAGCTCCGTGGTGAGTGCTTGGCTAGCCCGTGTGAGGCCCTGGATTCCATCCCCAGCGCAACAAAAACTTGCATTATTGTATGCATGTTATTTTCAAGCAACTTTTTTTTTACTGTTTTGAACTATATAAAGAATTTCATTATATTTATAATTTGAGGCTTCCTCCTTCCTTTTTTGGCCACTCTGCATTGTTGCCAAGATTCAGCCAGCTTATTGCTTGTTCCCTGTTGCGTATTGTTCCATGGTGTCTATACCTCAGTTTATTTACAGTGACTTACCACTGTCCACATTCTGGCACTCAGGGTCCCGCTCTTTTGGGGACCCCTGCAGTGGGCTCAGTCTCCTGCCTGAAGTCAGGGCACCGAGTGTAAAGAGCAAGAGGCAGCATAGTGCTGCTGCGGGATCTGGGCTGATAGCTTTTCACGGAACAAAAGGCCACGAAGCAGCAGAGCCTTGGTGTTTGGCGATCGTGCTCGCATAAAGGAAAAAGGTAGCCAGACGCATGAGACGAGCCGGGTAACCAAGGGCACAGAGCGTTCTTGAGGAAGGAATGCGTCAGCCAGAGTTAGGTTATGGTTAGCGAGGGACCGGCTCTGCAGCCAGCTCTGGGAAGAATTTCCCCAGGCCTCGGGAGTCGAGGTCTCATGTGTTCGCCCCCTGGAATCACGGCTCATCTGTGTGAGCTCAGCCGTGGTCCTCGGTGACGAACAGTGTGAGTCTGACACCAGCCACTTGCTGAACTGGAGACACACGCGCAGCCTCGGCCAGACCCCCTGATTAAACTGAAAGCCAAGGTAGGCGGTCACTCTGCAGCCTTGTAAGAAATCAGAGGCACATGTGAGTCTGGGGGAGGATGACGTCCTGGCTGCTCCGTGCATGCTTCTGGGGTACATACCGAGACGTGGGATGGCTGTCACATATGGCACGCGTGTGCTCAGCTTTCTTAGCTTATGCCAGACTTTTTACACAGTAGTTAAACCAGAACTATCACCGAGTCTCATGATAATACTTGGTATCCACACTGTGCTTTTTTTTTTTCTTTTGCATATTTTGAGACTGAGTCTGGCTATGCCATTCAGGCTGGCCTTGAACTTACTATGTTTTTGTTTTGTTTTCTGTCTTTTTCTTTTTTATCAGTACCAGGGATCATTAACTCACCACCACACACTTGCAAGGCAGGCGCTTATGCCACTGAGCTAAATCCCCAGCCCTGAACTTACTATGGAGCCTGTGCAGGCCTCAAATTTGCAGAGTTCCTCCTGCCTCAGCCTTCCCAGTGCTGGGATTATAGGCACACACCACTTTGTCCCACTAACACAGTGCTTTCTTAAAACACGGCCTGATTCATATAATTTTGAATTATTACCATCATAGGGGCAGGCCAGCTAGATGTTCATTAAACAGCTTTCTTCTCCCTGAGTATTCAAGTACAGAACATTTCCTAGCATGCCTTTGGTCTAGTTGTGATCACATGATTGATTTTGGCCAATCAAATGTGCAAGAAAAGGTAGAGCCGGTTTTTAGGCCAGATCTTGCAGCTGACCTTCCCTGAGTAGCCAGTGGGATTAGATCCAGCTGAGAAGTCCCTGAGAGGCCTAAGGGAGGAGGGAGCTGCATTGCAGGAGGGTCCAGGCTGGGGATGCCTGCACCTGCTTGCTTTGAGATAGGAGAGAGAAACCGCTTCACACGGCCAGTCACCAAGAACACAGAGAGCCACCTGGAGTGGTGGCTTACGTCCCTTGTGCTGACTGATGTATTTTATTAGGACTAATATTCGGATTTCCAGTCCAGAATTTCAGACTGAGCTCACGGGCTTTAACTGTTATCCCTATGGCCTGGCACAGGGAAGGACGGGCTCCCAGGGTGTTTGCAGAAGTCAAGATAGAAAAAACACATTTATATATATATGTACACACTCGGAAAAAAAAAAAAAAAAGCTATACATAGTTAAAAATGCTGCAAGCTTGTGGCTTCCTGAGCGGGGTGGCTCTGTCGATGGCCATCAGTGCCCCAGCCCTGGGGACTCTGGTGGGCCACCTTGGGCTCTTAAGAACAGGCCACGTAGCTGGGGGTGAGAGGCTCGGGGCTGGGGACCAGGCTGTTCTCGTAGGAGTTGGAGTAGGTGTCATCACAGGAGCCTCCCTGGGTTTCCTGGGAGCCCCCCGAGCTGTAGTCAGTGGAGATGCCGGAGTCCGACACCACAAGGTACAGGTACTTGAGGTGGGGCGGGGTGGGGGGCGGCTCAGGGCACAGCGCCCGTGGGTGCAGGAGCTGGGAGCCAGCATCCAGGATGGTGTACTCAAAGCTGGTGGCCAGGGCCTCCTCTGGCTCAGGCTTCAAGGCTGAGGTGGATGAGCAGGAGGCCTCTGAGCCTTCATCTAGGGCCCCCACGATGTCCGAGCAGCCCCTGCAGCCTGGCGGCTCGTCACCCTGCGGGCTCCGGGGCAGCAGCCATTTGTCCGGCACCAGGTAGGAGTCCTGGGCGGGCTCCCTGCCTGCCAGCTGCAGCAGGGGCCCCTTGTCCTCTGCCCCTGGCTCGACTGCCTGGGTCAGCCCCCAGCAGCGCTCGGAGAGGACTTCCAGGCGGGCAGGGGGGTCCTCTGGAGAGGGGGTGCAAGGGTTCCCCCACAGACAGCCATCGCGCTGTGACAGCCAGAGCTGGGGAGACAGCACCAGCCTGCTCACAACTCTGGGCCTCCACCGCCAGGAGCGAGACAGTCCCCACACCCCAGGGGACAGCCAAGCCACCTACCTGGAAGTTACCCTTGTGGGTGGTGAAGAGGCCCTCAAACTCACTCTCAGGGCTGGGGATGCCAGGCCAGATCTTCTGCTTCAGAGTCCTATCGATAGAAACAAGTTCACAAACACAACCTACAACCCCTGCCCTCCCAGTGCCCAGTCACAGGCATCATGGAGGTAGAAGAATCCGTCATGGCTGGGGGCAGGGGCTTTGCCAGAAAAATAGCAAGGCCCTCTAGAAGGGTCACCAGAACAGGGTTTTGAAGGATGCATCGGATTTCAATATACACTGACTTATGCTTTGTCTAATCTTGGCCTGGGGGTCCATCAAGGCAGGTTCCCTCATCACCCCTTCCCATGGTTCCCAATGTATTCAGAATAAAATCCAGGACTGGGGGTGTAGCCCAGCGGTAAAGCATATGTTTAGCACGCTCAAGATCTTGTGTTGACTCCACGTGCAAAACAAGCAAACAAAATCCAAATTGCTCCCATTATGACACCACTCATCAGGATTTATAATCAGTTGGCTCTCAGTTCCCATGTTTGTTGGGCTTGCCTGTCTCCCTGACTACACTCTGAGATCCACCAAGTCTGGGCCTTGTGGAGACAGCCTAGCTTGTTCTCCACTCTCTTCCCAGTGCCGTGAGGCCTCGAAAGACAGCCTCCCTAGTGAAGGGGGCAGGAAGGGCAGTCCAGGCAGAAGGAACCTTATCTAAGAAGACTTTGCCAAGTGTGGCTCACCCTGGGTGTGCCTGGAATTACAAACACCTTGGAACAGTTTAGATCATAATATATAAAACACCACTTTTGGGCGGGGACTTAAGATCTTTCCACTAAATCCAGCTACTCAGTTTGACAAAATTGGTGGCAATGGAAAAACAAGTGATCCAAAGAGGGGCAGCCACTTGAGGAGGATGGAAAACCAGATAAACGTCCCCAAGCACGACTCATCGCTGTGTGATCTCAGGCAAAGACTCGCCCCTCTCTGAGCCTTCTTTGAGGTTTCCCAAAGCAAACACGGTGTGGGATGTTCCAGGGCAGGCCTGGGCCAGGTGCTCGCACGGGGGCTCACCGGCGGTGGGACAGCAGGGCGAGCACGGTCAGCAGCAGCAGGATGAGCACGAGGATGAGGGACAGCGTCAGGATGAGGGGGTCCAGGTCTGGGGGAGGAGGGGACGGGTGGGAGGTCAGGTAGGGGGGTGGTTTGTCAGGTGTTTCCCCCCCAGCTCCTCCTAAACCCCAGTCAGGGCCTCACGGCTAGCCGTCTGCAGCGACACAGGCTTGGACCAGACGCTCCAGAAGCCACCGAAGCTGGGCTCCGCCATATGCGCGCGAACCGCGAAGGTGTAGCGCGTGGAGCCTCGCAGGTTGCTGAGCGTGCACTCCGTGCGGCCCTCCAGGATCTGCACCTGGTGGGTGGAGTCCAGACGAGGGGCGGGCGTTCAGAGGCATCGCCCGCCCCCAAGAGATCCAGCCAATCGGGGAGAGGAAGGACGGCACGCAGGGCCCAATGAGAACAGGGAACGGGACCCAACTAAGCTCAAGACCAATCAGAGCAAAGACTTCATTAGCAAGGGGCGGGACCCGAGCTATATAATAGTGGGCGGGGGCAACGAGAGGGAATCAGGTCTCCGAGTCTGGGACGCGAGGCTCAGGTGTATTGGAGGCGCGCGGTAAAGCGGATGTGCCACGGGTGCGGAGTGGCCTTGGGCAGGAAGGAACTGGAATGTGGGGCGTCCGAGTTAGGACTTTGGGGAAGGGACTGTAGCGGAGGGCCTCACTCTCTGCGCTCCCCCTGGGCTGCTGCCGGTAGAGACGTCCACCTCGTAGCGAATGTGGCTCCTCATGGGTGCTCCAGGCGGCGGGAGCCAGCGAAGGATCACTTGGCCGCGCTCCTCCGCCACCTGCGCCTGCAGCCCCACGGGAGCGTCCAGGAACACTGCGGTTCGGGCGCGCGGTCAGGGACGTGGAGTTCGGGACCCCCCTCAGCACCAGTTCTGCGAGCACGGGGCACTCACCCACTTCATTGATGTGGATGACCCGGTGATAACGTGGGGAGCCGGAGGAGACATTCATGACCCGCAGCTCCAGGGGCACGAAGCTCGATGTGTCGGCCGTGGGCAGCGAGCACCAGAAGCGCACGGCGCCCTGGGCGGTGGGCGCCTGCCGCAGGGGACAGGGCTTCGGAGGCTCGCCCCTGTGCACGCGGGGACACAAAGGGAAGGGAACACATTGGAGACGGGCGCGGGGGTGGGGCTAAAGAATCTGTGCACCCCAGACCTTGGGAGCTTCTGTTTTGTTTGAGACAGGGTCTCTCTCGCTGTATAGTCTAGGCTGGCCTCGAACCCCTAGCGATCCTCCTGCTTCAGCCTCCTGAGGGCTGGGTTTGCAGGTGTGCTGCGCCACGCCCCGCCTTGGGGCATTTTGATTACCACCACGAGGGGGCGTTCCAGCGTCAGTTAGTGACGCGGGAGCCCAGAGCCGCAGGGGAGGACCGTCGGATAAAGAAGCGTGCCAGCCCGCGTCACTAGGGGGCACGCCAGCCCCGACCCCAGGAGCGTCCTAGCATAGGAAGCACCACTCAGCTCCTGGGGAGCCCCCCACCCCATACCTTAGGACGCCCGTCTCCCCGCTACTCACTCAAACTGGTAGGAGAAGCTATAGTTGCTGGAGGTGACCCCGGAGCTTGCCGCTTCCTCCCAGAAACACACCAAGTCCTCCAGCCGCTCGGTGAAGCAGAGAAGCTCCTGGGGCCCGCGGGCCGCCAGCAGGGCCGCTGGGGAGGGGAGGGGAGGGGAGGGGAGGGGAGGGGAGGGGAGGGGAGGGGTCAGGGCAGCCGGACCTGGCTCTGGCCCCAGCCCCCCTCCCCTGCCTCCCTCTGCCTGTGGGGACCCGATAAGAAAAAAGCCCCGCCCCGCTCTCTTCCCCCGCAGCACCCTCGCGGGGCTGCAGAGGGGGCGCCCTTCGAGCTCACGGGCTCAGGTTGCTTGCCTCAGTTTCCCCCCAGCCGCTCGCACGCTCACGCCGCGCGGTGAGCTGCACGCAGCTCGGAGACCTCGGCCCCGCCGCTTGCCCCACCTCAAGCCTCCCAGGACGCGCGCGTGCACCGGTGGGTGCGGACCGGCGGCCCCTATCGGCCCGCACAGGCTCCCGGCTGCACGATAGCTCCAACCGTGGCCCCCGCCCCTTCCTCCCCCCGGCCGGACCCGGGCCGGTGCCAGCCACAAACCGTGTTTACTGGCAGCTGGGCACCAGCCCCTTGGGCGCGGACCCGGCTCTACCCTCTCCCCTCTGGACACCCCCTGGGTCCCCTCCCTGCGGGGACTCAGGCTTCGGGGAGACGGCCCACTAGCACCCCGTCCCATTGCCATGTAGCAAGTCCAAGACCCCCTAAAAATATGCAGCAACGGCCTTGGATCCTTCTCTGCCTTCTCCACCGAGCCCATTTCAGGGACTCAGACTCTGGCTTATTTCACTGCGAGCCGGTTTAGAGGCTCAGAAATCAGCTCAGCCCCCCAGGACCCAGCGTGGAGGTTCAGAAGTTGGCGTGGACCCCAGCCTGGGAGTCCAGGGCTGGAACACTGCCCTGCAGAGACAGTCCTGTGTGGTGCCCGCGCATACATCGATCCTTACCTTTGCTCTCAAATTTGGGATCCAAGGAGTTAGGTGGGGGCGCGCAGGCTGCCCCAGACAGCAAGAGACAGAGAAGGCCAATTAGGGACCAGAGGGGCGCCCCGAGGTGGTCCATGATGCCGCCTCCGCCTCCCCCCCGTGAACCCAGGGCTCCTGTCCCTTGTCCCCCACCCCTGGCAAAGGGCACAGCTGGGTCAGCAGCTGCCTCCGCCGGACACAGCTGACCAGGCTCTTCCCGGCCCGGAGCCTCCAGCGGCCCTCCCCCAGGGGCGTGGCCTGCAGCAGCCCGGGCGGCGATAAGCGCCCCGGGAGGGGCGGGGGCGCTCCTGGGCCCGACGGTCCCGGAGTGGAGGGGAATGGATTCACTTGCACCTTACACAAAGTGACACCGTTTTTATTCTTTTCTTTCTTCCTTTTTTTTTTTTTTTTTTGCTACGTGACCCTGGACCTGTGTCCTCGCTTATCGGAGCTGCAGTCTTCTCATCTGTAAAATCTGGTGCATAGCAAGCATTTCAAAAATGTAAGCTACTGATAATATCCTGCTAATCAGCATCTCTCCCCAGTCAGGAAATAAAACAATAAACACGACTATTTCGAAGTCACAGAAGATGTTAACTGTTGTACACCAGTGCCCACCCGAGCTACTGGGACGTGCACAAGGTGATGGAAAGATAGAATAAACGCTTCAGTTAAGCAAGAAATGACCGGCTAGCTGTGGTGGTGCATACCGGTAAGCCCAGCACTTGGGAGGCTGAGGAGGTAAGAACAAGGTTTGAGGCCAGCCTGGGCTCCATAGAGAGTACAGGGCCAGCCTGAACTGCCTAGCAAGATCCTGCCTCAGGGCCGGGGATTTAGCTCAGCAGCAAAAGCACCTGCCTTGCAAGCAGGTGGTCATGAGTTTGATCCCCGGTACTGATAAAAAAAAAAAAATCCTGTCTCAACAACAACAACAAAGAAAGAGAAAGAGAAAGAAAGAAAGATTGAGCCAGGCATGGTGGCACCAGCCTGTAATCCCAGCACTCGGGAGGCTGAGGCAGGAGGGTCCTTGCGAGTTTGAAACTAGCATGGGCTACATAGTGAGGCCCTCTCTCCAAAGAAAAAACAAAAAAAGAAATGAGATTACAGACTCTTCTTTCTTTGAGCGGGCTAAGGTGAATTGTGAAAATGGTTTGCTACTCTTGACCCAGAAAACCCCACAAAATCAAGCAAATCGAGAGACTCAAATCTTCGTGAGCACTTTTAAGAACATCTGCAAAACTGCTTAGGCCCTGGAGAGTGTGCGTAGCTGAGAGGTCATCAAGCCTCTGAAGGATGTCACCTCACTTACAGGAGCCATGTGTGTCATCCTAGTGTCTCGGGGCTGGAGCTAGGTGAGCCCAGGCCCAGAGAGAGTGCTGAAGTTGTGCTGCAAAAACTTAAATATAGAGAGAGATGCTGAGTTTAAGGGTTTGGATGTAGATTCTCAGGTCATTGAACACAGCCCGGTGAACGAGCACCTGAGATGTAGCGCTGTATTTACCAAGCTCAAGGCCGGATTCACTCGGACATGAGCTGCCCCGCCGCACTGCCATGATCCTCACTGAAGAGGAACAAATTATTTCTAACTCAGAGGAGGAAGTTGCACAGAAGAAAAAAAAGGAACATACCAGAAGAACTGAAGAAGCCAAAATTTATGGCGCAGGGTTAAGTGAAATGTAAAATAAATTCAAATAAAAGTAAAAAAAATAGAAAAAGAAAAAACAAGTGATTTCAGTGAAAGACCAGTTTCCAGGAACAATGTGATACCTGTGTTCAAAGTAAGGGAAAGCTTTGTAGCATTTTGGTTTTTGGTACCAGTGATCGAACTCAGGACCTTGCCGTTGCCTGACAGGAGCGTGTGCCCCTGAGCTATGTCTCTGGCTATATTGTAGTTTTCAAGGGGGGTTAATGACTATGTGTATTTTACTATAACACATTTAGAAATTTAAACATTCACCATGTTTTTGATCAAATCTTTATGAAAATTTCTGTCAGATAAAAACAGGGCCACAGCTGGGTGAGGTGGTGCACTTCGGTAATCCCAGCATTTGGGAGGCTGAAGCAGGAGGATCGTTGTAAATTTGAGACAAGCCTGGGCTACAAAGTGAGCCCAAGGCCAGCCTGGATTGCATAGCGAGACCTTGTCTCAAAAAAACAAAAAACAGAAACAGAACAAAACAAACATGGTCATGTGTCCTTATCACCAGATGTATCTGACAGCGTTTGACTTTTGGCTCTTCCCCAAAGTCAAAATGATCATGAAAAAAAAGGCTTTCTGGGGCTGGGGATTTAGCTCAGCAGCATAAGCACCTGCCTTGCAAGCAGGTGGTCGCGAGTTTGATCCCTGGTACCCATAAAAAAAAAAGAAAGAAAGGCTTTCTGAATCAGTTCAGGACGTGGAGGCAGCCAGGACAACTCAGTTAAAGACACTCAGGAAATAGCACTTCCAGATCTGCTGTGGGAAGTGGGAAGAGCCACGGGACAAGTGCCTTCAAAGTAAGGGGCCGTACATAGAAGGAAAATTAATAGCAATGTGTCTTTCACTGTAACAAACGCTTTTAAATCTAAACACCCACCATATATCTTGATCATATCTCATAGTCTTTTGTTTGTAAAATACAGTATCTTGATTGTGATGTTTCCCTTAGGAGATTTAAAAATGATTTCTGCCTACATTTGTGTTTCTTAAACTGCTGTGCACGTCTGTCTTAGGGGATGGTTACTTGGTCTCTCCCCTCTGCCAGACTAGCCAATCAGAGAACCTGTCTTAGGCTAGCCAATCAGAGAACACCATTTCCCTTGCACACAGTGATTGGCTCATGGTGTACATGTGACCCACAGAAGTCAATGTGCTTCAATCTTGAGACTTTTTTTAAGACAGGGCCTCACTGCATCAGGGATGGGGAAGCTTTTAGAGCTTCCAGAGGTAGGAGCAGCTCTATACCACACGTCAGAGGTTGGCCACTATTGCTCTGTATGGTTCAGGCTGGCCTTGAGCTCACTTTGTAGCCCAGGCTGGTCTCGAACTCACAATGATCCTCCTGCCCCAGCCTCCCACGTGCTGGGATGACAGGCATGAGCCACCAGGCCTGGCTTGCCTCTTTTTAATAATTTTCAGCACCAGGTGTGATCACAAGTGTCTATAATCCCAGCACTACGAAGGCTGAGGCAGAAGAGTCGTTCAAGTTTGAGGCTAGCTTACCCGCAAAGCCTGGCCCTGTCTCAAAAGCAGCAAAGATAAAATCAGTGAGAATGTCTTCCTCGGTCATTGGCACTGAGCTACAGAAACAAAGGAACCAGTTCTAATTCTGAGTCAAATTTACCTCCACTGCTATATGCACAGGCTCTGGAGTTACACTATCCAGGTCTAAACCCCAGGCTCTTACTACTTGGTTAATCAAGAATTCAAGCCACGGGGGCTGGGGATTTAGCTCAGCGGCATAAGCGCCTGCCTTGCAAGCGCGTGGTCGTGAGTTTGATCCCCGGAACCGATTTTTAAAAAAAAGAATTTAAACCACAATAATCTCAGTTCATGGAAAAAATGGGCATAAAACAGGCTCTAGTGAAAGCTAAATGAGAGATAAGCCCGATCCATAATCTATTATTATTATCCTGTAATCCCAGCTATTCAGAAAGCTGAAGCAGGAAGATCACAAGTTCAAACCCAGCCCGGGCAACTCAGCAAGACCTTGTCACAAAATAAAAGAAAAAAGGGCTGCAGATACAGCTCAGCGCTTCCCGGGTCCCATTCAAACCGGGCAGGCGAGGGGTAGATGAGGTTGTCAGGGTGGCACACAGTGAGATCCTTGTAGGAACCGGGCCTACTGAACTTACTTCGGCTTGTTCTAGTAGGATGCTGTTACATTCAAATGGTCTTAATACACATAGCAGAGAAAGGCAACCCAGGGAAGGGGCAGGACCGCCATCCATCTTCTGCAAGACCTTCTGTAGTGCATCATTCTTCTATTTCTTCTACACCAGATAGTACCTGAGCACAGCCCATTACATTTCCACGGACAAAATTTAGAGGCATATTTCCCCCCATCCATTTTATTTGAAGGATAAAATTTCAAAAAAGAAGAAAAGAAAAAAAAAAAACTACAACAAAATTTCCAAATGTCAAGCAGGGGGCAACAATGGTACCTACATTGTACACTGTCATCCCCAAATCATTCACCCAGAGCACAGACATCTGCATTCAACTGTCCGAACAATACCAGCACAAATCTTTCTCTTCAATGAACTCAGAGACATCAGTAGTGTAACTATCTTAACTATTATCTTATATACATACATGTTTTTTCTTTTAGGTTCTCACACTAATGAAATGTTTACATATGTGTGTCTTATTTATCTTACTGATTATGTTCTCAATATACATCCATTTACCTAGGTTTCCAGTTTATCCTTCTTTATGGCTGAGTAGTACTCCATTGTATAAAAATACCACATCTTTTTAATCCACTCCTCAGTTGATGGTATTTAGATTATTTCCAACTAGCTATTACAAACTGTGCTGCTTATAAACATGGGTGCACATACATCACTGTGGTATGATATTTTTAATTCTTTTGGGAAAATACCCAGAAGAGAAATAACTGGGTTGAATGGGACCTCTAGTCCTAGTTTTTTTAGGAATCTCCACACTGATTTCCACAGTTAGAACCATATTTTTTTATATGCATACACTCAAGTTTCTCCTACTAGTGACAGCATCTTTTTGTTTTTTGAGATAAGGTCTCACTATGTAGTTCAGGCTGGTGTTGAACTCAAGGTAATCTTCCTGCCTCAGCCTCCCAAGTGCTGGGATTACAGGCATGCACGCCTCACCCGGCTACCTTCACCTGGCACGCTCACCTTCATTTAATTTTTACTTGTATGATTCTTCAGACCCTAACCTGCGCTATGAAGTGTGTTTGCCAGGCAAAAGCATGGGCCATCCAATTTGCATATTAATTCCTCCAAACACAGTGATTGGTTCAAAGATATACATGTGACCCAAGCTTCCCCAATAGGAATCTTCTCTGTGATAACCTGCCCCCTGTGTGACGTGAAGTTTGCAAGTCCAGGAGTGAGCATGGGGCCCCAATCCATACTTCGCATGCTTCCAAACACAATGATTGGTTCAGAGATGGGCACATGACCCAAGCTCGTCCAATGGGAACCTGCGGGAGCTGGTGGGAATGGCGGCCTCCGCATGGGCGGGCGGAAGTGCTGGGATGCGAGTCTGGCATTGTGGTCTGGTGGGGAAGGGGAACTATATAAATTAAAACATCTTGGGGCTGAAGGTTTAGCTCAGTGGCATAAGCCCCTGCCTTGGAAGCAGGCAGTCGTGAGTTCGATCCCCAGTACCGATAGAAAGGAAAAAAAAAAAAACATCGTTTTTTGGGGGGTATGGGGGTCGAACTCATGACCGTGTGCCTACAAGGCAGGCACTTATGTGGCTGAGCTAAATCCCCGGCCCAAAACCTTAAACTCTGTGGTGGGCACAGGTCTGTGCATTCCAGCACCCTGGAAGCTGAGGCAGGAGGATCTCAAATTTGAGATCAGTCTAGATTACACAGCAAGCCCCTGTTTCAAACGAAGTTCACTTGGTAACTGTCCCAGAGAACCGAGTAATAGTGGCTTTAGTGAGATGGAGTTTATTTCTTAGGTAACACGCCAAGTGACAGCAAGCTCCATAGTTGCGGAGGCCCAGGCTCCTTCCAGGTTGCTGCTCCGTTAGAGAATGAGGGACCACAGAAGCCGCGGTGATCCGTTCCTCATCTTCCTTCCTCGCGGCAGGAAGGGAAAGGGACGCAGCAGGACAGGACACACAGAGCTGCCCTTCAAGGGCAGGCTGTGGGGCTCCTTCCTTTGATATCTTACGGGGCGGTCCTTCATCTCTTTGGGGGGCAGTTAGGAAATGTGGCTTTTACAGTACATCCACTTCAGAAGGCGATCGGCTATGAGGGGACAATGGACAGTGTCACTGTCAGCGCAAATCAGGGCTGAGACAGCAACGAATCCTGCTAAGATGTTCTGGACTCCTGAGTTGTGAAGTTATTTGTCTCTGATCCAGTTTTCAATTCTCTCCTATATATATAGCAGGGAAAAAAATTGCCCTCAGAATCTTGTGGGGAGGAAATCCTGGCCCTGTGTGCAGAATGAGGTCTTTTGGCCCATTCTATCCTTTTGTTGTGGTTGATTTTGCTTTTTTGTGAAAAGGTCTTGCTAGGTAGCCTGGGCTGGCCTCTAACTCTCTGGGATCCTCCTGCCTCAGCCTTCTGAGGGCTGGATCACAGGTGTGCACCATCACACCAGGGTTCAATCCCTCTCTTAGGACTCCCAGTTTGCTTTTTATTTTTGTTGTTATGGCAGCCACAGTGAGGACTAATGTCTTTGAAATAGAGATCTAATGCTCAAGGCATCAGTGCTGGCCTCCAGTGGGCCAAAGCGGGGTGGGTGTCACAAGCACAGCACACAAGGCCTCCACTGGGGGTGGCCTTCCAGGAGAGGCTCCCCGCATGGTGACAGAAGGCACAGTACCCTGGGCGGCAGGAGGAGAAGGCTTCCTCAGGTTGGGGAAACAGAGCCTGCCGGCCGAGCCCCCTCCTTCCGCCGTAGCACAAAGTCACCAGGGGCGGCCGGACTCATGGCGTAGAAGACATTGGCATTGTCAGGAATCAGAAGCTCTGGGCGGAAGCAGAATTGGAGACGAAGGTGGTTAGCCAATTTCCCACATGCACAACCTTGTGGTTGTTATATGGACACTGAACATGTATAGCCCCCTTGAACTCACTGTGTAGCCCAGGCTGGTCTCAAACTTTCGGGCCTCCTGCCTCAGCCTCCCCGAGCACTGAGATCATAGGCACGTGCCACCGAACCCTCTCCTGCTCTCATCTGATCCTAGACAACCTCACCGCGGCGTAAAGCCCCAGGGCATCTTCTTGGTTCTGCCCGTCCTCACGGTGAGCTCGTAAAGTGACGCCCACATCCTCATCCCTTGGGTCCCCCCACCTGCTTCTTACCCATAAGTCTGTGCAGGAACCTCGAGCACAGGTAACACTGGGCTCCTTCCTCGACCCAGACACACCTCGCCCTCCCCACTGTCCCCCAGCCCCATCTCAAGCCGTCCCTGCTCACCCCTGTCCCCAGGGAGGACCTGGAGGAGCTGGTAGGCTCGGGCCCCGGCCTGGGGCACATGGTGCTTCTCCAGGGCACGCTGGACCACTCCGGGGGCTTTGTCCTGGCTGGTGAGCTGGAAGGGGGCCAGGGGGTGAGCTGCGTCGGGGCCCAGGGCTGGGGCTCCCCCGGCACCCCAGCGCCTCACCAGGATGCTCCGGTACAGGTTCCCGTGGTCGTTGTCGAGGCTCACTCGGATGATGCGTGCTTCGGAGCTCTGCTCTGCAGGAAGCAACGCAGAGGCCCGGGGGCCGGGCGGGTCCAGGCTCAGGGGCAGCTGCAGGTGGTGGAGGCACAGGGCACAGGTGCTGAGGAGTGGGGACCGCAGGCCCCACCCCCATGGTTTTATTCTGTGGTGCTCTGGGGATGGAACCCAGGGCCTTTGCACTGAGCTGCATCCCCAGCCATTTGTATCTTTTACTTGGAGCCAGGCCCTCACTAAATGACTAAGCTGACCGGGCTGGGCTGGAACTTGCAATCCTCCTGCCTCCGCCTGCCAGAGCACTAGGAGGACTGACCTGTGCCACCAAGCCCAGATCACACTGGTCTATCTAGGTGTGTTCAGAATCCTGTGAAAACACAGGCCCCCCCCCCCACACACACCCAGGGCCCAGCGCATGCAGTTCAGGGGCCCCAGAGACACCCATTCAGACCACACAGATACCTCAGCTGGGGTTACAGAGCCAAACGCGGGCCAGGTCCAGGTATACACACACACAAACCCACGTTTAGCACAAGAAATTCTGGGCGTGGAGCAAGAAGCAGCTTACACACACGTGCCGCAGCCCCGGCCACTCACGATGATGTCAGTGAAAACCCCAGCCCTGCCCTGTGGGTATTCTTGTGGGTGGCCTTGAGAAAGCAGGGGTTGTACTGGGAGTGGTGGCACTGGCTTGACATCTCTGCACTCTGGGAGGCTGAGGCAGGAAGGTCACAAGTCTGAACTCAGCCTGGGCAACTTCCAAGACTTAGTGAGTGGCGGGTTCAAAATAAAAACATTTTTTAAAGGGCTGGGGACGGAGCTTGATGTAGGGGCTCAAGGTTCTGTCCCTAGAGCCACAGAATAGATAAATAAATAAATACATAAAGAGCGACAGTGTCCCTGGCGGGTGCTGACCCATTTTCACACCTGAGCTGCTGTCCTGTGCGCGCGCACACACACACACACACACACACACATACACACTCAGTCCCGCAGTCACACACAAGCCACCCGGATACCTTGCTGCAGGAGCTCAGGGGGCCTGGAGAGCTGGGGGGACTTCCGGCAGGAGGGTCCTTGGCTCCGGGACTGGATGGGGGGGACGCTGGGGGCAGACTGGGGACACGCAGAGCCGACTGGGGTGGCCGCCCCGCTCCTGGCCCTGCTCTCTACGCCCGTCCCCACCTGGGAGGCTCACCTGGGGGTGGGCGATGAGGGGTCCCCGGGACTCCCACCGGGGGGCGCGCTCTTCTCCCGGGACAGCTTCCTGAAGATGGGGACAGCCGGGCTTAGATCGGCCTGGGGGGCAGCGCCCCCACCTCACCCCCACGCACCCCGAGACTCACGCACTGAGCCGCTTGGTGAGGCTGATGCGACGCCGGATGTGCGGGGAGCTGGGACAGGAGGCGGCGGGAGGCTCGATGACGCGGGACATTCGGTAGCTGGGGCGTCGGAGGGTGTGGGGACCGCAGGGCGGCCGGGAGCATGGGGGAGGGGAGAACCAGGGGGAGTCAGGTCCCCAGGCCAGGGGACCCGCAGAGGCCTCCGGGTCCCTTAGGGCTGCCGACTCATGAGCAGCCACTGGGGGCGCTAAGGAGCCTAATGGGGCCCGGATTAAGGTTCAAGGCACCGCGGCGTCACGGCACATGCCTGTCATGCCAGCACTCAGGAAGCCGAGGCAGGAGGATCTCCAAGAGTTTGAGGCCAGCCTGGGCTACATAGTGAAAACTTCGTCTCAAACCAAACCAACAGAGTTCAAGGCCAGGTTGGTGGCAAACATCTGTCACCCCAGTATTTTTGAGAGGCCAAGGCAGGAGTGCCAGTTTAAGACCAACCTGAACCACACAGGGAAACCCTGTCTCAAAACCACCACAAGGACATTTCAGGGCTAGGTAATGGATGGCGTCTACGCTGCAGGTCCAGATCCCACAGAGTGGAAGCCAGTGTTGGGGGAGCTGACTCGGGTGGCCAATAAACTGTAATGTGACAGTCATTACTCAGGACTGGGGAGCAGACATTCAGATGGGGCCAAGCACGGTAGACCATGCCCATAAAGGAAGCTGAGGCGGGAGGATTGCAAATTCTAGCCCGGCTGGGCAACTTCGCAAGACCATCTCAAAATTTAAAAAAAAAAAAAAAAAAAAAGGTCAGGGAAGTCATTTAGTACAAAAGCTCTGGGTTCCATCCTAGCACCACACAAATAAAAAGGAGAGACAGAGACTGATTTAGATGAAGGAGGTCTCAAGGGCAATCGTTGGTCTGAGGGGATCAGAGAACAGTTGGGAAAATTACAGGTTGAAGTCAGAATGTCAGGCGGGAGCCAGGCATGGTGGTGCACGCCTGTAGATAGTAATCCAAGCCCTGAGGAGGCTGAGGCAGGAGGATCACCAGGACCCGGAGGGCAGGTGGATGCAGAAGCCAAGGTCAGGGTGGAAGAGGCCCTGGCAGGAGCTGGATAGATGTGTGGTGGGGGCTGGGCCCAGGGAGGTCACCTCTGCTCCTCGCTGAGCTGGCGCTGGGCACGCAGGGCGGCCAGGATGGGCGGGCAGGGATGCAGGCCGTAGCTCTGACAGCGGCGCTGAAGCTGCTGGATTCGGGCCAGGATCTCCCACTCCTGAAGAGGTGGCTGCTGAGGCTCCACCTCATCCCATCCCCACCCTTGGGGACCCCATGCCTACCCACCCTGCTCCCCACTCACCTTCCTCCGCTTCTCAAAATTGATGAGGTCCCCCTGGGGGCAAAGTTGGTCTGAACTGGAGTCTCCCCCCCCAGGTCAAGGGTCAAGGTCAAGTGCTGGGTTGCCCAGAGTGAGCTGTGCTGAGGGGCTGGGGGCTGGGAGTGTGAGGCAGGGCCAAGGGCCAGGGTCAAGGGTCAGGGGTCAGGGGTCGGGGTCACACCTCCAGCACATCTGGCAGGGCTGTGTCCAACATGACCAGGTCCGTGAGGAAGGTGCCAAGGTAGGGAACAAGACCTGAGGGCAGTTTCTGCAGCCCCCAGAGCGCTGGTCACTTCTGGCCATCACGGACCCCATCACCCCACGTGTCCCACCCCAGACACCTGGTCTCCCATTCCAACCCCGGCACTCACTGAGGGGAGGCATCCTGGGGTACTGTCCTCCTCTTGGGGTCCCTCTGTGGCCTCCTCCTGAGGGGAAGAGAAGGACTGAGTGGCCCCGGGGTGTCCCCTGTCCCTTCCCAGTGGTGCCTGAGACCGTCCATATGACCGCATCTCACTTCCAACAATCACAAGCCAGACTGGCCGTGGTGGCGCACCCCCGTCCTCACGGCACTCTGGGAGGCCGAGGCAGGAGGACTGAAAGCTCTGAGCCAGCCGGGCCCGGGACGCTCCACCGTGCATCTGTACCTGGGAGATAATTTCTCTGCTCCTGAGGTGGTTGTGCTCATCCGAGAAAATTTGTGAAAGCTTCCTGAAAGTGGAGAGTGGCTCCCTGGGCAGAGAGAAGAGCATGGTCAGGGGCCCCGTGGCTGGCCGGTCAGAGCGGGATGCGGTGGCCCCGCTGTCCCCGGCCTGGCTCACCTGCTCACGGCCCCCCAGCTGCGCTTAAGCCTGTAGATGGGGTTGGACTGCAGGGCCGACAGGATGGCGCGCAAGGAGGAGAAATTCCGCAGCTCCCGGCAGCGCTGGGGTGAGGTGGGGCTGCTCATTACGCCCCTACCTGACACCCCCGCACCCACCACCTTAGCTCCTGTGACTTATTTTTTTCTTCAGAAAGGATCTCGCTATGCACTTTAGGCTGACCTTGAACTCATGTAGCCCAGGCTGGCCTCGAACTCAGCAATCCTCCTGCCTCAGCCTCCCCAGTGCTGGGTAGACCCCGTTCTACCCCCCCCCCCCCGCCCGCCTCAGGCTCCTCCCACCACGGACTCTCATTGGCCAGTCGCTGCGTTGGCCCCGCCCCCGCGCGCACCTGGGCGATCCGAATCCACTTCTCTATGCGCTGCGCCCTCTGCGGGGCTGCCAGGCCGGGCGCCCCGAGCACCGAGCCCAGCACGCAGCCGGTCACCGCGTTGAACTGGGCCACCGTGGCGCGCACCGTGGGGGCGACGCCGGAGGCCCCCGGCCGGTCCCGCTGCGACCACACGGAGCCCAGGCACTCGCAGGGCCGCACCCGCGAGAAGAGTTTCTGGGGGGCGGGAAGGGGGAGGGGTCCTCAGTGTGACCTGCACCCCAATCCACCCCACCCCAACCTGCCACCGTCGGGGTCCCCACCGCGTCCATGAGGGTCAGCTGCTCCGCCACCTCGTCCACGCTGAAGTCCAGGAGCTCGGGACCTTCCTCCTCTTCTGGGAAGCCTTCGGGAGGGTCTGGAGTAGGGGGCTGGGCGGCCCTGGGAGGTCCTGAGTGTTGGACAGAGTTAAACATCTCAGACTGGAGCCCAGTAGGGTGTGGTGCATGGCTGTGACCCTTGCTATGTGGGAGGCTGTGGCAGGAGGATCACAAGTGCGGGCCCAAATTTAGCTACTTGGCAAGATGCTATCTCAAAATAAATAAGGAAAGTTCTGGGCATGTAGCTCAGCGCAGAGGCCTTGAGTTCAAGTCATGTTGCTACAAAAGCAAATAAAATAGGAAGCTGGGCGTCATGATGCGCGCGGGTAATTCCAGTGCACTCAGGAGGCTGAGGCAGGAGGATCGCTGTGAATTCAAGACCAGTCGCAACTACATACCGGGGCCCTGTCTCAAACAAACATACAGACAAACAATAGTGTTCAATAAACAGGAATGGTTTTCCATAGTGGGAGTTACTGGTGGCGCCGCCTAGAGGACGGTTTGGAAATTCAGCTCTTGTCTTAAGGTAAGGGAGGCCTAGGCACCGTGAAGGTGGGGCCCCAGGGTCTCCAAACGTCCCTTGATCGCTGTATGGTGGAACAACCTACCTCCTGTATTCTGCACCCTGCATCTATTTTGCTTGTAGCAAATTATTCTGGTCCCAGGAAGACGGGGGTGGGGGGGCGCGCATGGAAGTCTAGCTTGTTTGGAAATGGTAAATGTCATTTGCTCTGGGAAACATCACCAACCTCAAATTAGAACAGATGGTCCTTACAAAATATTAGTTTGTTGCCAGGTACAGCGGCACATATCTAAAATCCCAGCTATGTGGGAGGCTGAGGCAGGAGGAGGATCACAAGTTAGAATAATGAGCCCCTGTCTCAAAATAAAACATAAAGCCAGGTATAGGTCTGCAATCCTGGCACTCAGAGGCTGAAGCAGGAGGCCTAGGGGCCGGGGACATAGCTCAGGGGTGCAGTGCCTTCCTGGCAAGGGCGAGGTCCTGAATTCATTTTTTTTTTCCTTTTTTGTGGTACTGGTGATGGAACTCATGGCCCTGGACATGTGGGCAATACTCTGCCACCCTACACCAACCTGGAAATCTTAGGGCTTTGTTGTTGTGGTTGGTTTTGTTTTATTGAGACAAGGTCCTGTCTGGCCCAGGCTGGCCTCAAACTCATGGCAGTCCTCCTGCCTCAGCCTCCCGAGTGCAGGGATTACAGGGTGCACCATCGCAGCTGGCAGACTGGGCATTTTTAATATTAAGTAGTGCTGGTCTTTCTGGAAATGTTTCTGAGACAGAAGTCCTTGTCAAACCAAGGGCCGTGATGCCCGCCTACAGCTGCTCTGGAGGCTGAGGGAGGAGGGTGGCTTATACCCATGAATTCAAAACGAGTCTAGGCCATATCGTAAAGCCTGTCTCAGAAAAAAAATGCTTGTCATCTAAAAGTGTCTGTTAAGTGTGAGTTTACACTTTAAAAATCACCCTGAAAAAAAATAAAATTAAAAAAAGATCACCCTGAAGGTTCTTTGTTTTTGATGCTGCTACCATTGATTTTTTGAGACAGGGTCTCGTTAAATGGCCGAAGCTGGCTTCCAGGTCACGGCAATCCTCCTGCCTCAGCCTCCCCAGCACTTGGATTGCAGGCAGGTGCCATCACGTGTGGCTCACTTACATAAAAGTAATTTTAACGAAACAGTCACATGGGCTAGAAGTTATCACATTAAATCACACAGCTCTAACGACTTAGAATCAACTGATAGAAACCTGAAACCACAAGTACCTTATAACCAGGCGCGACAACAGGTAGGGACTGGACCTTGATAAATAACAGGCAGGCTCTGTGGCCAGGACCACAGAAGTGGCTGCTACTTGGCCCAGCGGGGAGGAGTGTGGCTCCTTTAATCTTCGGATTAAAGGGTGAGGATTAGGGATCTAGGTGCTTTGTGATACTGATCAGATGAAGCACAGATGGTGAAAGCTGATACTTTTAAGCAGGGTGCAATTATCCAGGCAGCAAATCCCTGCTGTGGGACAGAGCCAGGGGCCGGACCATGAGATCCTCCTCTCCCTGCCAGGAATCAACCAGGAAGGGGTGCCAGAGCTGCAGAGCGCAGGGTGAGAGGGGACTCTGTTGGGAGTGAAATCTGTAGGTATTGATTCCTATCCCAAACCTTTTCTATAAAGGATTAATGAAGCAGAGTTTAGTGACACACTGCTGTGATCCCTGCTATGTAGCCCAGACTGGCCTCAAATTTATGGTGATCCTCCTGCCTCAGCCTCCTAAGTACTAATCCTGCGCCTGTGTCTTCCCATGCTTGGCACACTGATTGCTTTTTTTTTTTTTATCGGTACTGGGGATCGAACTCACAACCGCCTGCTTGCAAGGCAGGTGCTTATGCTACTGAGCTAAATCCCCAGCCCCTGACTGCTTTCTTAAGCCGAAGTCTTAAGGGAACTCGGAGCTCAGGGCTGCTGTTATATCACCAGAACTAACAGTTGGATATTTGTTGAATGAATTAAGAGGCCTAAGTAGTAAATATTGATATCTCTCCCATTTTACAGGTACGGAAACTGAGGCTGAAAGAGGTGAAGTGACTTCTTCATGTTTACACAGTCAGCTGAAGGCCAAAACTGGGATTTGAACCCAGATCATTGGCCCAGAGGCTGCATAACTTTCCACAGAGGCGGAGGAGACAATTTTTTTTTCTTTTTTTTTTTTTTTATCGGTACCGGGGATCGAACTCACCACCACCCGCTAGCAAGGCAGGCACTTATGCCGCTGAGCTAAATCCCCAACATCAAGACAAATATTGACACTCTGGACAAAGCGCTATCATCTCTAGTGGAGAAACTGAGGTGGACACAAAATTTAAAACCTTGCCCAAACCCAGTGGGGTGGTGCATACCTGTAATCACTCTGGGAGGCTGAGGCAGGAGGATTGCTACAGAAAAGGCTTCCCAAAATGGGCTGGGTGCCCAGCGCCCCTCACCTGCCCACAGCACGGGCTTCTCCTCTTCCTGCTCTCCATCTGTCTCCTCTGAGAAGTCTTCCAGGAGCTTCTCCGCCTCTCGAGCCTCGGCACCCCCTGGGGCAGCCCAGCCCAGAAAGGCCCGGACGCGGCCCAGGTCCGGGTGGGCAGGAGGGTCTCGGAAATCCTGAGGGTGGTCTCGGAGCCAGGAGCCCAGCACGGACACCACAGCCCTGGCCAGAGGGGCAGCCTCAGACGGGGCCTGGAGACCCGGACCTGTCCACTTCGAGCTTCCAGCCCCAGCGCCCCTCCCGCCGCGGGCCTGCAGGCCGAGCACTGCTGACTTGGGGTCCCCACGCCCCGGTGCCCCATGCGGTGGCCCAGGCGGTCCGAGGACAAGACCAACCTCAGATTCTTGCTGAGGCTCAGCTCACGTCCCTTGGTCTTCTCTCGGTCTGTCCTGGACGGAGGGTCACTCCGGTCAGGTGGGCTAGGAGGAGGCTGGGGTGGGCTCTGGGGCTGGGGGCGCAGGGGTCCCCGGCTACTGACCCTGCAGGCAGTGGGGGCGGCGGTGGGGGGAGCAGGAAGCGCAGCACACAGGTGGTGGGCACGAAGGCGCGGTGGGTGGCCAGGAAGGCGGGCACGAAGCTCGGGTCCTGCTCGCGGTCGCCGGACACCAGCTCGCCCATCAGCCGCTCCAGCCGCGCCGCCCTGAGCGCCCGCACCTTGCTGGTGCGGTAGTGCAGGAAGGTGTCGGCCGCGGGGGGCTGCGGGCACAGGGACGGGCAGTGAGCGCCCCGCACCCCGCTTCCAGCCCGGCCCCGCCAGACCCGCTCGCACACCCGAGCTTGCCGTTCCTCCGGACTCGCTGGGTTGTTATCCGCCGGGCCCACGTGCCAGCCCACGGCGCCCTCTGCGACCCGGCGGGCGGGCGGGCGGGCACTGAGCCGCGTTGCAGCCCCTTTTATTCTGCTTTGAGCCAGCATCTCACTAAGTTGCTAAATTGCCCGGCTTGCTGGGATTTGCCATCCTCAGCCTCAGCCTCCAGACTCCTGGGATGACAGGCGTGCCCCACCTGCTCAGTCCCTAAGCCCCGCCCCGTGAACCCCCAGAGTCGCCCCCCGGTTTCGCCCAGTCCCCCTGCCGGCCTCAGCGGCCAGGCCCTGGCCACACCCCCGCTCCGGGGCAGCTTCCAGCTCCGGCCCACTGACCGCGGCTTCCCCACATTGGGCCTCCCGTCTGCCTTCGCCCGAGCGCGGGTCACCCGGCCCCACCCATGTCCTGGAGTCCACCCTCACCTGGTGGCCTGCAGCCCTGCCTTCCCTCCCAGTCCCGCTGCACCTGGCGACCTTAGCTGGGCTCTAGGGCTTCGGCCCCGCCCACCTGGCCGCGCGCAGGCCCCGCCCCGCTCACCTGGCCGCGCTCAGGCCCCGCCCCGCCCACCTGGCCGCGCGCAGGCCCCGCCCCGCCCCCGCCCACCTGGCCGCGCGCGGGCCCCGCCCCGCTCACCTGGCCTCGCTCAGGCCCCGCCCCGCCCACCTGGCCGCGCTCAGGCCCCGCCCCGCCCACCTGGCCGCGCGCGGGCCCCGCCCCGCTCACCTGGCCTCGCTCAGGCCCCGCCCCGCCCACCTGGCCTCGCTCAGGCCCCGCCCCGCTCACCTGGCCTCGCTCAGGCCCCGCCCCGCTCACCTGGCCTCGCTCAGGCCCCGCCCCGCCCACCTGGCCGCGCTCAGGCCCCGCCCCGCCCACCTGGCCGCGCGCGGGCCCCGCCCCGCTCACCTGGCCTCGCTCAGGCCCCGCCCCGCCCACCTGGCCGCGCGCAGGCCCCGCCCCCTCACCTGGCCGCGCTCAGGCCCCGCCCCGCCCACCTGGCCGCGCGCAGGCCCCGCCCCGCCCACCTGGCCGCGCGCGGGCCCCGCCCCGCTCACCTGGCCGCGCGCGGGCCCTGCTCCCGGGCCTGAGCGCTGGCTGCGCTGCCGCCGCAGAGCCACGCTGAACACCGCGCCGTCCTCGCTCTCCTCGCCCCAGTCCTGCAGCGGCGCCTGGGCGCAGGGCGGGCTTAGGGCGCTGGGGCTGCGCCACGGTGCTCTGTGCCCCAGTCGTCCTCCCACGTCTTCAGGACGTGGGGTGGAATCTGGGGGACGTCCTAGGGTCCGGTTTCATAGAATCTGATTGTTTTCTTTAAATTTTTGTTTTTGAGGCAGGATCTCTGGCCCTCAAACTCGGAGATCCTCCTGTCTCAGCCTCCCAACCGCTGGGATGCCAGGCGTGGCCACCCCGTCCAGCCGTAATCTGTCTCTGATCCCTCCTTCAAAGACACTCAGAGACCTCCACTGCGTTCCCCCACCCCCGAAAGGAACCGCTTCCCTCAGTCGGGGCCATGTCCCAAGGGAGACACAGGGGCGCTCCCCCCCCCCCCAGCTGCTGAAAGATTGAGCGGTATTTGGGGACAGGCTAGGGTCCAGTCTCACGGACCGTGTCAGGTCAGAAGCATCCAGGGGACGCAACCCATCCCCATCCCAAAGGGAACCAGCCACCTCTCTGGGTCAGGGCCAAGGGTCTGCCCTGAGACCCTGGGGAGTCGGCACCCATCTCTGCACCCGGGGACGTGGGACCCAGGATCCTCGGCCTCCTTACCAGGGCGAGCTCCTTGCCCGCCGTCCGCTCCATGGCCCGCGCCCGTCCGCACCGTGGTGGCGCCTCGGTGTGAGGCAGAGAAGGGCGGGGCGGGGCAGGACAGGGCGGACCCAGACCCAGAGCCCTGGCAGGGGCCCAGCCTGTCCCCGGGAAGGGCCCGCCTCTCTCCCCAGGGACCTAGAGCTAAGCTGTGAGCCGCCGAGTCCCCAGGCAGGTGGGAAAGGCCGCTGTGTCCTCTGTGCTCAGGTGGGCAAGGCCCTCGCGGGGACGGCATTGGAGGGGCCTCTCCTGGGTCACCGGTTGCTGGGAGCCCCGAGAACTATATTGGAGGAGGCCACCTCTCCTTCTTGTGGGGGACGGTCAGAGAGCGGGGAACACCCAGGAGGCTGATGGGTGACCTTTATTGTGCGATTCTGAGGCCGGTGCCGACCCAACTTGGGAGATTACTGTGGGAACATCTGGCCCGGCGCCTTCTCTCCTGCGGGCCTCTGGCCTGCTCTGCTCCCACTCGGGCCTCGTGCAGCCCTTCAAGGGGCCCCGTGGAGCCCTGGCCAGGTCCAGGAGGTCCGAGGGGCTCGGCCGGGGTGGGCACCGCGTGCCTAGGACCTCCGCGAGCGACCTCGCTTCTTGCTGCGCGTTTCGATGAGTTTCTGGGAAATGATCTTGAACGAAGCCCGGGTCACCACGTTGTCGTCCTCCTCGCTCTCCTCTTCGTCTGCGGGGAGCCCTGACTGATGCAGCCCTCCAGACGCCCTGCTGGGCCCGTCACCACCCCACCCACCTCCATCTGGGCCCTGGGCCTGGCATCTGACCACCTCCCGCTCTTCCTGAGCCCAGCAGCACTGACCGAAGAACTTGTCCTTGGAACTGGACAGAAGGAGGGGGATGCGGGTGTTGTACCGGGGCAACTTTCCTTCTAAGGTGACCAGGAACTGAGGGGAGAGGGGAGAGGGCAGGGGAGGTGAGGGAGGGGCTCAAGCCGTTTTTGGTTCTGTGACTGGGTCTTGCTCTGGAGTACAGGCTGGCCTTGAACTCAGCCAGATCCTCCTGCCTGAGCCTCCCCACGGTGGGATTATAGGCGACCCCACCACACCCAATGTAGAATGCAGTATTCCTGCAGCCCAGTTTCACGTGCCTGCTCAGGAGACCCTCTGATGTCCAGCTCAGTTCAGGGCCTCCCCTGACCCCCAGCCTCCCTCTGGCCTGCGGGGACACGCCCACAGCTCCACTGGCTTCTCCCCCTGGAGGGTCGGCCTGCGGGCCCTGGAGTGCCCTCCTCCCAGCTGTCAGTCCACACCTTGGCCCCCGAGGGCTGCCCCCTTCCCCTCTGGCCTGCACGGGCTGCAAGGGCACCTCGCGGCTGGCGATATAGCGCAGCATCTCCGGCACATCGTGGCTCAGGAGCTGAGACTGCAGCTTCAGCAGCTTCTCCTCCACCAGGCCCAGCAGGTTCGGCAAATAGTCACCTGCTGTGGGGTCTAACACTTTCTCCGAGAAGCGGCTGTCCTCCTGCAGCCGCGGGAGGAGCCGTCAGCGGGGGCGGGGGCCCGAGAGGCTCCGCCCAGGGGCGGGGTTTTGCGGCAAGCCCACCCACTGGGAAGGTGTTTACCGGTTCGGCTGACACTTCGGAAGTAAAAAGTCCCTAAATACTAGATTTTTTTTTTTTTTGTCTTTTTCATTTTTATCAGTACCAGGGATTGAACTCACGACTGCCTGCTTGAAGGCAGGCGCTTATGCCGCTGAGCTAAATCCCCAGCCCCTAGTCCCTAAATACTAAAGGTGAGGGGAATACTACCCTGAGCGCGGCCATTGTGCCGATGGGCTTCTAAAAGAGAATTTTTTTTTGGTGCTGGAACCCAGCTGAACCCAGAGCCTCTGTCCTGAGCTATGTCCTCAGTCACCTCTTTTAAAACAGGATCTCCCGAAGCCCCTGAGTTGCCCAGGCTGTGCTCGAACTTGAGATCCTACTGCCTCAGCCTCCCAGAACGCTGACAGGCATGCACTAATACACCGTGCAAAAATGAGTCTGTTGAGGACAGGACAGGGCTCTCCCATCTCCAGAGGCCGCGTGATTGAACTGGAGTCCCCAGGGTTCTCGTTGGGATCTCGATGGGGGCGCGATGGGCCTTTTCCATGGGGCAGGATATATCTGAAGTCCAGGCCTCTCTGGAGTGAGAGGGTTTCTCCAGGAATGTGGGGCAGGGACTCTGACGAGTAGGGCGGACTCCCTGCTGTGGACTGGGCCTCTGACTTTGGCCGCTAAAGATGCGGTGGGTACCAGTGATCTCCACCGCGAGATCTCATTGGAAGACAGGGCCTATGGGGCGGGGCTTCACTGGGGGGTGGAGCCTCCTGTGATTGGGTTTTCCTGGGGCGGGGCCTCCATGGAGGCGTGTCCTGTGACCACTGCCCCCCTGGGGAAGGGCCATCCCGGGGTATCTGGGCGGAGCCATCTCGGGGCGTGTCTCCAGGGGGCGTGTCTCTAGGTGGGGCCACCCAGGGGCGGGACCTACCACTGTGATGACTTTCAGCTTGCTGGCCAGGTGTTCCAGGCTGTCCTTAGCCACCCGCGCGGTTCGCAGGGTGCGCTCCAGCTCCTCCCGGGCCTTAGCCCGTCGCTGCTCCTCGGTTTTGAGGCTCATCTGCAACTCAGCTTGCAGCTTCTGTTGGCTGCAGGGAGCAGGGAAGTCACCCCCACACCCTAGCGCGACCGAGCCTGCTCCCCTCCCACAGCCTGCCCCACACACAGCCGGCAACCAGGCCTCACCTCACCCGCGTGGCCTCCCCGGAGTATTTGAGGTTTTCGAGCTCCCGCTGCAGCCGCTGCTTCTCCTCCTTGAGCTTCACCAGCGTATGCTCGTTCTCCTTCTTGAGGGCCTCCAGTTGCGTGAAGGTGTAGCCCTGGGCCAGGAACCGCCGCACCACCGACTGCGGACCAGCCAGCCCCGGTCAGAGCCAGGCCAAGGAGGCAGGGGCGCCCCCCTATCCCGTGCACTGCACACGCGACCTAAGCTGGTGTTTTAGTTTTTATTTGGCACTATTAGGAATCGAACCCAGGGCCCTCGCACTGCATTCCCAGCCCTTTTTTATTTTTTTTCTTAATTTGAGTGTTTTACTAAGTGGCCAAGTTGTCCTGGCTGGACTGGCCCTTGTCACCCTCCTGCCTCAGCCCAGAGTGCTGGATCTGTGTGTCTTCAGGCTCAGGGCTGCCTCTGGCACTCTCTCTGCTTCATAGCTAAGAAATCCTCCCCCCTTCCAGGTAGGGGCTGCTCCTCTGTGCCTAGGTGACCCTGTGCGTCTGAGCCCGAAATCTCTTAGACACGGACTCCCCGTGGGAGGAGCAGGAGACTACAGAGAACCCAGAGGGGAGAATCTGGCTGCCAGATCAGCGGAAGGCTGGACCCAGGCACCAGAGCGGAGCGAGGGGCAAGGGTCTTGGAAAATTTTAAACCTGTTACCCAGGGTCGCCACCTGCTGGGTCTGAGGGTGGTTCTAGAGATTCCACCGGGTCTTAGCCGTGGACACAGGACAGACTAAAGTCCCAGTCCTCCTTTGCCAAAGAAGTGCAGAACTGGAGGGATAATGCACTCCTGTAATCCCCATACTCGGGAGGCTGAGGCAGAAAGATCCCCAGCCTGAACTACATGGAGAGACCCTGTCTCCAAAACAAAGAAATGAGGTCGGAGAGGAGAGGAGATGACAGCGAGCGACTGGAGGCAGCTTTCCTGGGCTTGGCTGGGAAGCAGGCAGGGAAAAGGCGCGGCAGCTGGAGGGGAAGGGATGGCTTCTCAGGGAGAGAGCAGGTTTGTGTGCTGCAGATCTGACCTGGAGGAAAGGGCAGGGAGGGTGTGCTGGGCCCGGCTTGTGTGCAACTGGAGGCCAGAGGCGGGCGGGAGCGCTCACGTGTGTTTCAGCCGCGCCGGTGGCGTCCTTGACCTTGCTGAAGGTCACCTCCATCTGGTACATGCTCCAGCGCCGCCACAGCTCCTCCTCCTTGGCCTGCTGGTGGTCTTGGATGGTGTCCTCGGACTGCAGCAGCAGGTGATCGCGCTGCGTCTGCTCCAGGGGGAGGAGGGGAGGTCAAAGCCAGGCTCAGCTTTGGGGAGCAGGGGATGGGGCGTGGGGGGCAGGGCCAAGGCTTGGGGTCAGGTGAGGGCACCCAGGGGGCAGAGGGGGCGCGGCAGGACAGGGGCGGGGCTTCAGGAGACGGAGGACTAGAGACAGGGCTGGAGGGGGAGGAGAGGGGAGGAGGGAGAGGGGAGGGCAGGGGAGGAGGGGGAGGGGAGGAGGGGAGGAGGGGGCGGGGCCAGGAGCAACGTCAAAAAAAAAAAAAATAAAAATCAGAAAGGTCTAGGACTGTAGCTCGAGAGCCAAGTGGGGGACTGGCTGGCCAGGTCGTGGTTGGTTTGGGCTTGGGTGGACTGAAGCCTTGTGCCTTGGTGAGTGCACCTTTCGCTCCATCCGCTCGTTCTGGAGTTTCTTCTCCTCCGCACGCTTCTTGCAATCACTTATGTACAGCTCCCGCTTCTTGCGCTCCTGAATCACCTTCTCCTCCAGATACTGCAGCTGGTTCTGCAGGGCAGACAGTGGAGAGGCGGCTGGTACCTAACCGGACTCCAAGGAGAGCCTCAAGTGTGGGACTACACAGCTGGTGTGTGGCATCCTTATTTCTTGGAGACAGGGTCTCTATATGTTCAGGCTGGCCCTGAACTCAGAGATCCTCCTGCTTCAGCCTTGCGAGTGCTGGGATCACAGATGTACACTGCAGCTCCCAGCTTTTTTTGTGTGGCGCTGGTGATGGTACCCAGGGTCTCATGCATGCTAAGCAAGCGCTCTCCACTGAACTGCACTCCCAAGCACAAGTCTACACAGCTAGACCACGCCACAGAATGCAGGGAGATAGCACAGTGCTCAGAAAGAGCAGAGTTCTGATTCTGGGCCTGGGAAATGTGGCAACTGGGCAGGACCCCAGGATAGGTGACCCCAGAACAGGTCACCTTGGCAATGTCCCGGGCGCTGAGGGCCTCTTGGTTCACCACGTTCAGTTCCTGAACCTCCTGCTTGGTCTTTACCACCTGGGCCTCCATGGCGTCCAGCTGGTTCCCCAGGGTGAGGGCCTCCTCCTGGGGTTCAGGACAGTACCGGCTGTGACCACAGTCCCCAGCGGCCTGGCCTCTGCCTCCCAGGCTGTCCCCTCGCTGGGCTACCTGCAGATAGGCCTTGAGCTGCAGGTACACGCCAGTGATGTACTCGGCCTCTTCTGCCTTCATGCGGGCCTTCTCCAGCCGGTTCTCCAGGTTCCTCATGGTCTGGAGGAGGGCAGCGCTGAGTCCCCTGAGCTGCACCCTGACCCGGGACCCTCCTGCCCCACGGCCCCACCTTGGCCATCTCGGTGTTGCTGTCCTGCATCTCGGCCATCTCCAGCTGGCGCAGGCTCTCCTGAAGCTGCAGTTCATCCAGCCGCCGCTGTCGCAGCACCACCTGGTGTCGCAGGGCGTTCAGCTGCTTCACCTTCCCGCTCAGCTGGTGGTCCAGGTACTCCAGGGCTTGCTGTGGGTGGGCCAGGCCAGAGAGAGCAGGGGTCCTTCCTCCCTGCTCCCAGGAGGCGGCCCGCACCCCACTTCCCTTTCAGCATGGACCTGCAGTCTGCCTCTTCCGTTTGCTGGCTTCCTGGACCCTCAGTTCCCAAAGTCCTACTGGTGATTTCATACAGGCTAACGGTCTGCGAGGTCACTCCGTCAAATTTAGTGTCCCCTTTGAATCTCTTTCTTTCTTTGGTACTGGGATGGATCCCAGGGCCTTCCCGCTGAGCTATATCCCCAGCCCTTCTCATTTGTATTTTTTTATTGTAAGATTCAAGGTCTCCTTAAGTCACCCAGGCTGGGCTTCAACTTCCAATCCTCCTGCCTCAGTCTCCCACAGCGCTGGCATTTCAGGCTAGAGCCACCAGCCAGACTGTAGGCTCTGTCACATGTCACGCGTCCTTCCAAAAGTTTCCACAGGCTTCTCAAAACCATCACATCCAAAACGGAGTGCCTGTTCATCTCCCACCCAGCCCTCCCAAACCTCTACCACTGGGCCGGGGATTTAGCTTAGTTTGATTCCTAGTACCAAAATCAATCGATCGATCAATCAAATCTCCAGCGTCACACTCAGCACCAAAACAAAACCCAAACCTTCACATAGCCCCCAGCTTTTCTCACGCCTGCTCTCATCCCATTGGGTAGCAGTTTCTCTGGAATCTGTCTCACAGGTCTCCATGCTGGTGGCACTGCAGCCCAAACCATCTTTCATCTGGGTGACCACCTCCTTGGCCTCCCTCCTTGCCCCCTGGTAGCTCATTTGACATTTTCCGTTCTTGGTATGAAATCCACACTGGAAACAAAGTCTGTTGCAGGCTTGAACGTGGACAAGCAGTTGAATTACAGCTGCATCAGCCTGCATCCAGGTCTACAGCTCTCCAAATGTGCCTCTGTCTCAGGACCTTTGCACTTGCTGTGCCCTCTGCTGGGAGCACTCTTCCCAGATCCCTTCCTGCCTGTCTGATTCTCAGCTCAAATATCACTTCCTTTGGGAAGAGGACAGGGTCACTGCCCCACTCTAAAGTGCCAGCTCCAGCTGGGCGTGGTGGTGCACATCTGTAATCCCAGCACTCGAGAGGCTGAGGCAGGAGAATCATTGCAAGTTTGACCAACCTGGGCTACAAAGTGACCTCAAGCCCAGCCTGAACTGCATAGCAAGAAAAGACAAAAATAAATAAAATTTAAAAATAAAGTACTAGCTCCTGTCCTGTCTCTGTCCCTCCCTAGTATATCAGCTTGCTTTTTTGTGTTTATTTCTCTTGTCATTGCTGGAAAGTCCTTTGTTTCTATATTTGTTGTTCTGAACATGGGCTTAGGTTGTATTTGGTGCTGGTGATGAACCCAGGACCTCAGACACACTAGGCAAGCCACTAACCCACTGGTGACTTTTATTTATTTACTTGTGGTACTAGAGACCAAGCCCAGTGAGGTTCTGCCACTGACCTATGTCACCAGCCCCTTGTAGTTTTATTTTATCTTTTTGAGACAGGGTCTCACTATGCAGCTCAAATTTTCCTTGAGCTCACTTTGTAGCCCAGGCTGGTCTCAAACTTGGAAACATCCTCCTGCCTCAGCCTCCCGAGTGCTGGGATGACAGGTGGGGAGCCACTATGCCCTGCTTAAAATTAATTTCTAATTTTTAATTTTAAGTATTTTTTTATACAGAGCCTTGCAATGCAGTTCAAGGTTGGCCTGAAGTTCAAGGTTGTACCACGGAGTCCAAGGTAGCCTCCAATTCACAGAGATCCTCCTGCCTCAGCCTCCCAAGTGCTGGCAGTACAAGCATGCACTATCACACTGGCTTATATTTTAATCTGAGACAATATCTCCCTCTATTACCCAGGCTGGCCTTAACCTGTGATCCTCCTGGGAGGATCCTCCAGTGATGTTTAGCTTCTGGGGTAGCTGGGATTACAGACATGTACCACTGGGCCTAGTGTTTTTCTGTTTGTTTTGAGTTCTTTAAAAGATGGGTCAGAGATAGGTCCTTTGGGTTGGCTAGATTGACTCCAAAATTCCTGGGCACAATTGAGCTTTCTGCCTCAGCCTCCTAAGTAGCTGGGACTACAGGCAGGAGGTAGAAAGGGGCTTCGGGTCTTCGAAACTGTCTCCTCCAGTAGGAGATGAGCTGCTCTCTTTTATTTGATACGGGTGTCTCAGTATTTTGCCCAGTCTGGACTCAAACTCTTTAAAAAAGTCAATAAACAAAGATTTCATTGACTGAGTGCATGACTGGCAGCCAGCGTAGAGAGGGGGGCGGGGAGGGAGGGAGCCGGTGATGGAGGTCGTGGGGACGGCTCAGCAAACCTGGGTCATCCTGTTCTTCAGATACGGCTTCTCCTCCTTCCACTCCTGAATTATTGCCTGCACCACTTTCTCGTCTCCCTGCAAGCAGAGGCAGGCACGGGGTCACCCCTCGGCTGTTACCTGGGTGTCTCCCTGCATCCCACCAGCCCCTCGCCCTCACCTGCAGCAGGTCCGTCAGCTGCCCCTGCAGGGCCTTGATCTCCTCATGGAGGTGGCTGATGGCCTCCTGGTTTTTCTTCATGTTCCACTGGGTGTTCTCATAGTTGGTCTTCCGGTCACCCTCTGGGGAGGTAAAGGGACAGACGCAAGCCCGGCATCATTGGGTAGGTGTGGCACCTCCCAGGGAGAAGACCTTGGTGCAGTCAGTCAATCAGCAGCTTCATATTTTGATGGATTGGTTCTTGGTTTGTTTGCTTTGGTCTTTGAGAGAGGGTCTTGCTATGTAGCTCAGGCTGGCCTTGAACTTATGGCAAGCCTTCTTCCTCAGCCTCTGGAGTGGGTGCTGGGATTACAGGCCTATGCCACCATGCCCAGCGAAGCTCTGCATAATTATGTCGATTAAAAGCAAATGTATTAGCCTGGGGTGAGCCTAGTAGGAAAGCACTTGTCTGGAAAGCATGTTTTATTGCAAAAGAAAAGCAATAAAACAAAAATCCTTCCTTTTGGAGCAATATATGTCCATGGTGGCCTGAGACAATTCCAGATCCTCAGTACCGTATGACCCTAGCTGCATATCTATTTGCAAATATACCCACTTTACAGATGAGAACATCGTGGGTCAGACTGATTACATGTTCAAAGTCACAAGCAGTCTCCCTCCTGTGCCCACAACTTTATTAGCTTGGCAAAAATGACCTCTTAGGGGCTGGGGATTTAGCTCAGCAGCATAATAAGCACCTGCCTTGCAATCACGTGGTTGTGAGTTCGATCCCCCATACCAATAAAAAAAACGACCTCAATAAAAAACTGCTGGGCATAATGACACATGCCTATCATCTCAGCACTTGGGAGGCTGAGGCAGGAGGACTGCTGTGAGTTTGAGGCCAGCCTGGGCTACATAGTGAAATTATGTCTGAAAAAGAACAAAAAGCAAGAAAACAAACAAAAAACTCCCAAAACAAACCAATAAACAGCCTCTGCACTCTGCTACATTCCCAGATCTTTTAAATTTTCTACTTTTTAAAATTGTGATTTTTGGGTTTTTTGTTGTTTTAGGAAAAGGACTCACTGTGTAGCCCAGGCTGGCCTCAGGTCTCCTGCCTCAGCCTCCTGGGTACTGGGATTACAGGCTTGTGCTACCATAGCCGCCTCTCTTTATTTTTTTATTTTGTGAACAGAGTCTCACTCAGTTGCCCAGGGAAGGCTCAGACCTGCAACCTTTCGGCCTCCGCTTCTCTCTGAATTCGTTATTCCTATTTTACAGATGGAAAAACCGACAGCAGTCAGTTTGGTCTTAATTCCCCCAAGTCAAACTATTACACAGAGCAAGTTCTGACCTCAGAAAACCTGGCTCTAGAACTTACTCTTTATAGCACCGCATGTGTTACGAGAAGAGCGGAAACCAGGGCATACAAAATACACTCCAGTCAGTTCTGAGCTCAGAAGTTTGAGGACAGATGAAAGAAACCACAAAAGTTTTGCACTTCAGAAACTGCTCCCCAAGACTCACGCAGGTGGGCCGCTTTGGTCCCCCATGCACGGTCCAGAAGGCCTGGGTGGTCACCGTTGACCCCTGACCCCGGAGCCCTCTTACCTAACAGCTGGATCTTCCTTTGTAACTCGACCACCTCTTTGTGCTTGGCGAGCTTCTGCGGGCTGTGGGGGCCGAGTGCCGTCTTGGAATAGGGCGGGGTCCAGGCCCCGGAGTGGGAGCCCTTGGCTCGGCGGTAGCCCTTCTTGGCCTGAGCCTTACTGCTCTTGGCTTTGGAAGAAGGCGTCGAAGCCTGATCTTGAGAAGGCATGGCGTTGGCAGAGGCCGCCCTGCACAAGGGAGACGTCATGATTGGGTTGGGGCCAGAGACCCCCTAGGGTTTAGGGAAGCAGCGAAAAATTGGCCGCCCCTGTCTGGGATCCGTCAATTCGGGTTCCTCAATCTCTGGGAATGCGCTTTCCGACCGCTTGGCGGGGCCTCGCAGCATCTCCCGGTTGCTAAGTAACCGCTCCCCCCTTCGCGCCAGTGTTTCCATGGTGACCATAGGCGTGCCACTCTGATTGGCTAGAGAAGTGCAAAGGGGCGGTCCCAGCAGGTGGTGGTGCAGAGCCGTGCAGCGGATCGCGAAGGCTGAGACTTCAGGGTCACGTGTTCATCCCGTTTCTTTCCTCGCCCCACCTACGGAGGTTGAGGTTCGCGGGCATTTTTCAAGAACTTTCTTTTCCGACTGCGGAAGCCGCCACTCTCAAGATGGAGACTAGTCGTGCCGCCATTAAGCGCAAATCTTCTGATCCATCCTCTCTTAAGGTTTCTCAGTCCTGCCCAAGATGGCCGTCTCGGTTCCGGCATCCGCTTTTTTGCCACACTCAACATGGCGACGCGGCATTACCGTTCCCGGTGCGCGGTGTACGAAAGGAAGTGACGCATCGCAGGCTCTTCCGCTTTCTTTCTGCAGCAGGAACCGTGGCCACTGGGCTAAAGGGGGGTGCGGTGGATTTTGACCTTTGCCTCGGCCTCATGTAGGTGATGGACCAGCGGGTGGGAAGGTACCTTATTTTCATAGAGAGGGCAGCAGACGGGCATGTGTGAGGGCCGGAGGAGACGGGGAACCCCTTGGGTTTATGGCGGGAACTTGTCCACTCCGGCGTGGGGAGCGAAGACTTTTGAGTTCTCCACTGTTGATTTAAGCTGAGTGAGGTCTTTCTGCACCGCCCAGGACTGGGGGGACCCCTGTTCCCCGATCCTAAATCGCAAACGAAGTGAGCGATCATTTGCCCTAAAAAGGTGGAGGAATCCAGTTGACTGGAGCTGGCCCTGACTTCCCCACCGGCTCCCTGCTCGTGGCCTGGCGTGGGGATCCCCGCATCTCCCCGCAGCCTGCTTCCTCCCACAGAGCTCGTGTCCGGCCCGGAGCCCCGCGCGTGATGTTGCTACTGATGCTGCTGCTGCCCCTCTGCTGGGCCGTGGAGGTCAAGAGACCCCGGGGAGTGTCCCTCACTCGTGAGTCCTGCGGTTCCGGGCCGGGGGTGGGGGTGAGGGACAGGAGGGAGGAGCCTGGGGTGGACATCTGTGGCCGATTGCCTCAGTTTCTCCCCAGCGTGCAGCTGGTGGTGGTGTTGGGGAGACGGGGTGGTGCTCACTTTTTCTTTGTCCCCAGATCATCACTTCTATGATGAGTCCAAGCCCTTCACCTGCCTGGACGGCTCCGCCACGATCCCTTTTGATCAGGTGAACGATGACTACTGTGACTGCAAGGATGGTTCAGATGAGCCCGGTGAGCTTTCCTGGGTGTTGGTTACTGAGCAGCGACACCCAGGCCCTGCCCTGCCCTGCCCTGCCCTGCCTCCCTGTGGAGAGGCTGGCAATGGATACAGAGAGTAGCTCGGTGACCCGCTTATGTAGCACCCATGAGCCCGTTACCATCAGGACAGGTGGGAAGGTTTCTGAGTGGGTCTGGGGGTGAACCCCTGAAGGAGCTGCAGGTGGGCGGAGTGGAGCCAGGGCAGGCTGGCTGGGCGGTCATCCCAGCAGAGGAGGAGCTGGCCTGCAGCTTTGAAGAGCCTCATGAAGAGGAGGTGTTAACTAACACCGGAGGGTTTTGTTTCAGGCCCCCAGGGTGCAGCTCTCTGTACCCCTGGGCTGCACCTGTCATTTGGTGTTAAGAGACCAGGTCTCACTATGTGACCTGGGCTGGCCTCAAAGTTGGTGGCATCCTCCTGCCTCAGCCTCTTCAGTGCTGGAATGACAGGCGTTCACCGCTGCACCTGGCGTCATTTGCATCTTTCTGATCCTCTTATCTGCCTGTGTGTATGGCTGGAGGATGGGACATGCCTGGCCTCAGTGACCATAGCAAACGTCCCCTCCTGTCCCCACGCAGGCACGGCTGCCTGTCCTAACGGTAACTTCCACTGCACCAACTCGGGCTACAAGCCCCTGTACATCCCCTCCAGCCGCGTCAACGATGGCGTCTGCGGTGAGCGGGGGACCCCCAGCACTAGGGAGGGGGCGGGGGCTGGACAGAGGGGGCACTGCCAGCTCTGATCTCGCCCGTCTCCGCCTCAGACTGCTGCGACGGCACCGACGAGTACAACAGTGGCATCGTGTGTGAGAACACCTGCAAGTACGTGGTGACAGTCCCCTCCCTCACCACCATGGCCTGACTGCATCCCACGAGTTAACAGGCTCCATTTTCTGCTCCGTGTGTGATGTTAGGAATCGAACCCGGAGCCGCCTTTGCACTGTGGTGCCTGATCTTACTAACTTGCTAAATTGTCCAGACTGAGCTCAAACTTTTCAGTCCTCCTGCCTCAGCCTCCCAGAGCTGGGATCACAGGCCTGTGACACCACGCCTGGATCCCCCCCCCACAATCTTTGTCTGTCTGTCTGTCTCCCCCTCTCTCTCTCTCTCTTTCTCTCCAGTTTTCAGCTCCACCCCTCCACTGCCCTGGTCCCTCCTCTGGCTCTGAGGAAGGACAAAGCTATTCCTCCTCACAAGGACAGGGGCAAAGGGCCTGGGGTCGGTGGTGGGTTTGCCGTCTCAGCTCTCCAGCCTGGCATGTAGGAGGTGGGTTGGTAGGTGGCCTGAGTCCTTCCGGAAGAGGCTGGCACCGTGGGCCCCCGGTGCCCCTGGTGGTGCCCATGCATCTGCCTCCCCCCTAGAGAGAAGGGCCGCCAGGAGAGAGAGTCCCTGCAGCAGATGGCAGAGGTTACCCGCGAAGGCTTCCGCCTTAAGAAGGCCCTCATTGAGGACTGGAAGAGAGCCCGGGAGGAGAAGCAGGTGGGGGCCTCTGGTCACTTAGCGAGAATCTGCTTCCAAATGAAACGGGCCGGTTGATATACAACTTGGCAGCGCAGCACTTCCCTGGAGAGTGCAAGGTCCTGAGTTCCGTTCCTGGTACCAAAAAAAAAAAAAAGTAAAACACTGTCCTTGGTGTTCTGCGCTGCCTCGAGGTGTGCAGGCTTCTGTCCGGAGGGTTCGGGGAACCACAGCCTGGGAAGACCCAGGCAGATGCGTGTGTGGAAAGCTTGCCAGTGCCCCCGCCCGGGTAGAGCCAGAGAGGCCCCCGGAAAGGAGGCAGAGGCTGAAGCCAGGCGAGCTGCCTCTCGGCTCCTGTTTATGCAGAACAAGCTCGCCGAGCTCCAGGCCGGAAGGAAGTCTCTGGAAGACCAGGTGGAGGCGCTGCGGACTTTGAAGGAAGAGGCTGAGAAGCCAGAGAAGGAGGCCAAGGAACAGCACCAGAAGCTGTGGGAAGGTAGGCGGCTGCGGTGGGGGGCCTCTGATCCTGCCTGCCGCCCGTCTTGGGGGTCTTTCTGCAGTGCCTGGCTTCAGAGCATGTGCACTGAGCTCATCCTTAGCTCTGTTTTGTTGTTGTTGTTGTCTGGAATCGAACTCACAACCATGCGCGTGCAAGGCAGGCACTTACGCCGCTGAGCTAAATCCCCGGCCTTAGCTCTTTCTTAAATTGTGAGACAGACTCTCACTGAGTCACTCAGTTATCCAGGTGGGACTGGACCTCGGGATTTTCCTGCCTCGGCCTCCTGGACTGCTGGCAGCACAGGCAGGCAGCACCACGCCTGGCTTCATGTTTGATGTTTAAGAAGCAGCTTGGTCTTGTAGCTGGGGTGATAAATTGGGGACAACTGGGGAGATGCAGGGCGGGGTGCCAACGGTCAGGTCAGTTAGGGGCAGAGGCTGCAGGCCAGATGGGCGCCGTGAAGGGTTGTATGCACAGGCAGGACGGACCCTGGCTGGGAACGAGGCACCCGGCTGGGGCTGGGGAGAAGCAGGTGGATTCTGGGTGTCCCTGAGCCCCAGCTTTTCCTCATGTTTCAGAGTTCTCCAGGCTTCAGGACCTGTCCTTTGCCCTAGAGGACAGGACCCTTTGTCCCCAGCACCCATTGTGGGGCCAGATGCCCAGTGGGGGCTTCATGATATCTGCAAGCTGGTTTCAGGGTGTCAGGATGCGGGAGCGCCCCGAGACCTGGGGTAACAATTGCTTCTCCACAGAGCAGCAGGCCGCTGCCAGGGCCCAGCGTGAGCAGGAGCTGGCGGCCGATGCTTTCCGGGAGCTGGATGACAACATGGACGGTGTGTAAGTGTCCCTGCGCGGGGCCGCTCCCCATGGCCAGACCCTGGCCCTGCCTCCGATCCTGCCCGGTGACCGTTGTCGAGTGTGGTGTTGGGGACGGAGGGGGACAGAATCCGGAGGGTGGGGGAGAAGCGCGGGCAGGGTACCCCCTGGTTGGTGCTGGTTTGGGGTACAGAATGTGGCATCCAGGCTGGCGCAGGTGGGGCTGGGCGGAAGTAGAAATTAGGGGGCCGGGAAGTAGAGTTTTAGTGACGGAGTCGTGGCATCTCCCAGCCTACCCACACCGCATCTCTGCCTGGTACCCCTCGGGGTTACCCCGTGGGAAAGAGGGTGTGGTAAGAAGCTGGGGTACAGGCTAGCTGGGGGTGACCCTGCATGGAGGAGCCGCTAGGTCACCTGGTGCCCGAGGCCCGCCGGGCCGCTGGTAGGGAGCCCGGTCCTTACCATGCAGGGTCCCCACAGGGTCTCGGTGGCCGAGCTGCAGAGCCACCCAGAGCTGGACACGGATGGCGACGGGACGCTGTCCGAAGGAGAGGCCCAGGTACCCCAAAGTGACCATGGGGTGTAGGAGGAAGCGCAGCCCGGTGGTGGAAAGCTGGCCCTGGGCTAGGGAGGTCAGGGTGTCCCCAAATTCTCCCTGCCCAGCGGGGTTCAGAATGGCTTCCAGCAATGAGGGACCCCCTTCCCCATCCCTGTCGTGTACCCAGTGGGCACCTCGAGGGGACACCGTTTGCCCTGCTGTCACAGCGCCCTCCCCTCGGCTCCCGCCCCGGCCCTGCTCCTGGCCCTCTGCCCGGCCCGCCTGCCCCGCCCCTTCCCGCTGTGCCCTGGGCTGGGCAAGCCTGGTGCACACGCTTGCCTGTGCTGTCCCCCTCCTGTCCATCTGTCCCCAGCCTGTGTCCCCCTTGGTCTCCTGGGCCTCTCCCTGCTCTCCGGCCACCTGGTCCCCGACACTCAGGCCCCAGTGCTCCCTTTCCTGGCACCACGGGCAGAGGCCCTGTCCTGACCCCACCACCTCGCACGCAGGCCCTGCTCAGCGGGGACCCACAGACAGATGCCAGCGCCTTCTACGACCGTGTGTGGGCCGCCATCAGGGACAAGTACCGGTCAGAGGTGTGTGGGTAGGGGACACGGGCCTGGCACCCGGCCACCCCTGCCAGCTGGGCCACCCAGGCTCCAGCAGGGCCGGAGACACCAAGGCCCCTGGTAGAATCCTGGGGTGCGGGAGTCCTAAGTGCCCCGCTCGCCCACCTGCCCGCCAGGCGCTGCCCGCCGACGTGCCACCACCCCCAGCCCCGGAGGTGACGGAGCCCAAGGAGGAGCCGCCATTGGTGCCGACCCATCCCACAGAGGAGGATGAAGAGGAGGAGGAGGAGCCCGAGGAGGAGGAAGACGAGGAAGAGCAGGATTCCGAGGTGCCGGGGGAGCGGCCCAAGGTGTGTGTTTGGGGGCGCAGGGTTGGCTGGGGAGGGGCCGGTTGCTGGCTGACTCTGCCTCCCACAGGAGGCCCCGTCCCCACTCAAGCCCCCCCGGCCAGCCAGCCCCAGCGAGGAGGACAAGATGCCGCCCTATGACGAGCAGACACAGGCCTTGATCGACGGTGAGGCCCAGGCGGGTGGAGAGCACACCCCACTTCTTGTCAGGCCCCCCATTCTGGGATGGAGTCCCCACTGCTCCCCCAGCTGTCTCCTCCATCAGCTCTGAGCCCAGGTGGTGTGCACCTCTGCCCCCGGGAAAGCCAGTGCCACCGCTGGCCCCAGGTGCCCTCCTGCCCCTGGGGTGTGGCTTGTTTGTGTCGTCCCTGGCAGCCCCAGGGGCCGGCTAGGCTGGGCGTGGCGCCTCCGCAGTGGGGTACGCTGGCATGGGGCCCATGAGCTCCCCAGTTCCATCTTGGATCAGGGCAGGCCCAGGGGTGGAAGTCAGCAGGCCGGGCTCAGTGTCCCCAGCTCATCCTTCCGTGTGGGGTGGGGGGACCATGACCCGTGTCCCCTCCGCCAGCTGCCCAGGAGGCCCGCAGCAAGTTCGAGGAGGCTGAGCGGTCCCTGAAGGACATGGAGGAGTCCATCAGGTACCAGGGCCCGCACCCACGCCAGGCTGCCACCTGCCAAGCCACCACCTGTCACCGGGTTCCCTGGAGGCGGCTGTCACCGGCAGTGGCTCCTGCAGGGAGGGTCCCAGGCGGAGGGGCGGGGGACGCGGCCACCCACCCGCTGCCGTCCCCCCTGCACGCGGCCTCTCCTTCCAGGAGCCTGGAGCAGGAGATCTCCTTCGACTTCGGCCCGCAGGGGGAGTTTGCCTACCTGTACAGCCAGTGCTACGAGCTCACCACCAACGAGTGGGTCGGGGGCGCGGGCTGCGGGGCGCAGGGGCGGGGAGAAGAGAGCTGGGCTCGCGCTGGCAGAGGCCTGGGCCCGGGGTCCCCAGAGGGGTCCCCGGAGGAGAAGGGAAAGGAGCTGAGGCCTGCGCCCGCCCGCCCGCAGGTACGTCTACCGGCTCTGCCCCTTCAAACTGGTCTCCCAGAAGCCCAAGCTGGGCGGCTCCACCACCAACCTGGGGTGAGTGCTCGGCCGCCCCTTCCCGCGGGGTCCCCCCCCCCAGCGCGCAGGGGCGCTCAGCTCCTCCATCTCCACAGCACCTGGGGGTCCTGGGCCGGGCCCGAGCACGACAGGTTCAGCGCCATGAAGTACGAACAGGGCACCGGCTGCTGGCAGGGCCCCAACCGCTCCACCACTGTGAGTGCCCGTGCCCGGTGGCGTGCGGGGCCCCGGGGACGCCACCTGCTGGCCGTGCCGCCCCGGTGCCAACCCCGCTCGCTGTCCCCAGGTGCGCCTGCTGTGCGGGAAGGAGACGGTGGTCACCAGCACCACAGAGCCCAGCCGCTGCGAGTACCTCATGGAGCTCACCACGCCGGCCGCCTGCCCGGAGCCACCCCCCGAGCTGCCCGCCGACAGTGACCACGACGAGCTGTAGCCGGTCGAGCCAAGGTGGCCGGGGTCATCCCTGCCCTCCCGACCTGTCCTGGCCACCGCTGTTGTCCTTTCCCTGTGTGCGCTGTACACTCCAGGCTGGCCTGGAACTCGCAGCGATCGTCCTGCCTCGGCCTCCTGAGTACGGGGTCTCCTTCCTCACATGCCCTCTCTCCCACCTAGGACCTCCAGGCAGGAAGCGGCCCCCAGGAGCGCCGCCACCGCCCTCCATCTGTGGACCAAGGCCTGGCTCCTGCGGTTCCCTCCTTCCACTGAGCAGGGCCCTTGGGGCCCCTGAGCGAGCCGGGCTCCCCGGTGGGTCCCGGCTGGGCTGAGCCCCGATCCAGGCCCCAGCGGCTTCCAGAGGTGGATAAAGGAGCCCCGGCCCCGGCCCCGCCCTCACGGTTCACTGCTGCCTCCGTGTCGCCCGTGTCGCCCCTCCTTGCCCTCGTGGTGGGGCCAGTGAATGACCTCATCTGTGACCCCAAACAATAAATGTGACTTTGCCCCAAAGTTGGCTGTGTCTGTCCTGTTGGTGGGAGGTAGACCCGGGTAGAGGGGCCAGAGGTGAACCCAGAGGGACGCCTGGCTCACTGGGAGGCTGAGGCAGGAGGGTCGCCACCTGCCAGGCCGCCTTAAGTCACACGGGGAGACCCTGTCTCAGAACCCGGGACCCCAGGGCAGTCCTCCAGCCGGAGCCAGCCCCCCGGTACGCCCCCGCACACATCACCCAAGACTGTAAGATTCTGAACTTTTTATTTTCTGGCATGAAAAGTACAAATAATTAAACAATTCCATGTAAAAGTCTGTGACCGCGGCCAGGCCGGGAACCCTGGCAATAAACAGTCTAAACGCAACGCAAAGTGTTCTCTCCTTGGGTTGGTTTTTTTGTTCTTTTGGTTTTTTTTTTTTTTTTTCTTTTCTTTTTTTTTTTTTAAACAGTTCTGTATCACCTCCAACATGGACTCTGTCGTGATCTGAAACCTTCCGAATAAATTACAGGATGAAGGGAGGGTTGGAGGGGCTGAGCCCCCTCCCTGCTGGCCCTGCCCGCGACCCCAGGAGGTGGGAGCCCGGGGTCCCCTCCCGGGGAGCCCTTGGCCCGGCCCCTGGGGGGGCCGGCCTCCAGGGAGGGGGCCCGGCTGGGCTGAGCTCTGTGATTTAGAAAAAGAGGTCCCCTCCCAGTGTCGGGGTGGCAGGAGCCTAGGCCTGGGCTGGGGGTGTGGGGAGGAGTCCCCCTCTCCGGAGCCTGGCCCCCAGGGTGGGGGACGACCCAGCCCTTATTGCTCTATGCGGAGGGCGTCGGGGAGAAAGCCCCAGAGACAGCAGGAGAGAGGTTGGACCCACTGGGGGGACTGGGGGGTCCCTGCCCTGCCGGGAGGGAGGGAGACAAGGGTAGACTTAAAACCACGAGAATAAATAGATTCGTGTATCATGAACAAGCTAGGATTTTCACCAGCTAAATAGGACTGAAAAAATTTCTCAAGACAAGAGCAAAATGAACCCCTTGACACCCCCCATGTGGCCGGCCCGCGGGGGGTGGGGGACACCCCGAAAAACCGCACTCCCCCGCTGCCGCTCGGCTACCATCACTGCGATTAATAATTATTATTCCTTTAATGATTCCACTTCCCCTTTCATAAATAAATTAGGCATAATCACATCTCAGCAAAACTTAAAGAAACAAAGAACACGGAGTCCCTTTAACTTGCAAACCGGGTGAAGGAACAGAAATATACACAAAGGTCCTCACAGTCAACAGGGGCAATAAATAGTTAACATAGCAATAAGTTAAAACTACAAGAAGCTAAATTCAGCAAATAAGTACAAGAAAGTCCACTGGTGCCAGTTTATGTCTTTTTTTTTTTTTTTTTTTTTTTTTGCTTTTTTCTTTTTTTGTCTCTTCTATGTGTGGTGTTTTTTTTTTTTAAGTTTTTTTTTTCTCTTTTCTTTTTTGTTGCTTTTTCCCCCCTTCCTCTTGTTTGTGTTTTCCTCTTTTTTTTTTTTTTTTCTTTTTTTGTTGCTTTTTTGATTTTTTTTTCTTTGTTCCTTGCAGCAGAAACCCCACAGACGTTTAATAACAACACGGGAGGGGCGGGGAGAGAGAGTCGGACGCTCGAGTCGGGGCCGTGGCCGGACACTGGACAGAAGGACAGGGGAGCAGATGGCCACTGTGCTAAGAGGGGGCTTGGCGATTCCCGGCTCGACTGGCCCGCCGAGGGGCTGAGGGGCTGCCGGGGCTCCGGCCTTTGGCTTCTATAGGAGTTTGTTTTTTTTTTTTAAAATCAGTGAAAACCAGGGAACGGGAAGGTGTGGGGTGGGGGTGTGCAGTGGGGGTCAGGGGGTGCAAAATCCAGACAGAAGCCAGGGCCGAGGTCTCCAGCTCAGAGTGTGACCATCCATCGCCCTCCCCAACCTGGAGACAAAAAATTTTACAAAACCAAACCTAATGAACCAAAAAGCGGGGGACGAAGTGGACGGGAAGGGGTGTAGGGCCTGAGGGGGGCTGCCCGGCCCTCGTGGGGACAGGGAGTCCTTGGGCCTCGAGTGTCCCCCGAGACGCCCAAGCGGACCGAGGTATCCTGTGTCTGGGTGCCTGGACGCATGTGGATGCCTGTGTTGGGGGCTGAGAGGTGGGACCCGAGGGAGGGCGCCCCGGGACGGGACGGGGAGGAGGAGCTGGCGCAGGGTGCTCTGAGCCTGTGTGTCCCCGCCCTGTGGCCCCCGTCAGGGGGACCCGGTGCCCCTGCCTTGCACTGTCCTGCACCTGTCTGTGCCCACTTCTGTGCAGCCCCAAAACTGTCTCCTTTGGATGCGTCCCCTCCGTGCATCTGGGTGTGGCCAGTGAGCTCCTAAGGTGACCCTAAGTGTGTCTGCGTGTGTCCGTGTCTCCGTCCCCGTGTGGCGTGAGCCCGTGTGCCCCCGTGTGCGGCCCTGCGGCCCCCCAACCCCCCGGCCCTGCCTGTGCCCCGGTTGGTAAACATAACCTGCCAAAATAGTTTCTTTGTTTTTTTTGTCTTTTTTTGTGATTTTTTTTCAAGTTCAAGAATCCCCAGTAAAAATTCTCCACGAGGTCTTTTTCCCTTTTTACAAAAATAGAGTTTTCTTCCCCTCCCACCCCCCTGTTTTTCCTCCATTTTGTGTCAGCTCCGGCCCCTCCCCCCTGCTGCCCCCCAGGGGTTCTGGGAGCCAGGGGTGCCCACACCCCTCTTCGCATTTTGCTTTTTTTTATTTTGGGGATTTTTAAACCTGTTCCCTCCCTCTCTCTCCAGACCCACCTAAGCCGTCGGTCTTGGGAAGGCCTGGGCCGGGAGGGTCCCCCTTCCGGTGTCCCCCAAGCCATCCCACGGAGGGCGGTGAAAGGTGGGGTGGGGGTGCAGCTCTGCTTTCATTTTAGCTGAAAAAAGGAACAAAAACCTTCACCGTGAACCAAACCAAGAGGAGAGAGTGAGCAGCCCCGCGGGACGGACGGCGGACGGCGGACAGACGCAGGGACAGGGCGCCGGGCGGGCCTGCCCTGGGCCCCGCCGCCCCGCGGGGTCCCCTCTGCCCGCGGCCTCAGGCCTTGTGCTGCTTGCTGGTCTTGAAGGACACCTGCAGCACGCGCTCGCCCAGGCGGTAGCCGTTGAGGGACGCGATGGCCATGGCCGCCTCGTCGTAGTTGGTCATGGTGACGAAGCCGAAGCCCTTGCACTTGTTGGTGGTGAAGTCGCGGATGACCTTGACGTTGGTGACCGCGCCGAAGGGGCCGAAGAGCTGCCACAGCACGCTCTCGTCCGCCTCGGGCGACAGGTTGTACACGAAGATGCACCAGCCGGCGCCCGCCGCGCCCCCCGACAGCCCCACGCCGGCCAGGCCGCTCATGCCGTCGATGGCGATGGGAGAGAACCTGGCGATGAGCGACAGGGGACTACTTTGGGGGTCACGCGGGCTCTGCCCTGACCCCTGGCAAGCCTCCGACCCTGCGGGCCCCTCGCGCACACCCGCCCCACCGAGGCCTGACGCTGCCCGGGCGCCCTGGGGACTGACCTGCCACCTCCGTCCCCGCCTGTGCCTGTCAGCACCCCGGCTGCCACCCTGCCTGCCCTCCGCAACTCTGCCCGCTGTGTGCCCAGGCCCTGGGCCGCGGGGTCCCTGGTGACCAGCTGTCACCCCCAGGGTGGCCTCCTCCGGCCCTCGCTGGCCTTCCCCCATCACACACAGCGTCTCCGTCCTCCCCCAAGTGCCCCCTGTGTGATCCCCGCGACCTGAGCTCCACCTCGCTCTGGGCACGGCACACACAACACTCTAGAAAGGGGTGGAAGTGGGCAAAGGGTGCGGCTCTAGGGTGCGGGAGGCTGAGGCAGGAGGATCGCTGCGAGTTCCAGACCAGCCTGGGCTGCAGAGTGAGCTCAGGGCCACTGCATGGTGAGACCCTGCCTCAAAGAGACAACAAAACAAAACAAAACAAAACAAAACAAAAACAAAACCCAGAGGAAAAAAGAATGAAAGACAGAAAGAAAAGCTGAGCACATTTTGCTCAGGTCACATGGGCTATACGGTAAGATCCAAGTGAGCTGGACCAACAGCAAGACCCTGATTCTAAAAAAAAAAAACCAAAACAGACGTGCCAGGCCTAGCGTCATGCTCCTGTAACCACAGCCCTGGGCAGGCCGAGGCCGGAGGATTGTGGTGAGTCCCAGGCCAGCCTGGGCTGCACAGCCAGACCCTGCCTCAAAGAGACAAGAAAACAAAAAGGTTTATTACAGTAAAAGACACATGACCACGGCTGCCCATCCACACGCTCACCCCAGCCCAACACGCTTATGCAGCGCCATCCCTGCCACTGTGGGGCGGCTCTGAGAGCCCCTCACACCTCCGGCCGCCTTGCTGTCCTGAACTCATCAGAACATGGGCCTTCACGGTGATTCTGCCTCAGGAGGTGCCGTAAGTGCCCTGCTGCCATCCTGGGAGGGGATGGCTGAGGACCCCGGGGCCGGGGTTTGCAAGCCGCCTTCCCGTTAGATGGCACTCGGTGGTGGCAGTCACTGTCTTTCTGTTCTGGTTTTTCTTGATTTTTTTGTTTTGGACAGGGTCCCGCTATGCAGTTCAGGCTGCCTTGAGCTCCCCCCAGTAGCCCAGGATGGTCTTGAACTCATAAGGATCCTCCTGCCTCAGCCTCCCAAGTGCTGGGATTACAGGCGTGAGCCACCACGCCCAGCGTCACTGTGTTTCTGATCACACCTTGTACAGACATTCTTGAAAGAGACCTCCAGAGCTGCTACAGAAAGTGGCAGGAACCACGGGATAAGAGCGTTCAAAGGGTGTGGGGGGTGGGGGAGGTGAGAGGGATTCATGGCAATGTGTGACTGTAATGAATTCTTCCTAAACTGTATTATATACATACAGAACACATCTCCAGTAGATGAGGGGGATTGCTGTATTTAATACCACTTCCCCTTCTCTGGCATCCTCCTGTCACAGATTAGCACCTGATAGGGACTCAGGAGGTGTTTGTTGAATGAATTAATGAAAGGACAGACCCCACTCTACCGGATTTCCACCGGGCGCCTGACCCTCAGGACTAAACTACTCGGCTTGGGGTGGGACCTCGTGGGCTGCCTTTGGCCTATGGCCTTTGCAGGGGCTGGATTTTCAGCCAGGAAATGCAGCTTCTGCTCATCTCCGGCTGCATTACCATGGTCACCCCAGATGGGTGGGGTCTGCAGATCCCCATCACCCCTCATCTGCCCTCGCGTAGCTCCAGGGCCCTGCTTCCCTAACAAGGCGGAGGCCTGAACTCCGCAGTAGCTCCTAGTGGTGACCTCCCACCACGCGGTTCCTCAGGGCCGAGCCTCACTGCCGCCCATCCCATCCCATCCCACCCCATCCCATCCCGTGGGGCCTGTTAGGACCCCAGCCCCAAGCCCAGCACCTGCTTGGAAAGCCCCAGCCACAGCTCTCGATGCAGTAAACACCCGCTGTGGTGGCACAGGCCCGACATCCCAGCACTCAGGAGGCTGAGGCAGGAGGATCGCTGTGAGTTTGAGGCCAGCCTGAGCTACACAGCCAAGACTCTGTCTCAAAAACCCAACCAAACAAACGGGCTGCTGTAAGCCAGGGAGGCCCCGCAGCTCAGGGGCAGAGGCAGTGTGGGGCTGAGGGTGGGGAGGGCATGCGTGGGCGGGTCCGAGCAGGGGCAGCTGGGGGCGGCGGGCCGGGGGCACCGTTACCTCTTGACTCCGTAGGCCATGTTGAGCAGGTTGTCCAGCCTGTGGAGGCAGAAGCGGGTCGCTGGCTGTGCTGGCCCGGCCGGCTCCCCGCCCCCACCCGCAGGGCAGCCCGCCCCCGCCTGCCCGGCTGGACGCGCCTGGCACGGCTCGCAGTCGCCAGCACCGCCCCTGCGCCCTTGTCCTCCCCTCCCCGGTGGCCGGCAGGGCCCATCTGGGCCCAGGGCTGGCGTCTCCGAGTTAGGATGGGCCCTAACAAAGAGGACAGTGACAGCCACAGCCACTGCCCCGGCGCCAGGGCGCGGTCACTCTCCGAGGCCACCCGACCCTGCGAGGACGCTCCATGTCTCCCCACGGCGTGGCGGGGCCCTGGGTGCTGACTGAGCCTGGCACCTGGCTGCCTGCGCTTTATTGAGGCTCACCCTCCGTTCTCAGGGGGTCACTGTGCAGAATAAATAATAAACGAACCCAGCTTGCAGCGAGCGCTCGGGAAACACTTGGTGTTTTTGTCACAGATGAGCAAACCCAGGTCCAGACGCTACGCGCCCAAGAAAGAGACCAGGCCCCCAGTCAGATCTCAGCAGCCCCCTGAACCCCGACACGGCCCTCGGGCCAGGCAGGTGGCCCGGGCCTGACTCCGCAGCGCTTTGGGAGGCCGAGGCAGGCGGGTCACACGTTGGTGGCCGAGGCGGGTAGCTCAGGGATTTAGTGGGGTCCCGTCTCCTGCCCCGGCCCTCCGGTGTGGGGACCCGTCTCTGCTGCGGGCTCACCTGAAGCGCTGCGTCTGGTGGTGCAGGGGACCCGCGTAGCGCCGGGCCGAGGACTGGTAGAGCTGGGTGAGCAGCGCCTGCCCCGTCTTCTGGCTCGGGTTGTTGGCGAACTTGACCGTGATGGGCTCCGCCGCGCCCAGCGGCTTCTGCCCGTTCAGTCCCTTGATGGCCTCCTCGGCCTCGATTCTTTTGTCAAAGCGGATGAACCCCACACCCCGGGAGACGCCTGCCGGGAGCGGGGCATCGGGTCACCCGGGCCCTGCCCAGCCCTGCCCGGCCAGCCGGTGCCCTCCTTCTGCCCTCCCGCCGCCTGACCTGTGACCTGGTCCACCAGGATGCGGGAGGTGATGATTCGGCCGTACTGTGAGAAGAGCTGCTCCATCTCCTTCTGGCTCATGCTCTTGGGGAGCCCGCTGACGTACAGGTTGGCATCCCGGATGGATGCGGAGCTGGGCCTGGCGTAGGACACCTGGGACAGCGCAGCAGAGGGGCAGGGTGAGCTGGGCGGGCAGTGGAGAGCCTCCTGCCTCAGCCTCCTGAGCAGGTGGGGTCACAGGTGGGCACCATCGCACCCAGGCCCCAGCAGCCTCTCTTTCCTGGATCCCATGCCAGGAACGGAGCGGGGTGTGGTTGGGGAGGGGACATTGCTATGGGCCAGAGACGGGGATCTGACCCGACCCAAACCCTAAAGCAACGGCAGCGCCGTCGTTTGGTCTCCGCCTCGGGTGTCTCTGATACTTTCTGGTCCCTCACAGTCACTTTCCAGCCCCCATAAACTCTTGGCTTCACCCTGTCTGGGCCATCACGGCAGACCACCTGGTTCCCATGCTCACGTGGTTCCTCTCCACGGCAGCCAGAGGGTGCCTGTGAACACTTGAGCCAGGTCACTACCCTGGCACAGAACCATCTGTGGTCCCCACCTTCCTCGGCATTAAAGTCCTTCCTGAAGCTCATGATGCCCTGCATACTCTGCCCTGATCCTCACTCTCCATTGCTCTAATCCAGCCACAGATGCCTCCTCGTGTCCCTCAAAATCCCCCAGGCCTGTAGCAGCCTCAGGGCCTTTGCACGTACTGTTCTTGCTCTGCCTGGAACTCTCCCTCCTTTCCCAGGTCTCAGTGGAGGTCTCTTCCCCGTCCTCTCCCAGGGCCCGATCCCATCTCAATTACTCTTTCCCAAGCGCATCTTTGCCCTATGTAAACGTGAATTTACAGGTTTCAGCTGATCATGCGATTCAGGTTGCCCCCGGGGGTCCAGCCCAACTCGGCAGTGCTGCAGCTGCGGAAGAAACTCTGGACGTGGACATTGATTCCCCAAACAGTGGCGAGTATTGTTAAGTGGGGGAAAGAAAAGTCCATTTACAAAACAGCCCGGATTGTGTGACCCCCGCATTGTCTCCTAACCGTGGCCCGGAGCTCCGCCCCCAAGCGCTAAGGGGGTGACCTACGGGGCAGGACGAGCTCCCCACACCCTGATCTCTGCAGACATCTATTTTTCTCTTTCTTTTCCGGATAGAAGTGGTTGCCGAGGCTCTGTCTTTGTTTGGGGCAACGAGTTATGTGTTATTATTTCAGAAATAACTAATTAAGAAATGAACAAAATAGATAAACCGAGTGGGGGTAGTTTGGGGTGGGGTCTGATTAATGAACCTGCATATCTGGGGTTCTCCAGACACACCTGGCAGCTGCCGCTGGTTTACTGTGTCAGGGTTAGCTTCTGCCGCACTGAGGCGCTGAACCCAGGGCCTCACGGGAGGTTTTATCCCCAGCCCGTTTTATCTGGAAACAGCCTCTCCCTACGTGGCCTGGCTGACCTTGAACTTGCAACCCTACTGCCTCAGCCTCCCAAGCACCTGACCTTACAGGAGAGGAGAGCAACTGTGTTTGGATCTGGAGACACGGAGCGGTGTCCTGAGTGCTGAGGGGGGTTGGGGTCCGGGATGCCCTAAGGCACACTGGGGGTCTGCACAGCCTTTGCCCTTCCTACATGGAGGCGCTCTGCAAACTCCTCCCGTGACAGGCTGCCAGCCGGGACACAGAGTGACTGCAAACACTTTGGTCTGAGTCTGCCAGTACTCGGGGGGCCCAACCGTGTGGCACCACCTCAGGGGCCCACACAAGGCCCCTCGGTGCCGCACGCAGCACAGCCACCCTGGGAAAACTGGCCAGGGTGCCAGGGAGCTGCTGCTGCAGGGTTTCCTGTGATACGCGGCTCTCAAGAGTACTGGCAGAACTGAAGGACACACGCCTGTCGCCCAGCACAGAGCACCCGGGTCACACGCGTCGTGTCCCCAGCGGGGCACAGAAAGACGCACCCACGGTGCCCCGCCAGGTCACGCCAGAGTGTTGGTGTCAGAAAGCACCTGTCCCTGCCACACCAGCCTCTCCAGACCCTGGGGGACACGCGTCACCCAGACAGAGACACATGACAGGAGCTGCTTGCGTAGACGCCAGGTTACACAACCACCTCATCCCGAAACACGGCGTCTCTCAGCTCAGGGCGTCGCACGCACCGGAACACACGCTTATATTTAGTCACTAGTGCCGCCCTCGCACGCCGGGGACTTCTGGGTCCAGCTGCCGGCCGTGGGGCCACCAGGTCAAGACCTCGTTTCTCCCTAGCAGGCCCAAGTGAAGGACAGGACAGGGAGAGATTCCTATACCTCGGTCCCCCCCCCCCCCGGCAAATGGGGGGCCAGATGGGCACCCCTGCCCGGCCTCCCTCAGGGTCCAGGAGCAGATTTGCGGGGCGGAGCCCACACACCCCCAGGCAGACCCAGAGAGGGGTTTCCATGGTGATCCCCCAAGGGATCTGGGCTCCCAGGGTCGGCTGCAGCTGCTGAGGGGAGCGGTGGGGGAGGGGTGCGGCACAGAGCTGGGGGAGGGGCCGCCCCAATCCCACATCCCGCACCCTAATTAGGCTCCAGAAGGCAGCTGGGCCCCCACCTCAAGGCCAGGACAAAGGCAGGCGGGGGTGGCCCTAAGGACCCTGGATGCCGTCCTACCTCTGGGTCTGGCTGACTTTGAAAGTATCCGAAGACGGGGGAGCTGATGCTCTCCCCATTAACAGGCCAGGAAACTGAGGTTTGGACAGACAGACCAATGGCCTCCCTCGCCCCACCGCCAGGTGCCAGGTGAAGCAGCCAGGAAGCCATGGAGGGTCTGGGGCCCCTGGGTGAGGCCAGCCAGGTGGCAGTCCTGGGGGTGCTGACGAGGTGGGGGGCACTCACCTTGATGGTCTTGGTCTGCAGTTTGAGGCCGTTGAGGGTGTTTATGGCTTTGTCTGCGTCGTTGGGGTCAGAATAGTTCACAAATCCGTAGCCGAGGCTTTGGCCTAGGTACGAGGTCAGCACGTGACTCGGTGCCCAGAATGGGGGGCGCCCCCAGAGGTGGGGCCCCCTTTACCTGTGCCTCATGAGACCGCACCCCCAGTGGCACACTGCCCCTTGCCCGGGCCCACCTGTACCCCGTACCCCGGCCGCCCGCCCCCCAAACCTGACCCCGGGCAGCGGCCACACCTGTGATCTTGTCCCGAACCAACTTGCAGGACTCTATGTCTCCGATGCTGCCAAACAGACTCTTGAACTCGTCCTGGGTCATGTTCTGGGGCAGGTAGTTGACGATGAGGTTGGTCTTGCTGTCGTCAGTGGCTCCGTTGGTGCCCAGGAGTGGCCCGTTGGGCAGGGCCGGGCCGGCCGGGCCCCCCCCCACCTGAGACTCCATGGCCCCCAGTATCTGCTGGAGACAACAGGTCGCACCCGCTCACCGCCCGGTCCCACAGGGACGCTGGGGACGGAGGGTGGGCGGGCGGCCGTGACGGGGCCCCACGTCTGCCTCGGGCTTGCCTGCCACAGCCGGGGGACCGTGCTTTGCTGTTTCTGTGTTTAGTGTTTTGAGACAGGGTGTCCCTCGGAACTGGGGCTGGCCTTGAGCTCACAGAGATTACAGGTTTCGCGTCACGCCGGCGACCATGTTTCATTCCTAATCCCTAAAGCCAGCACAACACAGCAAAGCGACCCTCTGGACACGCGGGAAGAAGCCCGGTACAGATACCACCTGCCGCAGGCTGGGTACAGTTGCCCCAAAGCTTCGTGGGGTCCCCAGGGGAGAGAGAGGTGGGGCCTCGGAAGGTAATTAGGTCATTGGGGGCACTGCCCTTGGAAGGGACTGATGCAGCTATCAGGAGACCTGGTGGAGTCTCTCTAGTGTAGGTTTTTATCAAGCAGGGCCACTCTTCGGCACGCGGCTATTTGTTTCTACTTCTCTGTCCCATTGTGATTGAGCCAACGGAACAAGGCCAAATAAATGTGTCTGATCATTGACATTCTGCATTCAGAACTGAATTTTCTGGCCTTGTACTCACCGTGTAGCCCAGACTGGCCTCAAAGTCACAGCGACCCTCCTGCTTTAGCCTCCTGAGCTCAGTAAACTTTTTATTGCTATCTAGACTCAGGTATTTTGTTACAGCTTTTGAAAACAGACAAATACATCCCATATCCAAGCGGATATCCAGGGGTGGTGCTGCACACCTGTGAGCCCATCACTCAAGAGGCTGAGGCAGGAGGACTGCCGGGAATTTGAGGCCAGCCTGGGCTACATAGTAAGACCCTCTCTCAAGAAACGAAAACAAAATAAAACCAAAACCAAACCAAACAGACCCTAAAATCTGTGGATTTTTTTTTTTTTCCCATTGGTACCAGGGATCGAACTCACAACCATGTGCTTGCAAGGCAGGTGCTTACGCCGCTGAGCTAAATCCCCGGCCCCAATCTGTGGTTTTCAGAACAGTAAAATGAACAATTTCATCTTCAGAATAAGAAATGTAAGAACATCAGTAGCTTCGCAGGTTCCTTAAATCCCCCTCTCATGTTTCTCTCTTCCTGCCAAAGGTGAGTCCTGTCCCAGTTACTGTTTCTTGTGCTTTATACATAGACGGGAAACCATTAGATAGTTTACTCTCCTGGTTCCGCCTCTGAGCTGTTGTGGTTTTTGAGACCTTTTGTTTGTCTGGTTGATTTTTGAGACAGGTTTCACTCCCTGATTCAGGCTGCCCTGACCTCGCTATGGAGCCCGGGCTGGCCTTGAACTCGTGCTGGGGCCACAGGTGTGTGCTGCAGGTGTGGATTTTGGGTGGAACATGAGACATCTGCACACAATGACAGTTTTGTTTCACCTCCTGTCTCGACCCATTACTGATTTTTCTTATCTTATTGCAGGGGCTATGGCAGCGGCTTCCACATTCCTGACGTTAAAGGAAATGCTTTTATGTGTTTAAAAAGAGGGAAAAGAGCTCAGCAGAGTAAGCACCTGATTGGCAAGCACAAGGTCATCAGTTTGATTCCCAGTACACACACACACACACACAAAAAGGAAATACTTTAAATATTTCACAGCTAAAATGATCTTTGTTATCATATTTTTAAAAATAGATGGCCTTTATCAGACGAAGAACTTTTTGCTTTTTGGCTGTTATAGAGACAAGCTGGCTTTGAAGTAAGTAGCCCAGACTGGCTGGAACTTGCAGCAATCCTCCTGCCTCAGCCTCCCAAGTGCTAGGATTATAGCTATGTACAACTACTCCTGGCAAGAATATTTTGTTTAAGGCTTGGCGCAGCAGTGTGGGAGTACTTGTCTACTACAGATGAGGCCCCAGACTCAACCTTCAACACAGAATCACAGGCGTGCACACATTCTCATATCAACACTTTTTAAAGAAAAATTTTATTGACAAAATGTTAATATACTTATTGAAAGGATTTTTTTAGAGCTGAGGCAGCTCAGAGGTGCAAGTGCCTGCCTGGCAAGCACGAGGTTCTGGGTTTGATTCCCAGTACCAAAATAATAATAACAATAATAATAATAATAATATACCGGACGCGGTGGCTCACACCTGTCATCCCAGCACTCGGGAGGCTGAGGCAGGAGGATCGTTGTGAGTTCAAGACCAGCCTGGGCTGCACAGTGAGCTCAAGGCTGCCTGAACTGCATAGAGAGACCCTGTCTCAAAAAGACAAAAAATAATAATATTTTAGTTTTAATACATGAATTATGCTGATGGATTTTCCAAAATTAAGCCAACCATGGGGGATAACCTGAGCCCGGTCTTGTTTACATAGATCTCTGGATTTGATTTACAGCACTGGGAGCGGAACTCAGGGCTCACAGGTTAACCGAATGCTCACCACTCAGCTATGCTCAACCTGTCTTCTGAAACTCCGAGAGTTCCCTTGTTCAGGTTTCCTTTCTTGTGGTGCTGGGGATCAAATCCAGGCCCTGACACGTGCTGAGCTAGTGCCCTACCGGGGCGCAGGTTAGTACCACATTCTCTCTCATTTTTCTTCCTGTTTCTTCGAGACAGGGTCTCACTCTAGTTCAGGCTGGCTTTGAACTTTGGGCTGTCCTTTTGCTCAGCGTCCCCAGTGCTGGGATTACAGACGTGAGCAACCACACCTGGCCTCTGTATTCTCTCTTCCTTCTTTTTCTGTTTTGCCAGGGTCTCATGATGCAGTTCAGCTTGAACTTGAATTCCCTGTGCAGCCCCAGCTGACTCCTGACTGCGGTGACCCTCCTGCCTCCGCCCCCAGCGCGGGAATCAGGCGGGTGCTGCTGGGCCCTGCTCGTGTGCTTGGCATTCTTTGCATCTTGGTTCAGAACCTCTTTTGCTTGTTATTTAATTCACACAAAGACTCTGAAAGGGAGAAGTTAATTTTGGTACAATGGATGAGGAACGTGAGCTCAGAGATGCTGAATTTGCAGAAATCACAGCAAATTGGTGGACTGCAATTCAAACGCAGACCTCTCTAGACATGGAGGCCACCCTACCCTTCTCTAAGTGTGCCCATGACAGCCACTGAGACTGGTCTGACCTCTGACAGCTCCGTGTATGTCCTGGAATGTACCCTTTCACCTCTTCAGGCTGTTTTACCTTTGGAACAAGTTCACCAGAACTACTGGTGATGGCTCCTTGAAGGGCCTCAGACAGGGAAACCTTAAAGTCGGATCTGATCCCAGCAGAACACTGTACTGGGAGTGATTGTAGTGTCTGGCATGGATTAGAATGGCTGGGATTGATTGGTATTGTCTGTCATGGTCACAGGAGGTACAGTAACCGGATCTCTTTAGCCATCCATGGCACAGTTGGCACACAGGGCACCTACACTTGAAAACTCATGTTGATTCATCCCCTACGCAGAAAAAAAACCCAACAAACAGCAAGTGAACAACAGCAACAAAAACACCTCTGACTGACTGACCATATCTTCAGAGGAATGAATTAAGGGTTTCCAAAGCCAAGTTCGGTTTCACCAGAAAAAACCAGGAATGATTGATCGGGAAGCAGGACCATAACTGTCCCCAAATATCGACACTATAGGGTTTCCTCCAGGCACCGTGTAGATACTTCGTACAGAATTTCTCTCTCTCTCCAGTCACCGCCTTTTTTGTGTGACACTGGGAGCTACACCCAGGGCCTTTGCACTGAGCTAACACCCAGCCTGGCTCTTCAGACAGGGTCTTAGGGTCTTACTAACTCACTCAGGCTGAGCTAGAACCTGTGGTCTTACTGCTTCAGCCTCCTGGAACGCAGGAATGACAAACGCATACCAGCATGTCTGGCTAGAAATTTCTTCTTCATCACCCTGAACAGACAAGATGCCCTCCCCTCCCCACCCTGTTGCTTAACACATGAGAAAAACGCAGGTTAAGAGACAGTTGAGAGTTTGCCCCTGATCACACAGCGTGTACGTGGTGAGCCCACAGGACGCCCTGGCTTGTGCCTGAATAATGCCAGCACTCAGGAGGCCGAGGCAGGAGGATGGCCTCAAGTGGAAGGTCAATCTGAACTACATAGTGAGACTCAACTTTAAAAAATGGTGGAGAGGGGCGGGGGATTTAGCTCAGCGGCATAAGCGCCTGCCTTGCAAGCAGGCAGTCGTGAGTTCGATCCCTGGTACCGATAAAAAGGAGAAAGACAAAAAAAAAAAAAAAATGGTGGAGAACAAAAGACTGTGCCAAGGTGTTTTCCTGCTGCTGAGAGGATTCCCAGCTTCCACTGCCAGCCAAGATGGGTCCAGTGCTAACAGTTGTAAGCTGTGGGTTCCAGGATCTACCACTTGATGCTCTGGGCTTCTGCTCCGGTGCACTGTACACTCTGACCTACGGGGTCCTCTGCGGCCTAGGGAGGGACTGAAGCCACACGTGGGGAGCAGGCAACTGTTCTGGAAGAGGCTGGCCTTGAACTCACAACGATCCTCCTGCCTCAGCCTCCCGGGTGCTGGCATGACAGGCTTGCCACCACGCCATCTGGCTTCCGCTCCGCTATGGAGAACCGCGCTCTGCGCCCAGCATCCCTTGCATGCCAGGCCCTGCGGAGACAACTTCAAGACATCATTTCACTCATTCTCCCAACCGTCTTGAAAGGCACATTCTCCATGTACACATCAGGAAACTGGGCTCAGAGTTATTGGGCAACATGAATGGGGAACTTGAGAACTCCTGGGATCCAGTAATCCTCCTGCCTCAGCCTCCCAAGTGCTGGGATAACAGGTGCATGCCGCCATGCCTGGCTTCATTTATTCTTATAAAACTGATGGCCCAGGCTGGGCGTGGTGGCTGACACTTGTCATCCTAGCACTCGGGAGGCTGAGGCAGGAGGATTGTTGAGAGTTGGGGACCAGCCTGGGCTAAAGTGAGCTCAAGGCCGGCCTAAGCTGCATAGGGAGAGCCGGTCCCAAAAATAAAAATGATGGCACAGGGCGGGAACGTAGCTCGGTGGTAAAGTCCTCGCCTTGTATCCACAAGGCCTTGGGTCACACAGGATGGCACAGAAGGTAAACGTCTTGAATCAGCTGAGAGTGGCTGCCCAGGGGATGCCCTGGAAGTCCTGTGACACCCCATCCAGCCTCAGAAAGAATGTGATTAGTAATGTTTGCCACCAGGGCCAGCTGTAAAGCGGCTACTAAAGGCACAGATCTGCATCCGGGTCTGTGCATTAACACTGCGCCCAAAGGTGACCAAAGCCACACATGGCTGTAATCCCAGCACTTGGAAAACTGAGGGTCACTGCAAGCTCAAGGTCAACATGGGCGACACGGAGAGACACTCTCAGAACAACTATGCTGCAGATAGCTACGGATTTCCCACCGTGGAGAGAACACTTTCCATGTCAGACTTCTAAGTCATCCTCCCAACACAAGGAGGTTCTTTTCTCCCTCAGTGAGAAGCTGAGGTGCACCAAGTTACAAAGATGCAAGTGACGAACAAGACACCTGAGCCCAGGGAGCAGGCCCAGCACCCACCCTCTGAATGCCTTTAACCCACCCACCAACCCTGCCCTTAACCCATACCCGCAGCTGGCTGTGGTGGCGGCACTTGGGAGGCTGAGGCAGGAGGACTGCTGTGAGTTCAAGCCCAGCATACCGCAGAACACCTCCCTGCTGCCCCACGTGTGGCTCAGTGCTACAGAGTGAGTGCAAAGCCACCAGAACTACACAGCGAGGCAGTCTCAAAATAAGTAAAGAATAGTAAAGCAAAGCTGAGCGTTACTGTTTGCCATGCCTCAGGCATCGATGTTTTGTTTTGTTTTGTTTTGCTTGCTCTGTGCTGATTTCCAAGCCAGGACCTCGTTCATGCCAAACCTACCACTGAGCTTCTGTACCTCTCCAGCCCCTGGCCGCTGGAACAACCCACTTAATTGGTGGAATCTACTCATTCAACTTAGTACTTTTTTTTTTCCTCAGGCAAAGTCTCACCATGTAGCCCAAACCAGCCTCGAGCTCACAGAGATCCTCCTGCCCCAGCCTCCCAAGTGCGGGGATGTCAGGCACCTGCCACTCACCAGGCAACTCAGTAAATATTTACTGAGGGCGACCACATGCCAGCTGCTGCCGCACCCCGTGGTCACGTCTCCTCCCCGGCCTCAATCCCTCCACTGGGGGCCTGCCACCGAGGCGCCCGGTGAGTGTGGGTGAGCTCCGAGATGAGATGCGCCTGCAATAATGGCCGCGCCTGCGCAGTCTGGCTTCGGAGGCCCGCACACTGCGCATGTGCGGAGACTTCAGCCTGCCCTTAGCCACTATGACAAGGTGGAGACTTCCGGCCCCATTTGTCAGGTGGGGAAACTACCCAGGGTCAGCCCGAAGGTCCTGGGAGTTACTCAGAGTGACAAAAGGAGGAGAAGGTGAGGAAGGCAGCATCGCACGCATTCCACTCCTAATTCAGGGTTTATGGCCTTCCAGGCTGCAAACCCCAGCGCTCTCCAGTTCGAATGGAGTTAAATTGCATGGGTCAGACTCCGGTTGAGGTTTTTTTTTATACTGGAGATTGAACCCAGGGCCTTCCACTGAGCTACATCCCCAACCCTTTTGATTTGGAGACAAAGTCTTACTAAATCACTAACTGTCCAGGTTAGGCCCAAACTTGCAATCCTCCTACATCAGCCTCCCAAAGTTATGGGGATTAGGGACGCACCCACTGCGCCGGGCGGCCTACTACCTACCTCACCAGCACCCTTCTCCTTCCCATCCGTCCAGAGCTTAGCGGGGTCAGTGTTACACTGTGCCCTCAGCGGCTGAGCTGGCTGAGCCCATAATGGGGATCAGATTGGCGGAGGCCCGCAGGGGGTCTGTGGCCTGGGATGTCGGCAAGGAGGGAGAGGCCAGGCCGGAAGGGAGGAGCACAGGGCCAAGATGCAGAGGCCAGGCTGGCCAGGGATCCCGGGAACCTCCAGCCCCTTCCAGCCCACCCCTTGGGTCTCCACTGTGGTCTCTGAGCTCTCCCTCTTCTGGTTTCTCTTTTCTCCTCTTGCCCTCGGTGTCTCTCTCCGTCACTCTCCTCTGGCATTTTCTAACTCTTTCCCACCATTTACGTGTCGGCAGGACACATGGCTTTGCTGCGAACGCACCTGAGACCAATTGCTGCAGACCCTCCTGCGTTTGACCCCTTCTACCCGAGCCGTGCCCCGGGCCCCAGCCACCCTGGCAGATGCCTGGGTACCAGCGACAATAGGGCATTGACTGGCCAGGCTCGGGAAGGCCGGGCCACCGCGTGGTGCCGGCTGAGCCTCCTACTTCTGGGTGCTTTTCCTTCCGTGCTGGGCCCTCATGGCCTCAGCCCATCCCTTCACTTCCTCCCCTTCTCTCCCCGTGACTCAAGTGCCTCAGTGTCCCTGCGCCGGCGTCCCCAGGCCTCCGCGGCTCCGAGCCCTTGTGTGACCTCTGGCCACACCCTCTTCCCCTTTGTGCATCACTTTCCCTTTCTACAAAGGCGGGGACCAGACAGGAGGAAGCCTCGGGGGTACTGGACTGCCCTGGGGCTCCAAGGGCCCTCAGGAGGCCAAGCTCCTGCACCCGCGGTGAGCACGGTGCGGCCCGGGGAGGGAAAGCATCCGGCCCGGTCCCACAGCAGGCCAGGTGGGCGGGTCTCGGGGTCCAGCAGGAGAGCCCAGACTCAGGGGGAGCCGGGGCGTCCCCACACCCACGGTGCAGGCTGGGACTCGAAATCGGGAGTCCAGGAAGAGACACGCGGACCAAGACACGACGCAGAGACGGAGAGACGGGAAGAACCGAGAAGGGAGGCCCGGGCGCCGGGACCAGACAAAGGACGCTCGGCGGCGCGGGGAGCGAGTCGCGCGGCAGGGGCGGGGTGGAGCCAGAACCGGCCGCCCCGCCCCCGGGACACGCCCGGGCCGCCGGCTGCAGCTCCGAGGGCTCGGGCGAGGCCGGGGCCCCCGGGGCCTGGGGCGGGGCCTAGATGGGCGTGGCGGGGCGTGGCCGGCGGGCGGGGCGCGCGCCCGGGAGCTGACCAGCTCCGCGGCTGCTGAAAGCACCGGGCGCGGGGCGAGCGGCGCGAGCGGGCGGGCGCGCTCAAGGTCACCCCGCGGCCCAGGGCCCTTGGCGAGGTGCTGTGCCCGGACCTGGCCTGAGGGGCTGCCTGAGCCCTAGCTCACCTCCCTGGACAGGCAACGGGCACCGGGAGCCAGGAAGCGCCCCCCCGCGAGTCTCCCCTCCCCTCCCCCTCCCTGCAGCCCGAGGCGCCCGCGCAAGGCTACGGCCCGCGAAGAAGCGCTGAGAAACAAAGGGACGCAGCGGCCGCGGCGGGCCCGCGGGGCCTCGGGGCGCGCCCCCTCCTCTCCCCTCCCCGCTTGCCGCAAGGTCGACGGGTGCGATCGAGGACGAGACGCCCGCTGCCCGGGTGCGATCAGGGCCCAGGGCGCCAGATCCGACGCCACCAGCTTCCCCGAGGCTCTTGGGAGATGCCTTGACATCTTGCCCCGGCCCTGCACCCGTGATGGAGTCGGGGGGCTCCCCAAGTGTGCCCAGGCGGCCTGCAGTGTCCGGGCCCAGATGAAGCAAGCATCCTCCGCCGCCACGGCCCCTCCCCCACCGGCCTTCAGAGGAGGGAGCGATCCCGCCTCCAGGGCGCCCCCCCAACCCAGCCCAGCTCCTCGAGGCCTCCCAGCGGGCTCTCAGCGCCCCCAGCACTCAGGGCGCGGTCTTGCTCCATCTCAGGCCGAGGCGCGGTCCTGCCTCCCCATCACCAGGCCTAGCTAGGCCTGGTCCTACCCCCCCACCCCCACCGTCTCCGTGGAGCCTGGACCCAGCCCCTCCCGCCTCATCTCGCTCAGCGACAGGGCAATACCTACAGTGACCATTCTTGTGTGCCCGGCGGGCGCGGTCCGTGTTGAGGGCGGCTCCGGGGGTCGTGCACTCCGAGGGGGGCGCCCGATGCTCACGCCGAGGTCCCGCCCGGGCGGCCTCTGGCGCGGCCGCTGCAGAGGCAGCGAGGAGAGCGGCGGCTCCCTCGAGGGCCAGGGACAGGCCCGAGCCCGAGGATGCGCGCGCGGATGGCCGGGCCCCGGGGTGGCCTGCGGGCGGCAGGGGATGGAGAGAGGGAGCGGGCGCGGGCGCGGGGTGGCGGACACCCCCTGCGCGGCCCCGCGGGGCCCGGGGAGGTTGCGCTTCCCGACAGAGATCGCGGCGCCTCTGCCTTCTGCCGCCGCCCCTGGTCCGGCCTGTCCGGTCCCGGCTGTTCAGTCCGCTCCCCTCGCCCGCCCTCCCTCCCTCCCTCCGGCCCGAGCTGCGCGCTCCGCGCTCTGGGCCGCGCCGCCGCCGCCCCCAGCCCTTTATAGCGGCAGCTGCCAGCGTCCGCGTCGCTGATTGGTGGAGGCGCGCGGGCCCCACCCCCTCGCGGCGCCCGACGGCGCGGCAGGTGGAGGCGAGCGAGGGCGCGCTGGCCTGGACTCTTCACTCCAAAAAAAGAGAAAAAAGCGCATCCTGGAGGCTCAGCTTTGCCAGCTCCTGGCCTTCTTGCCCCGCGGACCGTGCTTCCTGGCCTTGACACCCCTCCTCGAAGTCTTTCTGTCTGGGAGGCAAAGTGGGCTCCCTATTCCAACCAGCACCGAGATTTGGAAAGACCAGAAGAGGGGAGGATCAGAGACCCAAACGCACCACCTTCCGGACTTGCTGTCCACTGAGATGACCAGAAGGGGACAAGGAACCAAGATTTCAACAGGCAGAAGCTGGGCCCACAGATTGGGGCAGAGCGCAGGTACAGCCACATCAATACCACGGGGGAGTGTGGAGGTGGCTAGGGTGGGCCTAATCCGCCTGAAGAAGAAATCTAGGACCTGTGGGTTTGGGCTGGGCCGGGTGTCCTTGGGGTTCAAAGGGTGGACGCTGATACCCTCCAAGGCAGGTGAGGCCGCACTGCCGTGAATAAAGTGGAGGTTTTAGTTCATCCTCCATGAAGTCCTGCAGTCGCGAATTCGTCTCTCCTCCGTCTCCCTCCTCCTCCCAGTGCCTCGCGCATGCCAAGCAGCGCTCCACCCCTGAGCTGCACCCCAGATCCTCCTGGGACCCCGTAACGCTCCAGTGGCAGGCCTGCCAGCCAGACGCCCTGGCTTCCTGCGTCCCCGATGGCCTTCGGTGAAGCTGCACTGGCTCGGGCTTTGCTGCTGGGGCGCACGTGTACGTTTACGTCGGGGCGGCAGCGAGACGCGCAAGCAGGCGCTGCCTGGCACCGGGTGGAGGGTGGTGTCCGGGAGGCTTCAGCACCACAGACAGCGGTCGAGCGGCGGTGCGGACGCGGAACCCAGCCGCCCAAACGCAGGACCCGGGGGCCCCGGCCTGTCCTGGTCCTACGCCCCTTCGGGCTCCTGAGTGCCCACGGCGAGCGGAGCTCAGGCTGGCCAATCAGGAATGACCCTCGGGAGACCCAATTGCCAGAAGACGCCCCGGAGACGCAGCCAATGAGGGTGCGCGCACCAAGGGTGCCGCCGCGCCGGAGGAGGGCGCAGGCCAATTACGGCGGCCCGCGCCAGCCGGGCGGTGACCGTCCGGGTCCTCGGGTGGCCCTCGTGGGCTTGCTTGCCTGGGCAGTGTGACTGCTCCCCACCCAGGGTTCCTCTCGGGGGTCCCGCCTGATCGGTAGTGGTGCGAGAGGGAAGACCCCGGTGCGGTTCCCATGGAAACTGACGGCTCCGGCTGCACTGGAGGAAGGGCACCGGGCGAGGGCGGCTGGACTTGCGCATCCTCGCAGATTCTTCCGGCCCCGAGGCTTAGCCGCGGCCGATCTAAGCGCGGTGCCGCTGGGTTCCCCGGGGGCACGTGCCCCGACTCCTGGCTGCTGTCCCTTGGTCACGTGGCTGCCGCCGCCCGGGCCTGCGCAGCTCGGGCGCCACCTAGCGGCGGTGACTCCATCCCCCACCGCCGTCCCTGGTGGCCGCGGGAGGAAGTGGCCTCAACACCCTGCTCCGGGAAATGGGGCCACGGTTGCTGCCAATCTCTCTCCCACGCAGTTCCTGTTTTAGCACGCCGCCACGGCCTCGGCCTCGCGGCTCTGCCTTGGCTACTCAGGCCTGAGAACTGCCTTTCTCAGCTCTCTTCAGGGGTGGGTGGGACCTCTCTCATTCTGGCTTATGCGGAAATATATTCTTAGGGAGGTCTCCTACATGGTACCCCGGGAAACCGACGCGTCATTCTCTGCGCGTGCTTGCTACTGGCTGGGGCTTTCTCATTTGGGGGTTTCCTGAGCAGTCCCCCGACTCCTCTGGGGTGGGGAACGAGCGCTCCAGGAGACAGGAGCAGCGGGCTTTGGTGTGAGTCATCAGCGTCCCAGTGGCTGCCCGGCTCCCCACCCCACCCCGGGAGGAGCAGCGGCTGCGCTGGGGTCTGCTAGGCCCAGCAGCCTGGTGGATGAGGCTGACAGCAGTGGGGCATGTGGGGCAAGACAGAGGGGCCCAGCCCCAAATCACCCAGGCGGAGGGCAGGGCTGCTCCTTCCTCGCCTTTTAATCTCGCTCTGCTCCCTCCACAGTCCCGGCAGCGTGGCCAGGTGCCAGCTCCGAGGAGAGAGGCAGCAGGGCGGGGTGGGGGAGCCGCACAGGCGTGCCATGGCCGCCTCTTTCCGGGCCCCGACCCGGGTGGCCCCAGCAGCTGTCCAGGCCCCCGCGGGTCCGGGTTGGTGTCCAAGTGGACGAATAAATTAGGGGTGACGGTCAGCGGTCCGTGGGTCAGGTGGGCTTGTGGTCCGGGTGGCTCTTGAGCGTGTGGAACTTGACGCTGTCCAGCTTCTCGAAGCGCTTCCCGCAGCGCTCGCACGTGAAGTTGTACTGCACCTCGGCCGTGTGCTTCTTCATGTGCCAGTTGAGCGACGCGCGCTGCCGGCACTGGTAGCCGCAGATCTCACACCTGCGGGAACCCGGGCGGCAGGAGGAGGCGGGGTCAGGGGCGGGGCCAAGGCGGCCGGGGCGGGGCCTGCCCAAAGGGGCGGGGTCTCCGCGGCCTTCCCTCCCAGCCCCGGGGCGGGCGCTCACTGCAGAGGCGTCTCGCCGGTGTGTGTGCGCCGGTGCACCTCCAGGTGGTTCTTCCTCTTGAAGGACTTGCCGCAGGTCTCACAGGTGAACTCACGGACACCTGGGGGCAGTGGAGACAGGCTGAGAATGCTGCCCTCGGCAGGGCCTGAGGGTGGCCCTGATGTGCACAGAAAGGCAGGTGCCCGTTCCCAGGCCCCACCTCCTGCCAGCACTGGTGACCCTTCTAACAATGACAGCGATAACACGGGGCCCGTCACTGCCCAGCCTCCCGTTCCTGAGGGGCACTGAGCTCGAAGTGTGAGCTAAGATGTGCCTGGATTTGTTCCCAGTGTGTGTCACCTTTGGCATCTGGTATTTCTGCAACCTATGCTTTGCCTTTTTTTAAGCAACATTTTTTTTCAGGAAAAAAAAAGTGGTTTAAAATTCTTTTAAAAATGAACTGCCAGGTAGGGTGGCACATGCCTGTAGTCACAGCAGTCGGAGATGCTGAGGCTAGCCTGGGCATCATGTCTGGACCTTGTCTCAAAATACAAAGTGCCGAGGGTGTAGCTGAGGGCTCCCTGGGTGCGGCCCCCAGGACCGCCAGCACATGAGCAGGACTCCAGCAGCAGGCACGCATTAGAAGGCAGTTTGCTGTCCACGTCCTGTCCCTAAGTCCCCATGCAACCTGTTCATGGTGTGGGCAGGGGACAGTCACCTCGCTTGTCCAAGTCCATGTGCTTTGTTTTTTTTTTTTTTTTTTTTTTTTTGTCTTTTTCCTTTTTACCGGTACCAGGGATCGAACTCACGGCTGCCTGCTTGCAAGGCAGGCGCTTATGCCGCTGAGCTAAATCCCCAGCCCCCATGTGCTTTGTTTTTTGTTTTTTGTCTTTTTGAGACAGGGTCTCACTGTGCAGTTCAGGCTGGCCTTGAGGTCACAACGATCCTCCTGCCTCAGCCTCCCGAGTGCTGTGATGACAGGCGTGTGCCACCATGGCAGGCTCTCCACGTGCTTTCTAAGGTGACACTGTGTCTTGTGTGTGGCTTGCGCTCACCAGGCTGCAGGCTGTGAGGTCCCACGCTGGGACCCCGCCTGCTCTGGTGTTGGCTGCAGGCCCTGCCCATGTCCCCAGCGGGCCCAGGGCCTGACCTGAGTGGATGATCATGTGCCGCCGCAGGTGGTTGGATAAATAGAACTTCTTCCCGCAGCCGGGGTGAGGGCACACTTTGGTCTTCCCTTTCCGGTGCACGAGGTTGACATGGTTCTGGGGGAGAGAGGGGCGGGAAGGGATGTGGGGCCATCTGAAGGGCTCCCAAGGTTGGGGAATGATGGGGGGCCTGGGAGGTAGGCTGGGGCCAGTGTCGGCTAGTTGGGAGAGTGGAGTGGGGTGCACTTAGCCAGCTCTCAGACTGCCAGGGACACAACTAGGGTCAGAGAGCAGCTTTGCACGCACCTGCTGGCCGCCATGGTGGCTCTGGGTGGGGTGTGAGTGAAACCTGGGAAGGGCCTGGGGCTTTGCCAGTCTGTGGACGGGGAAGGTGTCCAGCAGGCTCTCTGGTCACAGGGGGGGTTTGTGACCAGCTGTGGTGAGGTGGCTCACATGACAGACCCCAGGCCAGGGACACCCAGCAGGCTCCTCCGAGAGCCTCTGGCTCATCAGCACAGGCAGCCAGGCCGGAGCACGACCTCACCTGGAAGCTGCTGAGGGCCACGTAGACTTGGCTGCAGCCCTCGTAGGGACAGTGGAACATCTCCAGCAGGCCGTCGGCATCCATCACCCGCGAGCGCTTGCTGCGCCGCCTCCTGGGAGGAAGAGCCCTCGTGTCAGGGTGCTGGGCCGGCCGTGCCTGGCTCTCGCCCCCACTCTTGCCCCCTGGGCACTCACTTCTCTGGCTCTTTGGGGATCTCGTAGATGATGGCAGACATGTCGCTGCCATCCAGCTCCTCGCCGTCTGCCTCTGCCTCGGGCTCTGCGCTCTCAGGCACTGTCGGTGCCAGCTCCGCCAGCTGGGGGGCCACCAGCTCCTCCTTCTCCTCCTTTCTGAGCAAGTACAGGTCCTCCTTCTCTACGGGTGGACACAGGGCGGGTGTCCGCAGGGGATGAGGGCTGTCCAGGAGCCCATTTCCCACCCGACCCCTGCTGGAGGCCACAGCGGGGCTATCCAGACCTTTCTTGGTCTCTGTGCTGGCTATGGAGGTGGGGTCCAAGGTGCTGGGCCGGCTGCCTTCAGGCTCTGTCTGGGTGTAGGCTGCCACGCCCTCCATCATGGCGCAGGGCACCTCCTCGCCCAGGCTGCTGCTGGGGGTGCCGCCGTCAGCAGCCACATTGAGGTGGATGCCTTCAGCCGTGAGAGCATCATAGCCCGGGCCTGCGATGATGATCACCTGCGAGCCGGGCACCATGCCTGGCACGGGGCAGCTGGCCACCACTTCACCCAGCGCCTCCTGGGGGACGTTCTCGAAGAGGGCGCCAGGGCCTGCGCCCACCTGCACCGGCACCGGCACGCACACCACCGTCTCCAGGGCTTCGGGGCCACTGGCTGCGGGATTGGGGCACAGTGGGGCACCCTGCTCGGCCAGGCCCTCCACGTGGTGGACGTCAAAGGGGATGTGCACACCCTCCTGCGTGATGAGCCCGCTGCTCCCCTCAGGACTGGGGGGAGGAGGCACCGCTGCTGTCACCGCTGCCACTGTGGCCGCTGAGGAGCCCTTGACTGAGTGGCTCTCGGGGGGCTCCTCAGAGTCAGAGGCAGAGCTGCAGCTGGATGAGTCGGAGCTGCCGGCCACCAGGCCATTCGCCACTGCAGAGAGAGCAGGGAGAGCACCATCATGATGGCAGGGGCTGCACCAGACGGTGTCTGCTGCAAGGTTCCCCGCTCCCAGTGGCAGCTGAGGTCCCGGGCTACCCTGTCTGCCTGACTGGCCAGCTGGAAGCTGGGGGTCAGTGTTCTATGTAGGATTCCAGTTTTCCTTGGAAGAGTACAACTCAGCAATGGCCCAGAGGGAGATGCGATGCAGCGGGAACAGTGCCACCCCGCGGGTGCTGGCCTGAGGTGCCATCTCCAGGCCCTGACCAGTCCTGCGATGGGGAGAGGCTGAGAGCTGCTGTCCTAACCGTCATCTTGTGTGTCCGTGGCATTACAGACTGAACCAGGAGGCACTGAGCTCCATCCCCAGCCCTTTTGTTTGGTCAGGGCTTCCTGAAGATGCCGAGGCTGGCCTCAAAGTTGCAGTCCCCCGCCTCAGCCTTCTGAGTAGCTGGGGTGACAGGTGTATGCCACTGAACCTATTATGTTTGCTTTTCGGGGATCAGCTCACATCCAGAAGGTGCCAAGGGGTGGCACCTTGACTCACCCTGAGTCACCCCATTAGCACAGATTTAGGGGTGATCCAGAGAGAGTGCCTACAAATAACAAAGAACACTTCCATCATTCAGAAAACTCACGGTTTTGGAAGCCGTGTGCACAGAACTGAAGAGTACGAGCAGATAGGGTTGTCCCTGGGTGTCTGTGAGGGAAAGGGTCCAAAAATCCTTCCTGGACAGCAAAATGCACCGAGGTACGGAGTACATCCCTTATATAAAGCAGCACAGTATCTGCATGTAACCCACACATACCCTAGTGCAGAATGCTCTGTTTGTTGAGACAGGGTCTCATTATGTAGTCAGGCCGCCCTTGACCTGGTGCTGATCCTCCTGCCTGGCCTCCCCCGTGCACCTGGCCACGTGGTCACCCCACCCATGGCTCGGGCTCCCGAGGGCCGGGGTCGGGGTTTGCCTGGACTCTGGATTTTTTCGCCTTGCGCTCCTCCCGTCCTACTCGGGGGTCTCATGACCATCTCAGCCTCGGCGCAGTGACACCCGCTCTTCTCCACCCATGTCCCCTCCCAAAGTGCCCAGACTGCCGTTCCTCTCTCGGCAGGGCAGCTCCGTGTCCACGGCTCCCCGGGATTTTCTTCCTTTACACCCTCTCCCAAGCCGTCGGTAAAAATCGTTGGGACTACATTCAAAATCCATCCATCCACAGCTCAACTGTTTCTCCTCCCTCCTCTGCAAATGCTGGTCACACACAGTACCACTGTCCTTGTGCAGTCCCTCCTCGTTGGTCCCCGGCTCCCGAGGACTTCATCATAAGCCAGCTGTGCCCAACCCCACCACTTCCTCCTGGCACCACGATGGACTACATCTCCCAGCATACCTTGCAGCAGGCAGGTTTGGTCTGTGGCTGGTTCCAGCCAATAGAACAGAAGCAGATGAGGGTAGGCTCTACTTCTCTGTCCAAACCAGCCAGCCAGAACCTGGAAGCAGGGCTGGAGCCAAGGGCAGAAAGAACCTGGGTCCCCAGGAGGAAGTTAGCTTTTCGTCAAGGACCCTGGACTTTGTGTGTGGCCGGGGGACCAAACTACTGTGTTTGGTCACAAGAGCTAGGTGTAACCAAGAGCTTCTGTGGCCTACATTGCTCCCAAAACCCAACTCACTAGGTGTCGCAGCCAAGCCATCACTATGGCCACATGCCCCTGTGTGGTCATCCCCTGCCTAGTGACCCCTGTCTCGACTCCTCTCTAGTCTGCTGCTCCTCAGAGACATGAGGCAAGGTCCTGCCTCAGGGCCTTTGCACTTGCTGTTTCTTTGCCTGGTACCTTCCTCACCTCCATCAGATGCTTCAGTAAATGGCACCTTTTCATGGAGCCTCCTTTTTTCCTCAAGGTGCTCATCACCTTCAGTGTATTCTGTTTTTTTATCAGCTTATCTTACTGTTCCCCCCATCACACACAGTGAGGGTAGAAGCCCCAATGCAGAGCCCCCAGTGCCCAGAGGCTGCCAGGGGCTGTACTTCTGAATCAATGAATGACTCTCAGACCAATGCTGTAACAAAGACTGAGTGTCCTAACTAACAGAACTGCAGGGTGTTTGGGGTACAGTCCACATACTGGATGCTCTGGGACTGTATGTTGGGGACACTTGTGCCACAGGTGCGACCTAGGGACCATCAGCTGTGTGAACACAGTACCTCATGCGCCCCTCTGGGCCTGGAGATCACCGATCACCTGCTTTGGGGGTGTCAAGAGCACTGCATGGGGAAATATCACCTAAGCAGCTGGGGACGGCAGAGGGCTCACAGCAGTGGTTTCCTAGGCGCCTCTGGTTACCGTATTCTCCCAGTGCCCTCGGGGAATGGCTGTGTGGACGAGGGTCCCTCAGCGGCTCCTGTGTTGAGGGCTCGGAGCTTGAGAGGGTCCTATGGGGAGGTGGTGTTGTCTTTAAGGGGCGGGGCCTGGGAGGTGTTAGGTCCCTGGGGGCGTGGCCCTGTAGGGACTCCTGCAGCCCCGCCCCCTCGCTCTCTGATGTGGGGAGAATGATTCTGCTCCGCCGCCTGCTGTGCTCTCTTGTCACCTCTGGTCTGAAGCAGTGGCCACCTGACTGGACCTCTGGGCCGGAGACTCAGCGTGACCATTAACACTTTCCTCCCTATGAGCTGATTGTCTTAGGTACTTGTTACAGTGACCGGAAGCTGACAGCCGAGGCGATGCCCCTACCTGAACTGGGGATCAGGGGATCAGCCTTGCCTGCGCACAGTGACCCTGGAGGGGACCTGAGCACTGTGCACCGCCCCGAAGGAGGGGGCAGCCACTGAGTGCACTGGGGACGGGGCTGGGACGCCTGACTTTGGAGTCCGGCTCTTATGTCTAGCTTGGACTTCTGTCCAGGTAGGAAAGGTTTCAGCATTCAGGAGGCTGAGGCAGGGAGATTGCCAGTTTGAGATCAGCTGGACTACAGAATGAGACACTGTCTTCCAATAAACAGACCACAATGCTCCTAGCGAGTAGTGGTTCACTCCTGTAATCCCAGCATTCTGGGAGGCTGAGGCAGAAGGATCACAAGTTCAAGCCCAGCCTAGGCAATTCAGTGACTTGGTAAAACCTTAGTAAAACCATGTCCCCTTGGCCGCCCACAGTCCCAGTGGGAGGGCCCCAGGCACAGGGCAGGTAGGAGGCGCTGCTCAGGGAACAGAGCTGGGACAGGCCAAGGCCAGACGTGGCCAGCAAACTGCAGTGTGCATGCTGAGGCCCAGGCAGGTGTGGCTGTCACAGTCGGCCTGGTGCAAGGGCTCTTCAGGTGCCACCTGGTCCCAGCCTGACCATCGTGTCACCCCTGGGGTCTGGACAGGGCCAAGGGGAAAGATGAGGTGGGGCCTGGGGGGTGCAGGCTGGGGGTGACAGGCAAAGCCAGGTGGGGCGCAGGTCACGGCACAGGACACCTGCGTGCTGGGAGCGTGGCGGAGGCTCAATGGGGCGGCCGTGGGCGTCTCACCCAGCAGGGACGCCTCTCCTTCCCGGCCTCCCCGAGGCCAGCTGGGACACCACCTGCTCTGTGCCGCCTGCCAGCGCAGGCTTGGCTGGTGACTGACTCCACCCTCAGGCCCAGAGGGGCACCTGGCGGCGGCCCCATGCTCTCAGCCAAGTCAATCCCAGCCCCCAGGCGGCAGCAGCCTGTCACCACCAACAGGGTCCCCAGTGCTGCCCACAGGCCACCTGCACTTGGCCACTGTGTCCCTCCTGGCTGTTTATGGGCAGTCATCCCAGAGTGATGAGAGTGGGCAGAGGGACACTCTGGAAGGGAGGGGCACGGGGCAGTGGGAGGAGGGGAGGAGGAGAAAGAGGGACGGGGTACAGGAGGGAGGCTCAGCCCCGGGGGGACGGGCATGGGACGGAGGGGAAGAAAGCGCTGGGCGAGCTGGAGAAATGAAAATGGGTCAGGAAAAGCCAGGCGTGGTGGCGCACACCTGCCATCCCAGCGTAGGAGGTTGAGGCAGGAGGGCTGCTGGGTGTTGGAGGCCAGCCTGGGCCACACAGGGAGAACCTGTCTCAAAAGCCAAATCAACAGAAGGCCCCACGTTGTGGGCGCAGGACTGTCACCCACCATTTGGGAAGCCGAGGCAGGAGGATCACAGTGAGCTCAAGACCAGACTGAACTGCACAGAGAAACCCTGTGTCAAAATGTCAAAACCAACCACCTGAAGAGCCCTTGCACCAACCTCCGCCACGCTCCCAGCACGCAGCACAAAACAACCTCAAGTAAAACCAAAGAAAAGAAGAAGGTACCGAGGCGAGGGGCGCCCGCCCTCCTCAAACCCACCTTTGTCGCTGTCGGGGTCCGAGTCGCTGAGGGGCTTCAGGGGCGAGTGCAGGTCCTGGAAGTAGCGGTGGCCGGCCTCGCACTGCCACACGGCCGTGGTGTACAGGCCGAAGGTGGGGTCCAGCTCGGCCAGGTGCGGCTCGTAGGGGCAGCGGTGCCTGTGGTCCTCGTACCAGATGACCACGTTCTTCAGGCAGTTCACGTTGCGCCGGCGCCCTGCAGACACAGCACCCACCACCCGAGCTGAGGCCCCGGCTCCCGGCTCCCAGGGGAGACCCGGGCGAGCACCCTGGACACGACTCGACGGGGACCTGCCTACGGGGATGTTGTTCCTGACATAATCTAAACAATAAAGCCCAGCACAGAGGAGAGGCACTGTCATCGAAAGCTGTCACTGTTTCGGTCATTCAGGCTCTCAGCAACCCTCCAGCCTTCCACGTGCTGAATCGGAGAGGAGGAGGCTCTCATGCCCTGGTGGCATCTGGCCCTGCATGCCTGGTGGCGTCTGCCATGAGCTATTTGTTCCTCTGTTTCTCACCTGTCCTCCCTGAGCACGTCGGCTCCCTGAGGCAGGAGCATTTATCTGCTTTGGACAGACAGGAGGTTGGGCCCTCCTGGGGGCGGGCGGCTGTGGTGAGGAGATGGGCATGAAGGGGTCCTAGCTGGGCGGCTGCAGTGAGTGACCCAACTTCCCTGAGCCCCCCACTCTGTCTGCGAGGGAGGCGGGCAGCGGTGGAGATGGGGACGGGGACAGGGCGGGGCACACAGTGAGTGGCTAAGTGGTAACTGCCAGTGAGTGTGACTGGCCCTGCCCCCTGGGGGTACATTTCCTACCCCTGGGTAGAGAGATGAGGATGAGGACGAGGGGGTCCAGCAGGGGCTCTGCACCTGGGGTTGTGCTGGGGCCTCCCATGGGGGTGCCAGGGGCATCTGGGGCTGCCCTCTAGCCTAGCTCTGTCTACCTCCTTGGGTTTCCCGCCCACCTGCATCCGGAGGACCCAAGGCTTCCGGCCAGGACGTGGCCCAGACCTGCAGCTCCCAGGCCCAGAGCCAGCTCTTGTGCAGCTGTTCCACTGCGGGGAGCTGAGGGGACAGACGCACAGACCCAGGCTGGAACCTAACTCCCTGGCCTCCCAACAGTGTGGCCGGGCAGTGCCACCTTGCTCCTCGACTGGCTCCACCTGGCCCATCACCCGTTCCTCCCACGCCCAGCCTAGGGCTCCACTTACTTTTCTTGTGCTTTGGCTTTTTGGGGACCTGTTCCCAAGGCTTCCTGCAACAAAGAGGGGCGGTGAGGGTCAGCATGTGGCCAAGGCCAGGCTCGGTGCACGATGACGGCACTCAGTCGCCCAGCGGAGAGTTGTATTTTGCTGTGTTTTGAGACAGGGTTTGACTATGTCATTCAGGCTGGCCTGGAACTCACTGTGTAGCCCACGCTGGCCTTGGATTGCAGTGATCTTCCTGCCTCAGCCTCCTGAGTGCTGGAATTGCAGGGATGGCCCACCATGGCTGCCTTTGACTTTGTTTACCTGCTCCCATCCCCTACTCCAGCAGTCAGCAGTGTGGCAGCTGGCTTCTGGCTCGGGCTGTTCCCTTGAGGGAGGTGGGGTGCCATGACTTATCTCAGAGAGGGAAACTGAGGCTCCAAGTGATGAAGCTGCTGGCCTGGTCCCCTGGCCAGGGAGTACGTAAGTCAGGGAAGTCAGATGGCGCACGGGGCTCCTGCGACTCCCGCCCTGCACATCCAGTCTTCTGATTCTACACCCTCAGACTGAACCAAACAGGAATAGGAAATTCTTGGAAAAATCTGTGCTTGTCTGGGACGCCTGCAGACTTTTATTTCATGGCACTATTTCCTACACAATACAGAACAACTACGTAGGCAGTGTTTATGCAGGGTCAGGAATTCTCAATCCCTAGAAATGATTTAAACTCTCTGTAAGAAGCTGGTTGTGATGGCACACACATCTGTAATCCTAGCCCTCAGGAGGCTGAGGCAGGAAGATCACTGCAATCCAAGGCCAGCGTGGGCTACACAATGAGTTCAAGGCCAACCTGAATTACATAGGGAGACCCCGTCTCAAAAACTAAATAAATACGGTCTCTGGGAGGGTATGTGTCACTTCACTATTTATGAAACATTCACTATTTATGAAAAGGAGTCATGTGTCCAAGGGTCTGAAGATCTCGATTTCAGTATTGAGTCCGAGGTGAAGGACTCGGTGTAACCACGTGGCTCATCACCGCGGAAGCAGCAAAGAGCAGCCAGCGGTGGTTCAGTCTGCTAAGGTCTGGGTGCTTGTTTTGCACCACGGGAACTTCATGACACTGGCCTGAAAGCTGGCTGCCCAGAGCCCCGATGGCTGAGACCAGTGCTCCAGACTTGGTGGTCCAGGGAAGGGCAGGGCCCACCCAGTGCCCCAGCCCTGGCTGCACACTGGCAGCAGGTGCCCTGGGGCCTCCTCCTCTTCACCACCACACCTCGGTTTCCCTCTCTGAGATAAGTCATGGCACCCACCTCCCTCAAGGGAACAGCCCAAGCCAGAAGCCGGGCTGCCTCTTCCACATCCACAACGCAGCAGCACCAGTAGCAGCAGCATCTGGCAAGTGACATCCCTCCCTGTGCCAATTTCCTACTCGGAGCACACATAATCCCAAGGCACCTTCCTCATGGGGCTGTCTTCCATCCAGCCTTCCAGCCCCACCCTGGTTCCCCAATAGTGCCAGTGTAAGAGTTTATATGACTGTTTTGACTTTTTGTCTTTTTCCTTTTTATCGGTACCAGGGATCGAACTCATGACTGCCTGCTTGCAAGGCAGGGGCTTATGCCACTGAGCTAAATCCCCAGCCCCCTACTTTTTTCTTTTTCTTCTAAGCATTTTAAATGTTGGACTGAGGGCGTAGGTCAGTAGTAGTTTGCCTAGCATGTGCAGGGTTCTGGGTTTCATTCCTAGGGGAAAAAATTAAAAGAAGCCAGGCATGGAGGTGCACCCCTATGATTCCAGCGCAGCCTGGGCTATGTGGTGAGACTCTTTATCTTAAAAAAAAAAAAAAAAAAAAAGGGAAAAAAAACTGCATCCATAATGCTCTTTTCTCAAGATTGAGACTTCCAATCTGTCCTCTACCTACCTCAGGACTTCCTCTGCCCGCTTTAAGAGCCGAGAAGTTTAGAGGTCCCCGCGAGCGGTGCGCAAGGTGGGACTCCCGCGTGGGGCCCAGCACCTCGTGACGGGGAGGAACTGGTGTCCAGAGCCCAGGGAACCGAGAACCCGGAGCGGGAGCCGGGCCGCTCGGGATTGGGTAGTTAGACCGCCTGAAGGCGGAGCCAGAGCCGGGATTGGGCAGTCAGAGCTCCAACGGGCGCCCAGAGGGCGGGTCGAGACGGGACACAGGCAAGGATTGGGCACAGGAGCGGCGGGAGGCGGAGCCGCGAGCCTGGCGCGTCCCGGGCCGGCAGCCGGGAGACCCAGGCCCGCAGCCTGCGCCTGGGCGGGGCTCACAGGTGCCGGGGCGGGGCCCTGTGGGGAGCGGGCGGGACCTCGCGAGGGGTGGGCGTGCCCGCGGGCCGCGGGAGACTGGGATCGGGACCCGGACAGGGACGGGGGCGTCTCCTCCCTCGCTGGCTCGCTCCCTCCCTCCCCTCGGCCGGGCCCCCTCACCCGTGGCGGCCGCTACGCTGGCCGCGCTCCAGCGAGATGAGGTAAGCGGCGAGCTTGGCGTCGCTCCAGCCGCTGCGGCGCCGCAGGTCCACCCAGGGCCCGTGCGCCTCGCCCAGGTACACGCGCCGCACGTCGTACTTCTTCCGGGACTCGAGCCGCCGCCGGGCCCGGTCTGACTCCGTGAGCCTCGGCCGACCCCGCGCCTTGCGACCCACCGCGCCCTCCTCGGCCGCCGCCTCCCCGCCTGCGCCCGACTCAGCCTCCGCCTCCGCCTCGGGCTCCGGCGTCCGCTCCGCCATCCCCCCCACCCTGGTTACCAGCCTCCCCCGTTGTTAGGAGCCCGACCGGAAGTGGCGCACATCTTCCGCGCCGTCGGGAAATTTCTCTCCTACTCTCCTTGCCCCGCGGCGCCAAAAGGAGACTCGGAGCTAGAGCTGCGCATGCGTGCAAACCTGTACTCCCCACCACTGGTTTTTCTGTTAAACTTCTCTTAGAGGGAAGGCATAAAGTTTATGCTCGGCACTAGGATAGAAGAGCTCGTAGATCCTGAGGAGTGGAAGGAACCCATTGCTGATTCTTCAGGATCCCGGGGAGGGGATGCCACATAGCTAGAGAGGAGGGAAGGCAACCCAAGGCGGAAAACTTTTATTTGCTGTACAGGCAAAGCTCATCTTGCACTTGCGCACCATCCACGGCCTCGTGAGGTCCCTGCATGGTCAGATTCAACTCTGGCTCTGCTGCTGTCGCTGCAGATGCTCATGGTCCACCTGGCCTTCGCGCCGGGTCTGGCGTGAATCCTCTAGTCCTGATGCCGTCCGCAGCTCCCCGCTGGACCCAGCCAGCCGGAAGACCACGGGGATGCGGGCCAGGGCCGGGTTGGCCTCCTGCAGGCCCTGGATCCACTTGGCTAGCGTCTCCTGGTCGTGGGCTCCCGCGATGCATATAGCGAAGACTGGGCCTTCCTCCACTGTTGGGAGAGAGGTTCGTGCAGCCCGGTGCAGAGCCCCCACCGCTCACGCCCCCTCCGGTTCTCCGTTTCCTGCAGGGTCTCCTGCCCGCAGTGCGCCTGCACTGCTCACTGCCTGCCTCCCCGCCCACCTGAGGGCTGGGGCTGTCCTGGTCATACCCAGCAGGACCACTGGTTGACAGCCTGGGTGGCCTCGGGCCCAGAACCCTATGAACTCTACCTGGTGTCCCAACCCCGGAGGGCGGAGGCCACAGCGCGTCCTGGGGACCCAGTCCTGCCTGCCTGCTTTACCTTCGTCGATATCGAACTCGTAGTCATCCCAGCTGCTCCTTGCATAGTCCAGGTCCAGCTTCATCGGGTAGTAGAGGTTCCACTCCTCCGGGATCTCCTCCACGTCCTGCTCGGGCAGGACAGGGCAGGCAGTCAGAGGCCGGCGTCTGGCAGCCTCTCTCCACCCTCACCCCGGCTCTGGGCTCTTACCTTTTCTTCCGGGGGCGGCAGGTCAGCCCTGAGGATGTGGTAATAGACACACTTGTTCCGCAGCCACAGGGAGAAGGGTCCCTCCACAAAGAGAGGCCGGGCTGGGTTGTGGCGGGCTAGGGCGTCCTGCTGGTCCGGGCTCTGGATGCCTGGGGTGGAGACTCGTGTGTGTGCTGGGACTCAGCTTACAGGGGGCAGGTCAGAGGCCTGGCCGCCCAGGGTGGGGAAGGGCTCACCTACGATGTGGGGCTGAATGGGGTCCACGGGGTCTGTCGTGTCAGCAGGCAGAGACTTCTGCAAGGAAAAGTGGGGGAAGCTTGTGACCTCCAGAGGAGCCAGGAGAAGGGGACAAATGGGGATGCCTTCAAATCCAGGAGACCTTTCCTAGGTCCCCTGCACGACACAGAGATCCTTCCTCTCCTTTCTGCTTTGGCCAAACCCACTGACATTTAAGATGCTAAAGGGAACCCTGCAGCCAGCCATCTACTTCTAACATCCTGGCTGTTAAGCCAGGTGGGTGGCACAGCTGTAATCACAGCACTCAAGAGGCTGAGGCAGGAGGATCCCCATGAGTTTGAGGCCAGCCTGGGCTAGTGAGAGCCTGTCTCAAAAACAAACAAAATCCTGGCTGTCATAATGTGTGTGACCTTGGCCAACTCATTGTACCTGTATACCTCTGTTTCTCCAGTTGCAAAATGAGGACAATAATAATCCTTACCTCAGGCAACACTTAAACCATTTAGAACAGTGCCTAGCAAACAATAAGTACCCAGTGCTTTGAATTTAAAAAAATAATAATTTTACACTACACATATCCTAGGAAAGAGATGCAAGAATCAAATAACTGTTTTGGTTTTGGGCTTTTTGTGGGCCTCACTCTGCAGTTCAGGCTGGTCTCAGGGATCATCCTGCCTCAGCCTCTTGATTGCTGGAGTTACAGTCCTGCAGCACCACATCCACATAAATACAGCAGTGTCCAGGTGGGAAGGGGTTCCCTGTGGTATCTGAATATGACTTTTGAACACCAAAACTCAATGTCCTCTTTTTTCTTTGCAGTACTGAGATTGGACACAGCCTCACACGGACTGTGCCACTGAGCGTTTCCCAGCTCTTTCTGCTCTCTGCTTCTGGGACAGGGTCTCACTGAGGTGCCCGGCTGGCCTGGAACTTGCAGCCTGCCTGCCTCTGCCTGCCGAGTAGCTGGGATTGTGGGTGCAAACCCCCACTGGGGCTGAGACTGATGTTTTACAAAACACATAAGCTGTGAGTGCAGTAGGGGCTGCACACGGCCCTCTGCCACCCTTCAGGCCAGGAGCTGTGCTGCTCCCGGGGCGGGGAAGTGAGCACAGCGGGCGGCAAGGCCCAGGGTGTGGGGAGCACAGTGCTCCGGCCGGCCTGCAGCTGTGTGGCAAGCACCAGGTCTGCGTCACAGCCCCAGCGCCTCCAAAATCAAACAGGAGAGAGCAAAACAGCCCTGCTGTTTGAGAAGCTTTTGTATTTTGAGACAGGGCCTCACTGTGCAGTCCAGGTGGCCTTGAAATTGCGGTGATCCTCCTGCCTCAGCCTCCCAGGTGCTGGGTTACAGACCTGCACCACCACGTCCAGCCTAATTTTTCTTGACATGCTCCCACTGGCCTGAACCACCAGAGGTACAAGTATGGCTGTCCTCTCAGGGGGCGTGTGGCGCCTGATGGGACTCTTCCATGCCACTTGAGGGGACAGTTCTGTGTGTACTTCGGTGGCTCAGAGCCACCAGCAGTGAGAGGTATGAATTAAGACCCTGTCGTGAACCTGTTAAATGTATGTACAGCTGGGTGTAGTGGTGGCTCAGGCCTGTAATCCCAGCACTCGGGAGGCTGAGGCAGGAGGATCCTTGCAAGTTCAGACCAGCCTAGGCTACAGAGTGAGGTCAAAGCCAGCCTGAACTGCATACAGAGACCCTGCCTCAAAAAGACTAAGTAAATAAATTCATGGGATTGCTTCAGTTACACTTTTCAGGTTTTTTGAGACACGATCTTGCTAGTTCAGGCTGACCTTGAACTGACAGTAGTCCTCCTGCCTCGGCCTCCCAGATGCTGGGATTACAGACGTGCACCACCACACTACATTAAGTCTCTTGATTCCCCAGCCGCTGATACTTTGTCCTAGCAGAAGCTATTGTATTAACAGCAGTCAAAGGGGCGGAGACAGCGGCGAGCTGTGGTAGGGAGCAGGGCTACAGGAAGCCACCAGCTGGGCACCCTTAGCGCAGTCATCGGGAGGCTGGTGGGGCAGGGTGTGGGATCCACGGCCGCAGGCCTGCAGGTACCTGGTAGACGGTGACCCTGGCGCTGAGGTCGGGCTCCACGCGCCTCAGGCCCAGCGTGGCCAGCTCCACCACGTCCTGGGGCAGCTCGTGCGGCAGCGGGAAGGGGTTGATGTTCTGGAAGCGCGTGAGCCACAGGCGCATGCGCACGTACTTGAGCATGGGGTGGCTGCCGCGCCCGAAGATCTGCAGCAGCAGGAACTCGGTCTCCTTGTTAGGCATCACGCCTGCGCTGGAAGATGGGCATAGCCTCAGGGCGGGAGGCGGGTGGCAGACGGAAGAGGGCGCCGAGGTCAGGACAGAGACGGGCAGCGAGGGAGAATTACAAAGTGGAGCTCAGGGCAGAGCCCTTGCCCGGCGTGTTAGAGGTGCGAGGGCCCTGGGTTCCATCCCCAGCATTAGGAGAGAGGGAGGAAGAGAGAGAGGAGACAAATGAATCTAAAAAGGAAAAGACCCCGGAAACCAGGGAAGATTGGGACAGAAAGCGATTCAGCCGGGCACAGCGGCACACGCCCGTCATCCCAGCCCCCAGGAGGCTGAGGCAGGAGGATCCTCCAAGTTTGAGAACGGGCTGAGCCACGTGGTGACTTCAAGGCCAGCCTGAGCTAAGTGGTAAGACCTATCTCAAAAACCCAAAACTATAAAAACAGGAGATGCAGGAAGGTGGGGGTGGGCTGGAGGGTGGGGCAGCCCGCGGCAGAGCGCCTCACCGTGGCGCTCCATCTGCTCCAGCACGGCCACGCCGCACTCCTGCTGCCGCGGGTAGTGGGTGAAGATGCGCTGGAAGGCGCTGCGCGGCCGGAAGACCTCCTTGGGGAACACGTCCAGCAGCAGGTTGTAGGCCGCCAGGTCGCGCTCCACGCCGAACTCAGGCATCTTGCGCAGCGCCAGGTAGATGAAGTCCACGTGGCCGCGCTTGCGCACGCTGTGCCGCCCGAAGTTCTGCACGGCGAGCGCGAAGCTGGCCTTGTCCCGGGCGCCGCCTGGCGCCGGCTGGAACAGCTCCTCGTGGGGTGCTCGAACCTCTCCGGGCTTCTTCCCAGGCTCGGGTGGGCGGGGGACGGGGGCCTTCACGGAGGAGAGGGGCGAGCTGCTGCAGTGGAGGCCCCGGGGGAGGAAGGGTGGCACCTGGGGACAGACGTCGCTGTTGGAATCCAGCTGGCTTTGCTGGGAGAGGGGGCACTGGCGGCCCCGAGGCCCTCTAGGGAATGTGGGGCAGAGGTTACCAATACAAGATTGGGGAACCAGGCTTGGTGGTGTGGGCCTGGGAGGCTGAGACGGGAGGGTCGCTGTGAGTTCTAGGCCAGCCTGAACTACAAAGGCATACTGTCTCAAAAAATAAAAACGGAATCGAAGGACCAGACGCCACTACACAACGACAAAACAGCCCTGCCGAGTAGGAAAACGGCATTCTTAGACACTGGTGGGGACAGGTCTTTGGTAATGTTCATCACGACGACAGCGATGCAACAATCCTGCAAATGGATATTTAAATTTATCTTGCTCTCTTTCCTTTTAAATTAACAATGCAGTACTGGGGATTTATCCCAGGGCATTCATAAAAAGCTACATCCAAAGCCGGGCGGTGGTGGCTCATAACTGCGATCCCAGCACTCGGGAGGCTGAGGCGGGAGGACTGTTGTGAGTTTCAGACCAGCCTGGGCTGCACAGTGAGCTCAAGGCCAGCCTGAACTGCATAGCGAGACCCCCATCTAAAAAAAAGACAAAAGGGCTGGGGATTTAGCTCAGCCGCAAAAGCGCCTGCCTTGCAAGCAGGCAGATGGGAGTTTGATCCCCGGTACCGATAAAAAGCAAAAAAAAAAAAAAAAAAAAAAAAAAATCCATAGCCCTTTTGCCTCTATTTATTTGTAAATTTGGAGACAGGGTCTCTCTAAATTGCTAAAGTGCCCAGGCTGGGATTATAGGCATGCACCTTCGTGTCTGGCATTTTAAAATTTGTATTTTACTTTATTTTTCGTGGTATTGGAGATCAAAGCCAGAGGCGCTCTACCACTGAGCGACCCCTCCTGACCTTACTTTTCTATTTTTTAAACCCTAAGTTTATTGGTGCACTTTACGGCGCGTTTTGTCCCTGTGCGCACCACACCCTGAATCCTTTTCTCTCCCCATTTCCCTTCCCTATCTTCATTCCATTTTCTCTTCCTTATTTACAGAAGCTTTGTGTCTGTTTTATTCCTCCCTTTCTCATTGTTTTGTTCCTCTTCCCTTCTTTCCCCGTCTTTCTGTTTTGAGACAGCATCTCCCTGAGTTGGTCAGGCTGGCTTAAATTTGTGATCCTCCTGCCTCAGCCTCCCGAACACTGGAATTACTGGTGGGCACCAATATACTTTGCTGCAAAAGCAGCAATTTGATTTACCTTTTCTTTTTCTTTTTTGCAGCCCTGGGAATCGAACCATTGGCTTTGTGCCCTGTGCCTGCCAGGCGAACACTGTACCACAGAGCTCCACCCCACCCCCAAAATGGGTACTGAAATCTGACAGCTTAAGCACTCCTGGGCCTCACAGGAGTGGAAATGGTTAATCAGACGGCCATGAACTTGAGCATGGAGCCCGTGGAGCTGGAAAATCCGTGGAGAAGGCACTCCCTGTGCAGCCGGGATGAGGTCCAAATTACGTTTCAGGACCTCGAAAGGGGCTGGGGACTTAGCTCAGTGGTAGAGTGCCTGTGGGTTTGCTACCCAGTACTGTAGGGCGTGGGGAAGGCAGGCACAATGGTACAGTGTCCTAATGCCAGCACTCAGGAGGCTGAGGCAGGAGGATTGCTGTGAGTTTGAAGCCAGCCTGGGCTAAACAGTGAGATACTGTATTGGGGGGGAAAAAACCTTCCAAAACGACAAAAACCACACACACAAGCAAGAAAGAACGAAGCAAAGAAATGATATTAAAAACAGTAAGGCAAGGCTAGGCCAGGGAGTTTGTTTTCTACGGTCATCTTTATAAGCGTTGTAGGAGGGACCCACAGTCATCCCCAAATCCACTTGGCTCCTGGGTCCTTAATGTGAAAGTGGACACCGTCACCTTTAGGGACACTGAGACCCCTTGATTAAGTGAGCCTCCACGAACCCCAGCACAGACCAGCTGGCTTTATTTTTTTGAGGCAGGATCTCACTTTGTAGCCCAGGCTGGCTTTGAACTCACAGTGATCTTCCTGCTTCAGCCTCCTGGGTGCTAGGATGGCAGGCGTGCGCCCCATGCCTGAGTGAGCTGGCTCCTTTGAGGATGAAGGCGAACCCCAGGCCTTGTGCCGCGTGCTCCCAAGCCCCCTGCCTGTGGTTACCTGGGAGAAGAGGGCTCCAGGGAGGACGGCATTTTGGACGCCTGCTCGGCTCCTAGGGAGGCACTGGGCCAGCAGCACAGCTCGCACGCAGCTCATGCTCTGGGTTCCGGGTTGGGGAGCCACCTGGCCAGGAGAGAAGAGCGGTGAGCCCGAGCGGCCGGGCCTAGATGACTGCTGATTCAGCCATCTCTGTCTTCAGGCCTGTGCGGCTGTACCACTTTCTAAAATATATTTGTTACCTATTTTATTAGATAGAAAGGCTCATAAAGTGTTCTGTATTCTGCCACGTTTTTGTTTCTCAAATAATCATCTTTTAAAATGTAAGTCAGAGCCTGGTATGGAGGTGCAGGCCTGTCATTCCAGCACTCAGGGAAGCTGAGGCAGAAGATCTCAGGTTCAAGCCCAGCATGGACAACTTCATAACTTAGATCCTGTCTCAAAAGAAACCTTGAAAAAGAAAAAAAAAAAAAAGCTGGGAATGTAGCTCGGTGCAAAGGCCCTCGGTTCAATCTCCAGTGAAGAAAGTAAAAAGCAGATTTAAAAAAAAAAAAAAAAAAGGACGTGGCGATTTAGCTTAGTGGTAGAGTACATGTGTAAGGTTTCGAGCTCATTCCCAGCCCTGCAAAAACAAAACCAAACCTATACAACCAACCACAAACCCCAAACCAGGTACTTCCATTTCTGGGGATTCATTTGTTACCATGGCAACACAGGTGTGGGAAGCCAGGGTTTCCCATGGAGTCCAGCCCCAGCCCCAGCCCCAGCCCGGCCCCAGGCACATGCTAAAAGCTGAACTCTAAGTCTGGTTCCCATACAGCAGCGCTGGGGTATGGCTCTGTGGGGAGCACTTGCCTGGCCCTGTGTTCAGCCCCGAGTTCCATTCTGGCCCGAGATGTGACAGGGTCAGGGTCGCAAGCACACAGTGGGGAGGCTGCAAGCTCAGAGAGATGCGTTCCTAAGGCCTCGCCCGCTTTCCCACGCCAGCCCAAGGCCTTCTGCACGCTAAGGACACACCTAGCACAGAGGCCCAGCCGTGGCCCTCAGTTTTTAGGGTTCTGTTTTTAGTATACCCACAGAGTCGTGTGAACATCATGGGATCTTGTGAAGATGCAGACTTTTGTTTTTTTCAAATGCAGATTTTCAACTGGGCACAGGTGGTGCATATCTGTGATCTCACAGGCTGGGGCAGGCTTATTCCAAATTCAAGCCCAGCCTATGCAGCTTTGTGAGATTCAGACTTAAAGTTGAAAAACAAGGGCCGGGGCTGTGGCTCACTGCGAAGGCCCTGGGTTCCATCCACTTTCCGGCCTGGGGACTGAACCTACAGCCGTCACACAGCTACTCTCTATTTTTATTTTTTTGAGAGAGAGTCCTGCTAAGTTGCCCAGGGTGGGCTCGAACTTTTGATCCTCCTGCCTCAGCCTCCCTGACTGCTGGGATGACAGGCCTGTGCCACCAGGCCTGGCTCTAGCAGTCCTAGGGCCACCGTGCCCCTCACCTCTCCGTTCAATCCATCAACTAGTCCTGGTGAGTATGTACTTTCAAGTGCATCCCAAAGGTAACAGGTGCCCTCCATCTGCAGGCTACCACCCTGATCCGTGATCCATTTGCTGCATACCTGCCCAGCCTCCCACTTCTGCACCCCAACAGCTCTCCCTCCAGGGCCAGAGACAGCCTTGACAAATGTCATCCAAGCTACGCAGCAACAGTGTTTTTGAAACAAGCTGATTTCAGTCTCAGACCCCTGGTATGTCTCCCTCTGCCTGGAACTTTCTTCCTCCAGATCTTGCAAATACTGTAATCATTTAGGCTTCTGTTCAAAGGCCAGTTCTTCTGATCCCCACCTCATTCTTCCAGGCTAAAATATAAGCCTTGAGGCTGAGGCAGGCAGATCGCTTTGAGTTCAAGGCCACCCTGAACAATACAGCGAGACTATGTCTCCAAAAAATGAAGTAAGATAATTCCTCATCCTGATTAATGCGTTTTTAGCAACTACCCTACCTGAAACCACCCGTTTATTTCTGACTTGGTCAATGTCCGGGTGTCTGAAGACATAGATTTGTCTACCTTTCTCACTGCTGTTTACAGAAGCCGGGGGGGGGGGGCGCCAGGAATATGGTTAAGTAACTGCCAACGACGAGTAAGCGGGGAGTTTCTACTAAACCTCTATAATCGGCATCCTGAGGCAGGTGTAATCTAACAGCTCCTAGGCTGGGCGCCCCGAAACAAGCAGGCGCAGCTTTCAGCCCCCGCCTCTCTGCAGCGGGGACTAAAGCCTTGACCTCTCTGAGTCACCTACGTACCCCGAAAAGCAGGAGATTCCCACAGCGGGGTGGCAGCGCACGGCGGGCAGCCTTTTCCCTCACATCCCCGTCCCGCACCCCAAAAGGTCACAGCGCCCCGACCTTGCAGCTGGGTCTCTCTAAAGCCACCCTCTCGCGCTGCTAGGTCCAAAACGGGATGTCCGAGCCCCCAGAGGTTCGTGTCCACCTTCCCGCGTGCGCCCTACCTACTCACGCGACAGGCCACGGAACCCGGGCAGGTTTTGTCTTGCTCCTGGGCGCCGCCATGTTAATCAAAGGAACTTCCGGGTTACAGGTCACCAGGGAGCCAGCAAATCAAAAGAGTCGATTTTGACAGATCCCGCCCATAAGAGAATAATAACCAATATAAAGAAGCTATTACTTTGGTTCCGCCTCCTAAAGCGAAAAGCCACACTCCCTAATCTGGCAAGCCGACTTGCAGATCTGGGAACTGTGGAGTGAGACCCATGGGGAGGTGTTAGGTTTTTCCTGGCTGTGAAGATGGATTTGGGAGACCAGTAAGACCTGCCAGGAGCCCCAGTTATCTGACCTGAAATCCAGGAGTGAATTAGTGAAAGTTGGAGGGATATGGATTATTCACTCGACAAGCATTTTTTGGGCGCTCACTGTGTGTCAGACACAGTTCTAGGCTCCAAGGATACCTCGCTGATGTGAAGGAGACAGACCCATACTCCAGCTCCGTGGTCCTTCGCTTATGCTTAGCCCATCTGTGCCTCAATGCTGTCACCCGTGAAATGGGTCAATTATAATACAAAATATTTTTAAGATGTTTTGTTTTTTGGTTTGCTTTTAGGTTTTATTCCTTCTCCTTCCCCTTCTCCTGCCACAGTCTCATTATGTTGTCTAGGCTAATTTGCATTCCTGAATCCAGTGATCCTCTTGTCTCAGCCTCCCGAGAAGCTGGGCCTACAAGCATGCCCCAGCACCCACTGACTTTAATAGAATTTTATAGACTTTGAATTAATGTATGTGCAACAGCCATAAAAGAACAATGTGGCCAGTTGTGATGGGGATTCGCTGTCACGCCCCTTAATCCCTCCCAAATGGGAGAGCATGGAGTCTGATTTGGTTTCTTGGGCCACCCATGCCGAGAGTCCTATGGGATTTTGTGTGTGTGTGTGTGTGTGTGTGTGTACGATTATGTCCCCGGGCCAGGATGTGTGTCTTTGTGATGCTGGAGTGATAGAATATGGGGCTTTTTAGTGTTTGAAAACTTCAGCATCCTGGCATGGTGAGGCACAGCTGACATCCCAGAACTCAGGGGACTGAGGCAGGAGGGTCGCTGAGAATTCAAGGCCAGCATGGGCTACATAGTAGGGTCAAGGGCAGCCTGAATTAGTTAGGAAAACCTTGTTTCCAAAAAATGAAATAAACCTTGTGTGGCTGTCTTCAGATCTGCTATCACCCAGCCACAGGATTCCCCATCTCTCTGCAAACCCAGCACCAGCTGAATGACCGTGACACCTTCTGTACCAGCTTCTGTCTCCGTGGGGCCCTTTGTCCATCCTGGGCTCTGAGTGTGGGCCACAGGGAGGAGGCCTCCCTGTCCTCTCCTGCATCGTTCTCTCCCCAACTCCTACTCCCCCGTCCACAGGGGTTCTCTTTCTTTTCTTATATTTTCTTTTTATTTTATTAATTTTTTGTGTGCAGTACTGAGGCCTTCACACTTAGCGACACCCCCAGCCCTTTTTTATTTTGAGACAGAGTCTCACTAAGTTGCCAAGGTCAGGCCTGCACTTGTGATCCTCCTGCCTCAGGCTCTTGGAGCCTTAGGATTACAAGTGTGTGCCACCACACCTGGCCACAGGTGGTCTTGGAGTGCAACAGAGCTGAAACTGAACCTGAGTAGAGTTCCTAAAACTTGCTGTGACACTATTGTGTCGTTTCTGTAGCTGGCATTCTCAAAACCAACCAGTGGGCATGGGATGGAGGGGTTGAGGAACACTTTCCCAGCATGCATCAGGCCCTGGGGTCCATCTCCAGCAGCACAAAAACAATGACAAGCTGGGCGTGCTGCTGAAATCGCATGTCCCCTGGAGACTGAGGCAAGAGGGTCAAAAGTTCAATACCTGCTTGGGCAAATATGCAAGACACGGCCTTGAAAAATAAAAAGGGCCGGGGATGTAGCTCAGGGTGAGGGTCCAGGCTTCAATCCCCAGCACTGTAGACCAAACCAAACCAACCAAAAACAAAACCCAGGCGTGGTGGAGCTCGACTGTAATCCCAGTACTTGGGAGGCTGGGTTCGAGGCCAGCTGTGGCTACGTTACAAATTCAAGACTGTCCCGGATTACATAGCCGCAGCCTACCTTAAAACGCCAACAAACACAATTTTTTTTTTTTGGTCTTTTTCCTTTTTATCGGTACCAGGGATTGAACTCACGACTGCCTGCTTACAAGGCAGGCGCTTATGCCGCTGAGCTAAATCCCCAGACCCAACAAACACAATTTTTAAAAAGAAGTGAGACTTCTCACTTCCGGGCTCATCTGAAGACCCCGGTTTTAAGCTGTAAATAAACTACGTGGATTAGCACATGAAACAGGGTCTTGGCAGTTGCCATAGCTCCAGGCGAGGGCATTGGTCCTTATAAACCCATCTCCGCAGGCCTTCACCCTTCGTGGCTCCGGGACTGGACTGAGGTCAATGACATCTTTCAGGATGGCTCAGCAACTGTGCGCAGCCGCAGTACAGCGCCTGATGAAGTCTCTTGTGATTGGTCCGTCTGAGAGGCGCTGTAGCCAATCAAATGCTGGTCCAGACAGCTCATGCACCCACCCCCCAATTGACAACCACGTGGACAGTGGCTGGGCGCATTACTGCCCTCTGGCGGGCATATCTAGCCACGCGCAGGCGCAGTTGTCTGTGTTTGGCCCGTCATGGGTGACAGTTTGCGTGGGCGGTGGTACAGCCGCTGACCCAGCTGTAGCCTTTAGAGTTCCTAATATATCCACTGGTGACGTCGTTGGCTTATTATTTATCCTTCCAGAAGTTGTTGATGTTAATTTAATCATGCATTTACCAGTTTGGTGACAAATGAGGACCTGAAGCGTACACAGTCTTTAGTATGAAGTCCTTTGAAAAGGCCAGGGGTTTAACTCAGCCTTATAAACGCCTGCCTGGCACGTGCAAGGCCCTGAGTTCGATCCGTGGTGCCAAAAAAAACCTTACATATTTAAAGTCCTCAGAAAAAATGTTCAATGTAATCCCAGCACTCCAGAGGCTGAGGCAGGAAGGTCTCTGAAAGTTCAAGGTTAGCCTAGACTACAAAGTGAGTTCAAGGCAACTCTAAACTGTATAGTGAGACCCTGTCTCAAAAAGACCAAAAAAGGGGCTGGAGATTTAGCTCAGCGGCATAAGCACCTGCATTGCAAGCAGGCAGTCGTGAGTTCGATCCCCGGTACCGATAAAAATGAAAAAGACAAAAAAAAAAAAAAAAAAAAAAAAAAGACCAAAAGAAAAGGGGGGGGGGGTCTCGCTATGCAGTTCAGTCTGGGCTTGAACTCACTTAGTAGCCCAGGTTGTCCTTAAACTTGCAGCAATCCTCCTGCCTCAGCCTCCCAACTTCTGGGATTATAGAGGTGCACCCAATAGGCATTGTTTTTGTTTAGCTTTGTTTTGGAATTTTTGGTATCAGGTATCAAACTCATGAGTCTGCGTTCGCCAGGATCCACTGAGGTGCCACTAAGCTATATCTCTGGCCCTTCCAGGCATCATTTTAACCAAGAAAGGAAGATTAACATCACCAGGGTTGAACTAGTGACATCATGAATGTCCTCATACAATGTACTGGAAGGGAACATTGTTACCTCTCTGGTCTCCTGCCCAGCACTGCAAAAACGTAAATCAAAAGAAAGACGTGGCCTATAGGAGAAATCAAACAGGCAGATTTTGCTGGGCACCACTGGAACATGCTTGTAATCTCAGCACTCAGGAGGCTGAGGCAGGAGAATCCCCTTGAATTCAAGGCCGGCATGAGCTACACGGCGAGTTCAAGGCCAGTGTGGACTACATAGCAAGACCCTGTCTCAAAACATCAACAAACGAACAAAAAGAAACCTGCTCAACCAGGTGTATTTTCCACCAATCATCTTGCAAATCTCATGACTGTACAAAGGTGTGAAAGCAATAGGATGGCCCAACCCCAGAGCCTGAGACTCCGCCTCCTGCTACCCTTACCGCTCTCTCAGGGAGAGGAAAAACAGAAACGTAACAGTCCCCACTGTGCTGCTGTCCTTGGTCCACAAAGTGGTGAGAAATTCTGCCCTTCCTTTAGCTGTGGTTAAACGTCCACATGTCAGCTAGATGTGGATTTTAGATCCCACTTTCATAGTATTTATTATGATCTAGCCTCGTTTATTTAGTGAGTGACGTTTCTTATGTTGTTTTGGTTTTCTGTTTGGTTTTGCTTTGGTTTTTTATGGCGGGGATCGAACCCAGGGCCCCATGCATGCTAAGCACAGCCGCTAGGGCCGAGTGACAGCTTCCACCTGGTCAGCACTGAATGTCTGCTGTGTGCATACATGGTCCTAGGCTCTGGGAACAGAACAAAACAAACCAGTCGGTGCCACTGCAGGGATTCTGTTCTCACGAGATGAGACAGATAATAAGCAAATGCATGTGCAAACTACTAGGACATGATAAACAAAGATGACAGGGAAAGAAGGGTGTGCGGACATTTTTGGTTCTGGGAATTGAACCCTGGGGCCATAAGCATGATAGGCAAGTGATCTAGCACTAAACTATACCCTCAGGCCAAAATGAAAGTTTTGTGGTGTGTGTGTCTTAAAGAAACAAACAAACAAATGTGTTCCAGGTGGCAGAGATCGGCAGTGCAAAGGCCCTGAGGTAGAAGCAAACTTGGAACACATCTGTGAGGAATGGTGTGAGCCGTGTGAGGAGTAGCTAGCTTGGCTTCTCTGAGTCTTGTACTTCCTTACGTATGGGTTAGAGCTGAGAGTTTCTATCCTTCGAGGTCGGAGGATTCAGTGAGACGTCCTGGGTACTGTGCTCGGTAATGCATGGGCACTCAGAAACAGAAGCTATGAGGAAGAGAAAGGGTGCCAAGATAAGCAGGAGTCCCCGATGGCTGAGGGGAGGCACCGGTTTTCCTGTCTGGAATATCCTGCAGCTCGGCGTTATGGCACACGCCTGTCACCCCAGAGCCTGGGAGGCTCAGGTAGGAGAAGCGCCACTAATTCCCGGCCAGCCTGGACTGCACAGCAAGATGCTGTCTCAAAAAGACGGAAAAAATAACTGTCTTCCAGGAAACTGTTCCTTACAAAATATCACCCTTGAAAAAAATCCCCTTTTCTCTTAGATGGGAAACTGAGGCACAGGGCTGGAGCAGGGGTCCGGCTCGGGCGGTGACGGGGTTGGTCCCCCTGGAGAGGAGGGGGTCGGCGCCCTCCCTCCGCCTCCTCTACCAGACGGAGGCCTGCGGTGACGCAGACGGGAGACAACGGACTGGACGGACAGACAGAGGCAGCACCAGATGAGCCGGACGAGAAGGACCCAGGATCGCAGGGGCCAGGCAGACCCAAAAACGGCCAGCCCCGTCGGGGACCCCGGGCTGCCCCGCGGGGGACCCGCCGAGAGCCCCCACCCCGCCCCCGTCGTGCCAGGGCTGTGACTTCAGAGTCCGCGCGGATTCTATAAATGGCCAAGCGCTGCAACCCAGGACCCGGGCCGAGTGAGTCAGCGCGTGACGTCACCGCCGCCCAGACGCCCCGCCCCTCCGACCACGCCCCCGAGCCGGCCCCGCCCCCTG